CACCCAGCAGAGGAAGCCTGCATCTTAAAGGAGTGGGCCTGCCCTGGCATCTCTACCATGCTCAGTCATGGGCTGGAAGGAGTCATGAGAAGTGTAGTCTCATGAAAAAATAGTAGATTTCAAGGTAATTATGCTTCTGAAGTTGGAGATCTAAGAGGTGCTTGTTCATGGCTCACATACTGTATTAGTCCATTCTCACATTGCTGTGAAGAAATACCCAAGACTGGGTAATCTATAAAGGAAAGAAGTTTAATTGGCTCACAGTTCTGCATTGCTGGGGAGGCCACAGGAAACTTACAATCATGGTGGAAGGCAAAGGAGAAGCAGGCACCTCTTCACAGGGTGGCAGGACAGAGTAAGTGCAAGCAGGGGAAATGCCAGACACTTACAAAGCCATCAAGTCTCGTGAGACTCACTCACTATCGTGAGAACAGCATGGGGGAAACTACCACATGATCCAGTTACTTCCACCTGGTCCAGCCCTTGACACATGAGGATTACAATTCAAGATGAGATTTTAGGTGGGGACACAGCCGAACTGTATCACATACCTAATGAGGAGGGCCTTGGAAATCTGCCTTTGTAAAAGTTCTCCACTCCCAAGGGATTCCAAACACCTGGTCCAGTGAATCACCCTTAGAGAAACACCTGCCTAAATTTTTTAAAAGGAAGGTATATTAACTGTCCTTAAGGAAAAAGAATGTCCAGACTTCCTAAACACAAAGTCACACTCTTGGGAACTGGAACTGAGGAAGCTCCCCAATTCCTCTCTGATCAGCGTAGCCTAGAGCATGGTTATATTCTCAAGAAATGACTCTGCCGCATGTTCTGCCACGTGTGTTATAATAGGAATGAGCTGAGTGGAACAGGCACCCAGAGGATGGAAGTCAAATCTGCCTCAGAGGCAAGGTAAGAGAAAGGGTCTTTGAAGGTGGGAAAAGCACAGGTATGCTATGGAGAGAAAGGCATGTCTAGAAGAGTGTGGAATAGTCTATTTGGCTACATGGAAAGAGTGCACGATGGGGCGATAAGTTGGTTCCATGCTTGGAGGAACAGATTCAGTGGAATGTGAGTTTGGGAGACTGGGATTTAGGCAACATAGCCTGAAAATGTAAAAATACCTGGGAGGACATTTCTGCAAGGTGGCACTGATTGATGAGTCTCAGGCTGCAGGAGAACCTGTGTTGTTCTGAGCAAGCCCAGAAAGCAAACTGGGTGTCACCCAGAGAGCATCTTGTACCCCCATTTCTGGGGAGAGGTACAGGGAACAAAAGAGGGAAATAGTTGGGGAGCTGTCACTACCTTCCTAGCTCTGCACAGGGCTGGGCCTGGTTCACAAAACACCATCTCAGCTCAAGAAGGGTCTCCTATAAAAAGCAAACAGGAGAAGAACTATTTGATGGTGAATGATTTATGAAGATGCTCTCTTAGCACCCTTTGCTCAACAATGTGAGTGAACTCAAATGGCTCAGTTGGTTTTCAGATTGGCTCCCAACTGTTTACCTGGTCCCTGCTTGATTCAGCTCTCTCCCTTCCTCTACATCCTCACCTTCTGCTGCTCCTCCTAAGACAAAGACCAAAATCTTTAACAGGGTCCTTTCTTAATGATCTAGCTTTTGCCATCTGTTGAGATCAGATCTAAACCAACTGGGCTGTTTAGAATTAAATTATTTTTGGTAACTATTGGTAAGTAAGATCAAGTAGGTGAAGTGATGAGAGCTCTAGATCTCTTCCCCTGACAACCCTTAGCCCAGTCCATGCATCAGTATTACCTGAGTGTCTGTTTAATCCACAACTCTCTCCTCACTAGACTGGTAGGATCATGGAAATAGGAACCAAGTCTGTATGCTCACTTGTAAATATCCAAGATCTTAGATGGTCTGATTCAAACAAGTACCAGTAATTTATTTCCTGAGTGTTTTAACTGTTACAGTACCAGTCTGAAAAACAAAAACTCAAGAAGATCCACTCTGAATAATAGCAACTATCATTCATTAAGCACCTAATATTTCCAGTCCCTACAACAACCTGCCTAGAAGACAGTATTGTCCCCACATACACCTGAACTGAATCTCAGAGCCAGGCATGGACTTTGCCAAAAGCAAAGGGTTGCAAGCAAAGAGTTTAGCTGGGATTTGAACCCAGAACATTCTGACTGCAATGTCCCAGCTCCTCCCATGGCACCATCGCATTTCATGCCACTACTAGCCTAGTTGGTGAGAGCAACCCAAACCAATGTCTTGCTTTTTGAATACTTATGAATATTAGCTACCCATCAGTATGTCTTCCCCTTCCCTTGCCCCACAAACATGCCTGTTACCTGAGCTGTTGTCCTGGGGTGCATACCTGCCTGTTAATGGTGGGTGTTAGTGATAAACGGTGAAGTAGAGTGGAGCATCTTTCCAGGTTTTGAACCTGGCTCTGCCACTGCTGTGGAAATACCACAGGTCAAAATGGGCAATTTAGACTGTGTAGTTTGCTAATATTCTGGATGCAGGAAGGAATCGGAAGGAGCCAGACAGAAAACCATCTACAGATGGATATGACTCCCACCTCTATAGTACCTGCACATTATGAATTTTCTTCTAAAGAACTAGCCTAGTAACTCAAGGGAGTCCCCAGGGTCTCTTTCAGAGAGCTGCTTCTTTTACTGCTTAGTCTCTTTCTTCAAGAACTGCTGCTATGGTCTGAATGTTTGTGTCTCCCCAAAATTCATATGTTCATACCTAATGCCCAATGTGATTATATTAAAAGGTAAAGTCTTTGGGAGGTGATTAGATCATAAGAACAGAGCCCTTATGGATGGGATTAGACCCCAGAGAGCTCCCTCGCCCCTTCCGCCAAGTGAAGATACAGTGAGAAGTCTCCATCTATGAACCAGGAAACAGGCCCTCACCAGACACAGAATCTGCCAGCACCTTGATATTGGACTTCCCAGCCTCCAGGACTGTGAGAAATAAACTTCTGTTGTTTATAAGCCACCCAGTCTAAGGCATTTTGTTATAGCAGCCTGAATCAACTAAGACAAATGCATTTTTATTTTCCATGGATGCTGATTTCACATGCCACAGGGAAGATGTGTGGCAGAATGAGCTGTGGCACAGGAAAGTTTATGGCAAAGGTCTTATGGGATGGGGATGGGAGGGAAGGGACAGCAGGAAGGTGGTCACTTCAGTAGAGGAAGGGTAAGTGTGTCTATCATTACCCCTTGCCAGCTGGGTGACTTTGGCCAAGTCACTTAACCACTCTGTGCCTGTTTCCTCATCTAGAAAGTATGGCTAAAAATAAGATTTAACTTCAGGGGATTGCTATGAGTTGTAAACAAATGCATCCTTTATTATTATTGATATGGCTTGGCTCTGTGTCCCCACCCAATCTCACCTTGAATTGTAATAATTCTCACGTGTCATGGGAGGGACCCAGTGGGAGGTAATTGAATCATGGGGGCAGGCCTTTCCCATGCTGTTCTCATGATCATGAATAAGTCTCACGACATCTGATGGTTTTGTAAAGAGGAGTTCCCCTGCACATGCCCTCTTGCCTGCTGCCATGTAAGACGTCACTTTGCTCTTTCTTCATCTTCTGCCATAATTGTGAGGCCTCCCCAGACATGTGGAACAGTGAGTCCATTAAATCTCTTTCCTTTATAAATTACCCAGTCTCAGGCATGTCTTTATTAGCAGCATGAGAATGGACTAATACAATTATCTAGAACTTCCTGTCTTGTGGAAGGCACTTACCTTGCTAACTTAAATGTGGGATAACATTTCATCTCACCTCATTCACATAGACACATTTCATGGTCATTGCATGGTTTCTGCTTGGTGCTTGCAGTTTCAGATTTCTTATTTAAACAGTCAGAGCTCATCCAAATTGGCAATAAATCCATGTCAACTCAGCACTCAAAGTGTAGAACAACAGCAAGTATAGAAAGAAATAGAATTTATTTTCATCCTCATCACAATAGTACCTTAAACTTCGGTCACTTACCATAATTTTTAATTCTCTATTTGATTCTGGGCATTGTAATATCTGGCTTTCTAGCTAAATGTCCCCCTGCCCCAACATGGAATATAATGCTTGGCACATATTAGGGTATTCCCTGAATGTCCTCAGTATTCACTGAATGTTTAGTGAATGTCCTCTAATAAATATCCATAAAAGCTCCAATTCAGGTCTAGAATATCACAGAAGTATTTATGCATGTTCGGAATCAGCTTCTGAATAAAATCTAAATTCCTTTGCTTACCATACTAGGCACTTCATTAATTGTCCCCAACTGTCCTATTTTACCTCATCAGCCCCCCACAACTCTCACACCCAGCTCCCAAGTCCCAGCCCCACCAAACTCTATCATTCCCAGAACAGGTTATGCCCTTTTACAATTCCAAGACCTTGTACTTGCTATTGCCTCTTCCTGAAACATCCTTTCTTTTTAAGCATAGCCAACTCCTACTGCGCCTTCAAAAGCGCCATTTAAATAACTCCTCTTCAGGGATGTCTCTCGGACTCCCTAAGGCAGCATCAATACCTCCCTTCTCTGGACTCTCTCAATACCCTTTCTAGCACACCTATGAAGAGGCCTGGCCTTAGTCATGCTAAGGTCTGAGCTTAAAGCCCCAGCTTTGCAACTTATAAACTGTGAGACCTTGGGTGAGTATATGCAACCTCTCTGAAATTCTTTTCGTCTGCTAACTAGCACCAATAGCAACCACCCCTGAGGCTGCAATAGGAATGATCTAATTAGATCATTGTGAAGTGTATAGCAAACGCTCAAGAAATGGTAGACAGTGGATACTTTCTAATGCAGCTCGTGACCACATTGCGGTTCACCTGTGTATACTCCTGCCTCTTCTGTAAAACCCTAGATGACACCAACAGGTTCTGCAAGTATTTCGTATCCCTGGCAACTAGCACTCTTAGTAGGTGCTTAAGCACATCCTTGCAGAATGCTTGTGTGCAGTCACGAATGAATACATCTGAGCTGTTTGATTCCCTAGAGTGCCCAGGCGGAGCGGAGTCACCCTGCAATGGCAGGGGCAGTTGTGCTGAAGGCATGGAAGGAAATGGAACCTGCTCCTGCCAAGTAAGTTTGAAAATGTGTTCTTCCTTTCCTGGATTCTGCTCCCCATCTTTTTACCTGTTGATCCTCCTTAAACACACACACACACACACACACACACACGTGCACACACACATATACAGCGAAGTTCCTAAGAGGTAGAAGTATTAATTTTTTTAAAGTGTGCCATTTGCAACAAAATGACCACTTAAAGCCTGGGGGCCTTTAGGAGAGTCAATTACTGCTCAGTCTTAAGCATATCCACTTGCATAAATGGGTTTCAGGCCAGGCGTGGCGGCTCACGCCTGGAATCCCAGCACTTTAGGAGGCCGAGGGGGGTGGATCACGAGGTCAGGAGATGGAGACCATCCTGGCCAGCATGGTGGAACTTCGTCTCTACTTAAAACACAAAAATTAGCTGGGCATGATGGCCAGCGCCTGTAATCCCAGCTACTTGGGAGGCTGAGGCAGGAGGATCAGTTGAACCCGGGAGGCGGAGGTTGCAGTGAGCTGAAATTGTGCCATTGCACTCCAGTCTGGGTGACAAGAGCAAGACTCTGCCCCCCCACCCCAAAAAAAAAGTTTGAAATAATATCTATGTAATAACTTTTGAATATCCGTTGAAAAAGTAAAATGAGGCCATATATGTGAAAATACTGTATGACACTATACAGGACTATAGAAATTGCTGTCATTGTTAATATTAATAATCACTATTAGCAGACGACCCTTATGGTGCTATCCTCTGCATCCTTTGTGAACCGTTAGGTTTACCAGTTCAAGATTTTCTTTTACCAGTTTAAGACTTTCTTCATTATCTCATGAAAGTGACTTTTTGCAAGTTTCAAGCCCTAGGGGATTTAAATACAAGGAAATCCTTCTGAAAAGGATTGAGCTCAACTGTCTTCAGAAATACAAAACTGAGGTCGGGTAGGTGGCTTACGCCTGTAATCCCAGTACTTTGGGAGGCTGAGGTGGGTGGATCACTTGAGGCTAGGAGTTGGACACCAGCCTAGCCAGCGTGGTGAAACCTGTCTCTACTAAAAATACAAAAATAATCCAGGTATGGTGGTGTGCACCTGTAATCCCAGCTACTCGGGAGGCTGAAGCAGGAGAACCTGGGAGGCGGAGGTTGCAGTGAACTGAGATTGTGCCACTGCACTTCAGCCTGGGTGACAGAGCAAGACTCAGTCTCAAAAAAAAAAAAAAAAGCAAAACTGAAAGCATTTTCCTTTCACCCTTGGGCGAAGTCGGGATATGGCTGCTAGCACTTGCTATCTATTTATATCTTTGGACTGACACAGCAGCTTTCTCCTGCAGAGCTTCAGACCCTTAGTACAAAATGACACAGGGATTAATGTATGCAATGATAACACAAATAAACAGAAAGAAGAAGCTCCGGGAAAGGCACAGAGGGAAAATATATTTGAGAAACAAATGCTGAGTTGGAAATTCAAGGCCTTCCTGGTACCATGGGTCTCCTTGAGTCTAATGTCAACCACCTGTGGTGTTTTGCAGGAAGGGTTTGGTGGAACAGCCTGTGAAACCTGTGCTAATGACAACTTATTTGGACCCAGCTGTTCAGCAGGTATGTCTGAGTTTTGTAATCACCACATTTGTAAGGGTTGACAGTCCACAGGAAAGATTACTCCTTGAGGAGAAAACACTGAATAGTTATGTGTGATAAAAAAGAAACTTCAGCAGAATTAAATTTAAAGGAGTTTAATTGGGCAACGAACAATTCGTGAATCAGGCAGTCCCCAGAATCACAGCAGATTCAGAGACTCAGTGAAGCCATGTGATGGAAGATTTATAGACAAAAAATGGGAAATGACGTGCAGAAATCGGAAGTGAGGTACAGAACTGCTGGATTGGTTACAGCTCGGCATTTGCCTTATTTGAACATAGTTTGAACACTCAGCAGTATATGAATGATCAGAGTACAGCCGCTGGGATTGGCCAAGACTCAGCTATTGTTAAGACGCATACTCCTAAGTTAGGTTTTCAGTCTTGTCTACCTATTAAGCCAGGTTGCAATTCGTCCACAAGGACTCAAATATAGAAGTACAGAGTCCTTATCAAGCCATGATTAGTTCACTTTAACATGTGTAACCAAGTCTACATAGGGAAAACAAAAAGTTGACAACAAAACTGTTAAATGCAGTCGTTGAAAACAGAGACAGTGTTTCCTGAGGTTCTCAGCCCTGGCATGTGCAGTCAGCTACTCCCCAGAAATGCTTCCAGCCATCTTTATGGCTCCCTCTCCCCAGGCTCTAGGATTCCACCGCTAGCTGTTCCTTGCCTGCCCAACTTTTCTCTGGGCTCTTTCTGAATCCTGGTCTCTGCATAGATCCATAGGCTTCCAATTATACCGTGGGCCCCACCTAATTCTAATGGTTCCCTTCCTTTTGGGGGTTCACAAATAATTCCCTAAGGTGGTCAGAGATTGTTGCTCCAAATTAAAGAAACAAACTTGAGACTGGCTTGTTCACTCTCTTGTTTTTGGCTGTGTCCAGAAGTAGACTTGAGATAGAGATTCGAGTAACAAGTAGTTAGTTTATTTGAATGGTGATCCCAGGAAACACGAGGATGTGAGGAAGTAATGTGAGGAAAATAAACAGGACATTATTAATCCAAGTGCCACTGTGGACCACTGGAGCCTGATGCCCCGGGGAGCTCTGGGGGTTGGTGCAGAACACACAGCTCAGTCATCTCACCTGAGGGGAGAGGGAGCCATAGTGCGGTGGGCAGAATAATGGCTCCCTGAAATGTCCACATCCAAATCCCTAGCACCTGGGAATATGGTACCTGACATGGCAAACATAACTTAAGGTAGCAAATAGAATTAAGGTTTCTAATCAGCTGACCTTAAGATAAGAGATTATCCTGGGTTATCTGGGAAGGCCCAGTGTTAATCACAAGGGTCCTTAAGGATGGAGAAGGGAGACAGAAGATGAGTGTCAGAGTTACAAGATGTGAGAAAGACTTGGTCCGCCAATTTCTGGCTTTGAAGAAGGAAAAGCCATGAGCCAAGGAATGTGGGTGGCCTCTTGAGGCTGGAAAAGGCAAGGAAACATGTTCTCCCCAGAATCTCCAAAAAGGAGCACAACAATGCCAACACCTTGATTTTAGCACAGTGATTTTGGATTTCTTGTCTTCAGAAATGTAAGACAATAACTTTGTGTTGTTTTAAGACACTAAGTGTGTAGCAATGTGTTACAGCAGCGACAGGGAATTAATACACATAGTCAAGTGGGGAGAGTTTTTCACCCCCTGCTACTTAAGAGTGTCTAGGGAGCACCCAGGCAGAGTGCCCATCCTCAGGTTCACACAAAACCCTCAGGCTAAGAGCTGTGGATCCTGGAAGTTAGCTGGAAGGCTCACAATCGCAATCTTTAAGGTCTAAAGAATGTGGGTATGGTAGAAACAGTGTCTGCTAGATCCTCCTCTCCCAAAAAGATGTGGGTAGCTTTTTGCCAACACCACTTGGGCTCTGACTTTCATAGAAAAATTAAACTCAGTAGACACTGCTTCGATTCAAATATTTTTGGCAAGGAAACCTATGCACACACAACACATCCCACCCCCATAAGTTTGCAAACTCTGTAATAAATTTTATCTGCAATTGCAGAGGCATTGCCTTATTCTAATCCATAAGGTCCTCTTAGGCAGGTGTTGTGGTATCTTTATTTCCAGTACCTTCTACCTGCTGCCTGCCTGTTAGACACTCACTACACTGTTGTTGGATGAATAAATGAGTGAGTGAATATATGACTAGATGAATCAATGAATGAATTATCTAGTTTGCTCCAGTGATGTTCTCCTGACCCAGAAGCATGGTTTTAGAACCCAGGTTTCAGACTCAGACAAGGTTTCAGCTCTAGGACTGCTAATCATGGAGACTTTATGAAGCATGCTATCTAATATTGCCTCTTTTAGAGAGGATTTAATGGGATGATAAGTGCATAATAAATGTTACGATTATTATTCCCTAGCATCCCTTAATCATAGGTGTTTCTTCACCCACCGCTCTATAGAGATTATTTCATAAGGCTGTTAGCAAAAGCAAATTTAAAACAGATATTGGGGCTGGGCTCAGTGGCTCACGCCTGTAATCCCAGCACTTTGGGAGGCTAAGTCTGGATCCGTTGAGATCAGGAGTTTGAGACCAGCCTGGCCAACACAGTGAAACCCCATCTCTACTAAAAATACAAAAATTAGCTTTGTGTGGTGGTGCAGGCCTGTAGTCCCAACTACTTGCAAGGCTGAGGCAGGAGAATCACTTGGACCTGGGAGTCGGAAGTTGCAGTGAGCCGAGATCACACCACTGCACTCCAGCCTGGGTGACAGAGCAAGACTCCATCTCAAATAAATAAATAAATAAACCCAAAAAACAATGGATATTGGTATCCCATGTGTTTTTAAATTTAAATATTACATTAAAGGACAGCGACTAAAATGTAATCAGTCAACTGTATAGAAATAGCATGTCTCCTCCCAAATTTACCCTTCCCTGCCATTTAAGAATTTAAATCACATATGCTAAATATATATTGAAATGGGAAGGAGTAAAGAAAGCATCCAGTGTTGCTTAGATCCCAAGAAAGCCTAGTAAATTGTCTGGAGATGACAAATGAGGAAGAAGACCCATGTTATCTCCAAGACACTGGTGTTGGTTACCGTTGAGCAGAGACGCACAGGGAAATTCCCAACATTTCCAAATAAAGGAAGGATCCTCCCTTCACACTTGGTGTCATGGAGAAAGGGCAAGTGAAAGGGAGAAAGATGGCTTCAACACCTAAATTTTTAGGTAAGAAAACTGGAAACTTAAACTGAGACCCAAGAGAAAAACTTCCAAGCTATGGATTCCAATGGAATTTTCTGTGATGAAGGAAATATTGTCTGTTTGCACTGTCCCATACAGTAGCCACTAGCCACATGTGACCATTGAGCACCTGAAATGGGGCTAGTGCAACTAAGGAGTTAAAATTCAAATTGCACTAAATATCACTTAATTCAAATTTAAATAGGCACATGTGGCTTGTAGCTACCAAATTAAATACCATAGCTCTAGAATGTAACAATTAAGAGAACAGGCTTTAAACTCAGTTTGACCATAGTTTGAAACAGACCCTACTTGGTGTGTGACCGAGGGCAAGCTATTTAAATCCCCTAAGCCTTTCTCATCTATAAAACAGGAATAATAATATCAATTTCATGGGATTGACAACATAGTAAAGCTCCTAGTATTATGTCACAAGCACTCAATCAATAGAAGTAAGTATTAAGTGAGGACAAAAATAATCCAACAGCAAGCGAGTCCCTGATGAATGAATGGATGGATGAATGACTCAGCAATGGCTGGTTGTTTCCCACTGACAAGGACTATGGAGACTGCAAACCTTTTCATCCAGGCATCCACTGGGTGCCAGTGTTGTATCATCCAATGAGACATTGGTCCGGGGAGGTGGCCATTCTGCCTGACAGCTCTATTAGGTGCAGTTTATTTTTCACACTGTCTGTAATCTTCTGTGGTAGCACTCTCCTCCTAGACTGCTCGTTGGTTTAGAGATGATTTCGAGCTGCAGCAGCCAAAGGTTTTCATCTCTGCTGCCAGTAACGCAGCCTGCTCAGTGCCTCCTTTCCAGCTAGCCAGATTGCAAAGCCCATTTTCTCTAACATGATCCCCGAATCAATCCCACAACCATGTACTGTTAAGAAGAGTCACTCGTATTTGCTAAGCACCTCCTGTGTGTCAGACCATGTGCAGAGGGGTTTCTTTGGATCCTCACTACAACTCTCCAAAGGAGGTGGGGGTTCTCCTTTTATGTATGAAGAAGCAGAGAGGGTTGCTCAAGGCCATGCAGCTATTATGGGGGCAGAGGCAGGATTTGACCCCATGTGTGTGACTCCAGAGCCTGGGCCCCCAAGCGCTGCCCCAGTCTGCCTCTGGTGAGTGTCCATCATATATTACACACCAGACAGGTGATGTGGATCCTACGAGTGATGAGATTAGGTGCCCAGTCCCAAGGAGCTGGAAATGTGGGTGGCGACTGTGATGATGCAGTGTGCACAGCCCAGACAAGATCCTATGGGAGCACAGGAGAGGGAGCAGCTTACTCTGCTATGGGGCACGTCACAGGAGGCTATGCATACCATCCCTCTGACCAGCATGGCCATGGCTTTCACCACTTTAAAGTTATACCACCCAAGTTTTATGTGTCTCTAGAGATTTACTGAGACTGGTTAACAAGTACCAAGCGCTCTTTCAATGATCATCTGGGAAACCCTCTGCCACTCACATCTCCTTCCCAAGGACATGTTCCTGGCAGCAGCTGGCAGCCTGCAATGCAGCATCAGACGCTTCCAAAAGCTGCCAGTGCCTGGCAGTTAATCCAGTAGAGAGGCTGTAGTGGAAGATGGCATGAAGGGAGAGGCTCATGCCAGGGCCTTGGGCCAATACCACACAGCCAGGAGGGCAATCTTAATGACAAGGACAACACTCGCAATTTGCACTGAGTTGGGAGCAGGAGCCCTCTGTGCCCCTCACCTTCCTCCAATGGCTGCATGACAGCACTTAGGACAGGAATTGTCACTGTATCTCCTAGAGCCTGGCTTCCCACTGCACTGTGAGCTCCTGGACTTTAGATATTATCAATTACTCACATGTTGTATACCTAGTGCCTAATAAAGCTGGGTAAATATTTTTTGAATTGAATTGAATCTTCTCCACTGAGCCCATAGTACACTCCCTCCTCACCCCACTATCTCCATAACCAACTTAACAGAACTTGTTTATTCCAAAAATCCACAGCCATAGGTAGATATCAAAGTGCTTGGCTAAAATAGAAACAATGTCAATTGAGTTTTGAAGGGAGGATGGCACTGCAAATCCCATTTAATTCTTCAGTTATTTGAGGGACTACTTGAGCTAGCTATCTCCCGTTTTTTCATGTGTGATACACAGGTAGTAATGATACCTACCTCAAAGGATGTGGTAAACATGAGATGACGCATGCAATGCACTTGGCAAAATGCCTGATAGATAGTAAGCACTCAGTAAAGAGAAGTGTGGGGCCTCGGGTGAAAAATTTAAGGAGGCATCAAAACAACTCAAAAATCAAGATCAAAACTGCACTGATTTCCTAGGGCAGCTGCAGCAAAGTACTACACACTGGGTGGCTTAAAACAACAGCAACTTATTGTTCCAGTTCTGGAAACTAGAAGTCAAATATCAAGGTGTTGGCAGGGCCATGCTCCTTTTGAAGCTTCTAGAAGAAGGTCCTTCCTTGCTTCTTTCAGCCTCTGGTAGCCCCAGCTGGTTTTGGTTGTGACAGTATCACTCCGATCTCGGCCTCCCTCTTCACATGCCTCTTCCCATCTTGTCTGTGGTGTCTCCCCTTCTCATAAGGACACCAGTCATATTGGATTATGGGCTCACCTTACTCCAGTATGACCTGATCTTAACTCATTACATCTGCAATGACCCTACTTCCAAACAGGAGCATTCTGAAGTACTGGGGATGAGGACTCCGCCATATTATTTTGGGAGACAAAACTCAACCCATGACAATAATACTTTAAAAATTATTGAATGAAACATCAAAATGCTCAATAACAGCGGGATGCAGCTCTGTGCTTGCACGACCCTGTTTCACTCTCCTCACCCTAATCCTGGCCCTGCTGGGCAATGTCGTTATCTAAAATTTAGTTGTGTAGTTGTTGGTATTGTTACAGGGCACCGTAAAACATGTGGGGAAATACAGAGGTGGGGAGGTCATTCCAAGCAGTCCCAATCTAATAGGGGAGAAAAATATACAGATTGAGAAAGAAAACAGCAGCCCTGACAGCTGTCTCCTGGCTGCTGGCCTAGTTGCTACCGGAGAGGCTGTGGTGTTCTGCTGCTAAGCATAAAGAATTTTGCAGAATATCACCATCAGACAAAAGACTCACTATATCTATGGAGGAAAAGACAAAAACTAGGCCAGGGAATAATCATGTCTGAACAGAGACTCAGCAACAATGGATGACCATGAGAACTATCCAGCCTCTCCTGGCTGACATAAGAGCCTACTGCTACTTCTCGCAGAATGGCTCACCCTTGCTGCTGACTTGATTTGACCATTGGTGCGCTCCTGGTGGTCTTCAGCTGTCAGGTATTAACAAACTTGTAGTTGTCATAGGATGCAATAGTGGACATGGAACAAAGAAAGTGCTGCTGGAGCCAGAGGAGCACAGATTGTTTGGAGACCACTGAGATGGCAACACAGAAGTGGGGGCTTTGGCTGGCCTTGAAGGATGACAAGGATTCCAGTTAGCACACAAAAGGGAGCGCAGCAGAGGAAAAGCCTGGAGGTGTGAACATGCAAGATGCATTTCCTGCTGCTTCCACCTGGCATGGTCTTCCCTGGGCCAACCCCATTTTCTCTTTTCCTGGCCAGCTCCCATTGGTTGGTCATTTCATAGCATTTATCCCAGTGCATTGGGATTGGCTGTTTTCTTCTGCCATTAGATTGTGATCTGTTTGATGGCAGAGACTTTGTCCTGTTTATTTTTGGGCATTAATCTCTAGCGTGGTACTCTGAACATAATATGTATTCCATAAGTGTTTTGAAGGAAGGACGATGAATAGTGAATGAATCATCCCACATGCTAAGAATTGAAGATGTATAAAATAAAATGGCGAAAGATGAAAATGAAAACTTACCAAGGTTAGAGTCAGGTTGGAACGGCCATTGTTTACCAAACTGAGAAATCTAACTTTTATTTGGTTGGTAATTGAGAGTCATTGAGATATTTATGGGACGGTCACCCTGATGCCATTGCTAATCAAATGAAAAGAATGAAATGGAGAGGCAAGAAACTAGAAATAGCAAGGCCAGGTATCATGCTACTGCAATAGTCCAGGCAAAACATGATAAAGGCCTGAACAAAAATGGCACCAGTGGAGATGAAGAGCAGAAGATCAAGGTGGGAGGTAGAGACAGAGAAAACAAAGGACTTGATGACTTATTAGATGTTTGGAATACTTTAAACTTCATTGATCCTTGCTTTGCTGGTATTTCTGGTTAAGTTTTTAAGCAGGTGCATCTTCTTAATTATGTTTCATTTGAGCTAATATTAAGTTGGCTTACATACACTGAAGACACGTGTAGTAGGCAGAAAAATGAGCCCCCAAAATGTCCTAATCCCTGGAACCTATGAATATGTTAGGTTATATGGCAAAGGAGACTTAAGGTTGCAGGTGGAATTAAGGTTGCTAATTGACTGATTTAAGATAGGGAGAGTAGCATGGATTATCCAGGTGAGTCCAATGTAATCACAAGGGTTGTTGTAAGTGGATGAGAAAGACAGAAGAGAGAACCATAGAAATGATAGCATGAGAAGTATTTGACCTGCCATTGTTACCTCTGAAGATGGAGAAAGGGTTTCATGAGCCCAGGAATAAAGATGGGCTCTAGAAGCTAGAAAAGACAAAATATTCTCCACTAAAGTCTCCAGAGCAATAGCAGCCCAACTGAAACATCGATTTTAGCTCAACGAGTACATTTTGGACTTCTGACCTCCAGAATTGTAAGATAAATTTGTGTTGTTTTAAGTCACTAAGTTTGTGGAACTTGTTATGGCAGCGATAGAAAACTAATACAGCATGCTCCAGAGAGGGCTGGCCATAGGATGCTGACGGCCTAGCCTGATAGTAAATCTTGCTACAAACCAACCGCAAACTAAAGAGTTGACCATTCACATCCATTTCAAATGCCCTTCATTTATCATCCCTGAAATGATCTGTCACTGGGCTAAAACATCAAGCTAGAAAATATGGCATGGTTATTCTAGACCCTTTTGAATATTTTCCTTTTTTTATCCTTGCATTGCCCCATCAATAGGTAGGACTTATTTGTATAGATATCTGCTACCAACAGTGATTGAGTTAGTAGTAGCTTTTCTCTTTTAAACATAACAGGTGTATATAAGACACTAAATTAATTCTCTTGTTGAGATATCCAAAGATGAAGTAAATAGTTTGAGAGTAGGGGAAAGAACTCCAATGCATATGATATGCCCCATGCTTTATATATATTATGTTACTTGACTCTATAGAAATCCCAGGAAGTAGGCACTATTATCCATATGTTAAACTTAAAAAAAAAAAAATCCTGGTGCTGATAAAAGGGAGAGGAACCAAAGTTCAAACAAGGGTCTCTAGGACTTCAAATCCATGGTCTTCTTCACCTTATTATGCAGAGTCTCAGCAAAGATGATCTGAAAATACTAGCCTTCCAGAATGTTTAGCAACAGTCTATGTCAGGTGATAAAAATTCCCCACTTTCTGTCTCCAGTGTGCAACTGTGTGCATGGGGTATGCAACAGTGGACTAAATGGCGATGGAACCTGTGAGTGCTACTCTGCGTACACTGGTCCCAAGTGTGACAAGCGTAAGTACTGCTAGTTTCCTTAATGCCACGCCAGATCAAATAGGCACAAATGTATGCATTTCAATTTTGTATCTGTTACTGGTTCTCTGCAGGGGCAAGGTAGCACCTAAAGTTTTCTGGAAAGAAACCAGAAATTAAAAAGAGAATGTAGAAGAGAAAAGAAAAGAAGAGGAGGGAAAGAAAGGAGGAGGAAGAGAGAGAACAGAAGCAGTGTGGTGTCAAGGCTATAGCTGTGTTTTAGGAAGGTTGAGCTGGAGGCCACGTGAAGGGTAGAATGGAAAGAGGGACACTGGGGCTGGGAAGCCAACACAAGCCATTGCAACAAGTTAGTCACCTAGTAAAGGAGACACAGCATCTTCTCGATTATGAGCCTCAAAGGTGGAACACATTAACAGCCCTAAGGAAGAGGAAAGGGTGCTTCACCAAGGCTAAGTGATTCACCAAAGGCCACACAACTAGTAAATAGGACAGCTAGAACTAAAGTTATTTGAATCCATGGGAAATTCTGAAAGCAATCTATTATACTGGGTCCAATCAAGAGCTAGAAACCGAGGGGTGATTTAAACAAGGGAAGTTTAATAGGGATAATTAGTAAGCTGTGATAGGAGAGCAGCTGTAAAAATGCAAACAGAACTCTAGAGAGGATGCAGCATAGCAAACAAGGGACAAATTTGGAAGGGGGTGGCTGTCCCCAAGGCTGGATTTAAACCTTGTTGGAGAGGATGTGGTGGGTGGCCGAGAAGTTTGCTGTTTTATCCAGGCCAGCACTGGACCACAGTCACCTAGCAGGCATGGGGCAACCCTCCAGGGCCTTGGGGAGCTGAGGCTGGTGGGTGAGGCACAAGAAATCAGGGACCTCTCAGGCAAAAAAACCTGGAATACACAATGTCTATGTCGAGAGGGCTGTGGGAAGGTGGTCACTAGGTCCAGGCCAAGGAAGCAAGGTCAGTCACTGAGGAACTCTGGGTGCACCGCTGGGGCAGATCATTCCTGAGCAGACCCCGCAGCAGCAGCAAAGGAACAGGCAGCAGCGGCACCACATGGCTCCCTGGAGGCAGAAAGAGGAGCCCCCGCCTCCCGCCAGCGCCCTCTACTGGCAAAGCTTAACATCGCTCTGTGAAGGAGAAACTCACATGATGGCAGAGCCAGCTCTGAAGGGTGAATTGGGAGCTGACATGTTAAGAAATCGGTCATTCTGCCTGTGCCACTAGCCTCATTTAACTTATCCTCGGGACTTTAGTCTCCTGTAAAATGAAAGGGTTGGGTGAGATTGAAAGTCAGCAAATGCAAACTCATTTTATTGGAAGCAGTTGAAATGCCGTGAGCGGTGGTAGCAACAGGATGAATAAACTCAGCCTCTGCCTTCTTCCTTTAGCTGGGACAGCCATGCAAGCTTCCAGTCCAAATGCAAAGGCAAATGGGTGGGACGGGTCTTCTGTGATCCTCAGTCAGTCCCCTTCCTTGGCCACTCCTGCCATTGTCCAATGGACTCCTGGGCACAGGCCTTCTCAGTAAGGCAGGAGACCCAGTCCAGAAGCCGGCCTAATGGAAAACCCTAATAGATATGCTTCCGAGTAAAAAATAATAATAATTCTGTCAAGCCAAATGACAAGAGACTAGGACAAAAATATTTAAAATCCACATGGCAGATACATTTTTATAATAAAAAATTGGATTCATGTAAAGTCTATAGTCTAAATTTCAGACTAAGAAATGAAAACAGGCTGGGCGTGATGGCTCATGCCTATAATCCCAGCACTTTAGGAGGCCGAGGCAGCTGGATCATCTGAGGTCAGGAGTTCAAGACCAGCCTGGCCAACATAGAGAAATCCTGTCTCTACAAAAATACAAAAATCATCCAGGCATGATGGCGGGTGCCTGTCATCCCAGCTACTCAGGAGGCTGACCCAGGAGAGTCACTTGAACCTGGGAGGTGGAGGTTGCAGTGAGCCGAGATCACGCCATTGCACTCCAGCCTGGGTGACAGACCAAGACTCTGTCTCAGAAAGAAATGAAAACCAGCAATAAACATGAAAAAGGTGCTAAGTCCACTAATCGTCACACCCATACATATTAAAATGCAGTCATATTTGGAGTCCTGGGGGTTTATTTTTGTTTGTTTGTTTGTTTGTTTGTTTTGCCCACTATGTTACAAAGATTGAAAAGATAGATAGTATCCATCTGTGGGTATGAAAAAAATGACAGTGAACTCCTACAACCTATGGGGGAAATTTACTTACTAAATTTGAAGACATGCTTATAGTATGCTTCTGTGGCCCCAATTCTAAGAATTTACCCCAGGAGAGGACAGGAATTTGGCAAAGGTAAGCATATATGATCAAAGAAATGTATGGAAATGCTATTTGTAGGAAGATAACAAGCCGAAAACGACTTGAATTCCCACCAGTAGGAAATTGGTTGAATAAGTTGTGGTACATCCTGTACTAGTTAGGATAATGCTAGTTGCTATAAAAAATAAACACAAAACTTCAATGACTTAACACTATGGTTTTAAAATTGTGCGCCAGGGTGTCCCAAGGTACTATAATCAAATTCACTGGCTACTATTGGATATTTTAAATTTCTGAGGGAAACACAGAGACACATCTGTCAGATACCACATGAACGGCTACCTTGAGTTAGTTCACAATTTCAACATGAGGTCGCACTAATTCCTTGCAGTGACATCATATCTTTGCAAAGGTACATTTTCAATGATTACTTTGATAAAAGGCAAGTGCCTCATAAAAATCAATGTGACTGAAATGAGGGTGCCAGTCTCCAATCTTTATCAAAGTTTAAAGTTTGAGAAGTTGTGCAGTGTCCAACACACTCACATGTCTTATACGTAGGTCAATGTGGTTACTTAAAAATAGACATTTTTCTATTAAGCATGTCACTTTTTCAAATGGCTGCTAAGTGATTCTAACAGCTAAATAAATGAACCTTTTCGGTATTTCTTTTGATGTTGGGGTACCATGAAAAAATTATTGGGAACCTCTGGCTTAACACTAAAAATGTATAGTTCTCACTCATGTAACAGTCCAATGTGGGTGTTCCTGGCTGGTGCCAGCTCCCCACTACATGGTGATTAGGGATCCAGATCTTTCCATCTTGTGACTGTCATTCTCTAGTACCTCAGAGTACTCTGCTTCCAGCCATCACAGATGGGAAAGAGAAGATGGAGAGGTACCTGCTTATGAAAGTCCAGGAAAAAATATATAAAACCTCTGCTCAATATTCCATCAGCATGAACTAGTCACGTGACCTTTCCTGGATGTAAAGTGGGGTGGAAAATGTAATCCTGAAGGAGCAGTCACTTTCTGCCAAAACTTCTGGTTTATGAAAGGGTTGGGGGAATAGTCTCTGTGAACTATTTTACTCAACTAGCCACTGTTGGGAGACAATTCTCCATGCATCTCTCACATGTGTGCACATCTTGAGAGCAATACACTGACTGCTCTTTGTTCCAGATCATCTGTTCAAGGATGTTTGTATACTGAACAGACTTGGAAGACATAGTATCTCCCTCAGGAGCAAAGGGCAGGCATGCTTACTGCCAGTGCCTCTCAGCTCCAAAATCATCCTTTTTGCCTGCTCTGTGATAATGGAGCTGGGCTGTATAAATGATTCTCCTTTGCTAGCTAGCAAAACATGAAGCCTTATCAATGAAGAATGTAGAGAAGCCTTATCAAAGAAGGACTGTAGAGGAAGAAGTGGGGACTCTCTCCCTGTTTCTGGTTTGACTCACTCACCAGGCTCCCAAAGAACAACTTTTTTCTGTTTCTTAGCCCCACATAGTTTCTCCAGTGCTGGGTTCCTGCAGAGCTCAGCTCCCTCCAGCATTTGGCCACTGCACACTGTCCAGTGCTTGACTTAGAAAGTAGCAGCACAGCCAGGAGCCCCAGACTGCACAGGCCCATGCCTCAGCCCGGGGGAAAGCTGTTTTGTACTCCTCTCCTCAGTCCCATGCATAGCAAGGCCCCTGAAGAGCTGGCCATCTGGGGAGCTGGACACGCCCCCTTGAATCCCACACAGCTGGTCTGGAGCTGCCCAGGCCTGAACCACACACAGAGGTGCACTGCATGACAGAGAGTTGGCTTCTTAGCTGCTGCTGCCAGCAGCGCCCACTGGCTAGCAGATTCCTTTGGCACCTAGTGAGTTCCAAGGCTTGTGACCTCCCCATGCATGACCTGCCAGCCACCCCAGAGAGCAGATTTTCAGCAAATATGGTCAAGGCATCTCTGCAACTTTGCTAGCTTGTGACTAATGCCATGCTTTTTCTGGTGATATTCAGATCTCAGCCTGGAGGGAAGAAGGTTGTATGTTGGGTACTTGTCTCAGCCCTAATACAGTGGCTGCTCTTTATAGACCTGCTATTTCTTTATTCTTTAGAATTCTTTTATTTTAAACTCTCACTGGCTGATTTGTCATGATTTTAATTGTTCATAATCATTTATATTACAACTTTCCCTGTTCAAATAATTATGTGGTTTCTGTCTCCTGCGTGTCCCTAAATAATACATTGCCCATTATTAAAAAAAAAAAAAAATTAGGTACCCTAAGATCAGGGCTCACCTCCTATAATGAAACCCACTGCATGTGCATGTCTCAGTCTAGTCCTCTTTGAATTGCCCCATGGGAATTGAGGTTTGGAAAAACTGGTGCCAAAATGCTGATACCCTGGCTGCTGCCCCTGCTGTAAGTATTAAGCTGTACTTCCACTCTGACCCGGAAGTTTTGTATCTTCTACCAGCATCCATGAAACTTTATCAGCCCAACTTGTTCACTTTGCAAGTTGGCTGATATGTCAGACCCTTCATAGTTTTTGACAGCCATCTACATCACACCTGTCTTTTGAAATACTATGCAGTTACTAGAGATCAAGGCAGATCCTTAAAGACTTTCATAGTATATTGTTAAATTAAAAATTACATTGCTAAATATTTTAACAGGATTCTATTTTTTTACAAAATCATACAGATAAATGTTATAAATAAACATATTTTATTGACTGATGATATTGGCAACTTTGGGAGACTAAGAAGAAGACAATTTTAACTTATGTGTTCTGTAATTTTTTAATTGTTACAATGAGTTTGTATTGCTTTTTAATAAAAGGGAATACTGCAGTTTGGGGTCTTAAGAACTGGTTATTCTACTAACGCAAGTACTTCAACAATTTTCCTATGCAGCCATCCCTCAATGTGCAGCCTTGCTCTGCCCAGAAAATTCCAGATGTTCGCCTTCCACTGAAGATGAAAACAAACTGGAATGCAAATGCCTTCCCAATTACCAGGGTGATGGCAAATACTGCGAGCGTGAGTAGAATTTAGATTCCACTAGTTTATTCATTGAGATGTTTAGGTTATTTAACAGGGAAAAAAAAAAAACCTCACAACCTCCTTAACACAATGACAATTTCTACTTCTCTGTGTAGTTGAGTGAAATGTATATAAAAAGTGCCAAGCAAAATGCTTAATAAATGGCAACTTCTTCTCTTATGAAATCATATATATAGATTTTTACATGTTTTCGTATCACCTTAATCAATGTTAGAACAACATTTAATGCTTCTTATTTTATCTTTTTGATTTTATTCACTTTATAAAAAGATGTATTATGTATCAGTTAAAAACATGGACTCTCAAGCCAGACTGCCTGGGTTCAGTCCCAGATCTGGCTTCTACTGACTACATGACCTTTAACCTGCCTGTGTCTCCATTCTTCTATCTGTGAAATGGAGCTAATAATGGTACCTACCTTCAGGGATTATTGTAAAGATTAAATGAGTTAATACATAGCAACTTCTTAGAGCAGGGCTTAGTACATATTACAAATTCTGTAAGTGTTAGTGTTTTCTTTCATGCTGTTTTATATTCAACTACATACACCAAATGGCCAACTAATATATCAACGCAATATTTTTACAATTTCTGATGACCATATCTAAATCTGTCTGGTTCATGGGGGAAATGAAAGGAAATATTTGAGTTTGAAAACTGTGAGTTGCCTTTGCAGCTTTGATGAGCTGTGATCCACTGTTGCTCACGCTTCAGTTTTCCTTCTCCATCCCTAACTGCCTCTCATTTTGCTGTTCACTAACTGCCTCTCATTTTGCTGTTGCCCCTCAAGCCATCAATCCATGTTTACAAAAAATCTGCCACCCTCGTGCTCATTGTACGTACCTGGGACCAAATCGGCACAGTTGTACATGCCAAGAAGGCTACCGTGGGGATGGCCGAGTGTGCTTGCCTGTGGACCCCTGCCAAACTAACTTTGGAAACTGCCCTACGAAGTCTACAGTGTGCAAATATGATGGGCCTGGACAGGTGAGCAAATGATGCAGGGAACTGAAACCTCTAGAAGTTTGACAAGCCACTATGTGTCATAGGTATCATTTGTCTTCTATGCCATGCCAATTCTCCCTTTCAATGTTCCGCTTGGTCTTCCCCTCCCAGACAGTCCTCCATGTGCTCAGGGCCTGAAATCGGTGCCGGCTCACCCAGTCTATCCTTTAAACTCACACTTTCTCAGCTCCCCATCCAAACTTAATTGTCTTACATTCTCTCTTGTGAAAATCCTATATGGTGTTTGGCAAAATATATACATAATTAAAAATTAGATTAACAAATTAACTGTTGAACATATGATTGACTTTTACCAGCAATCCTCCATTCTGCAATGGCTTTCTAATTTAAAAAGTGCTCTTAGAACCAAAAATACCCTGTCCCAAAGGAATGAAACAGATAAAACATCAGGCAGCACTGATAGATTATAGGGAGCAGTGAGAATATTCTGGGGAGAGACACTGTCCCTCTAAATGACATCGGAACCTTGACTGATAAAAAATCTGGTCAGGAGACCCTCACTGAAGAATCCAATAGAAAGAGCCTTGGCCCTAAATAGCACATTCATCCATTGCGTATTTATTTAGTGGATGCCTTATGTGTCCATAACTGCACATCAAGCCTTCAGTGAAGGAAATGTGTCCATACAGAAGGATGTTGCTGCACTGGTAGGAGGAAGAGTTCAACGCCCGACCCGAACAGCCATGCAGTCTAATCACCTGGATGCTAGCTGATGGGAATGTTCCTAGAATTCCCTGCAGAGTATCCACCCAACCTTGCCTCCAAAGAGAAAGGATATGTTACACAACATTTTTCTGCTATCGATTTCTGGGACAGGATTGCAGAAAAATTCAAGGGCCTAAATTCCCATCTGTAAAATTAGGGTCTTTAAGGGAAAATTAATGTTACGCCACGAATGTCAAGACCTTGCGTGTGAGATAAAACATATGCTTTATCTCTGAAAATGGGTTCCAAGACAGATTTTCAAGTCTTAGAAATTCTCCATTGCTCACACAGAAGCAGCGCGTGCATGATTCCAAAGCAGGGTTTCTCTACCTCGACATTTTTCACATTTTGGGCTGCATAATTCTTTGTGGGAGGAGGCTTTCTTGTGCATAGTGAGATGTTTAACAGCATTCTTGACCTCTAGTAGCACCGCCTCCTCCCATCGTGGCACTCAAAAATGTTTCCAGGCTGGGCATGGTGGCTCATTTCTGTAATCCCAACACTCTGGGAGGAGGCAGATGGATTACTTCAGTACACGGGTTCAAGACCAGCCTGGGCAACAGAGCAAAGTTCCATCTCTACTAAAAATACAAAAAAATTAGCTGGGCATGATGATCCACACCTGTAATCCCAGCTGCCGAGGAGACTGAGGTGGGAGAATCACTTGAGCCTGGGAAGTAAAGGCTGCAATGAGCCAAGATTTCACCACTACAGTCTAGCCTGGGCAACCAGAGTGAGACCATGTCTCAAAAAGAGAAGAAAAATTGTTTCCAGATATTGTCCAGTGTGTCCTAGATTGAGACTCCTGGTTGAAAACCATTATTCTAAAGTAATAATACCTCCCATTTGCACATCAATTTCTGCTTACCTATAAACAATCTAAAACCAGGAATTATGGAGCTAGGGAGGTCAAGAATTAGGAAACAAGGAAATTGAAACTAAACTTTATAAGCAAGGAGTATAAGCTTTCCAGCAGGTGACATGTGTAAACATGATTTCTACTTTTAGACACTTTGACAATTTTTTAGTTTAAGTTCACACTTCAGACATACTCTGAGTGAGTTTTTATGGAAGAATAAAAATACAAATTAAAGAAGAATGCCAGCTGAAGTAACTAACTAGGATCCTATTTGTTTTTCTCTCCCTGTCTACTGAAGTCTCACTGCGAGTGTAAGAAGCATTACCACAATTTCGTACCTGGAATGGGGTGCAGTATGATTAATATATGTAAAACAAATAACCTGTGTCATAGGAATGCAAATTGCACCACCGTCGGACCAGGCCAAACTCAGTAAGTCTTTTCAATTCCTCTACCAATCTTTCCAATTGAAAATGGTTTCCAGTCATTGCTGTAAGTTTCTTGAAGAGGAAGAAATGTGTCTTATTCAGCCTTGTATCCACCCCCACCCCACATAGTAGGAGCAAGGATCGTAGTAGGTACTCAACAAATCTTTAAGTAAACACTCAATAATTATTTCCTTTTTAATGACCATTAGAACACTCCAGAATATTGATGTGGCCTGATGACTTCATATGAAGTGGTCAGAATGTGGGAGAAGGAAGCCACTGTGACTGGGGAAACAAATGGTTGTTGAGATTACAGCGGTATGACCTCTAATGTACATCCCTGTTTCCTCACTCATGAAATATTGCTTGTTAGTGGTGCAAAACAAGACTAGGGAAAGTGAATAAGCATTAGTGGTGTTTCCTGGACTCTAGGTTTCAAAAGAAGGGGTTTACTGTGAACACAAACATTTCTGTGAAAGTTTCTGAGGCGAAGGCAGCTCACATGATAGAAAGAAGATGGTATTTGGACTAAAGACCTAGGTTTAAGTCTCAGCACTGATACCTACCAGACGCATGACCTGGGAAAGCGGCACCATCTCTCTGGCCTCAGTTGCTCCATGTATAAAATGAGCACAGTGATTTATACTCCATAAGGTTGTTGTGATGATTACATGAGAGAATGTTTCTGGAAACTATGACACCAGTGTAATGTATTTTCATTAGTGACTGAACTGAAGCTAGAACCCAAGTCTTTGACTCGCAGACTGAGGTTTCTATCTCTGTTCCATTTTCAGTTCTCGCTATCATCAGCATCTGCAAAAGACTCATAGTGCCATTGTGAGCTCAAAACCACAATCAACATCAAACCATAGCATGATAAAACAGTTTCTGTGATTCCAGAGCCCCTTTCATCTTTTGGGAAGTTCACGCCTTTTATAACTGGGTGGTCAGCGTGTAGATTTGCCCCGACAGGTTGTATTATCACCATGTCCTATCTGGACAAATAAATAGATCTGTACTTATTGTACATGGAATGGAAAGAGCTGGGGTATCAGAACACTTAGGTTCAAATCCCAAGTCTGCCACTTACCTTACCCTCTCTGAACTGATGCTCAACCCTTCAACCATAAAAAGGAGAGAACTGTACCTCCCACCAGGGCTGTGCCAAAAGTTAAGCAAGATTACATTCATCAATCTCTGAGCAGAACCTGACACCTAGAAATCCCTCAATACATGTGAATGCACAAATACACCACAGCCATGCACATAGGCACAGAGGCACCCAACACACATATGCATCCAGGCATACCCTCCCCTCAAATATATATTCTGGCAATACTGAGAACCAAACAAGCTGGTGTATGCATGTTTTACCACCCTCTGAGAAAGTCTAAATAGAATACCTTAACCAATCTCTTTCCTTTGTGTTTGAGAGGATAAAATCGAAAAATGAAATGGGAATATCAGAATAATACAAGCTGCGTCCAAATTTGTGTTTGGAATGTCAGATATACTAACATTGTGATGTTAGGGGTACATGTATCACCCACAAACCTTCCCACACCTCAAATTGACTGTCTTCAGTCGAAAAAAGGCTGAAGTAAAAAGACTAGCTAAGTTATATTGATAAAATATGAATCCATCAGTCCTCAGGTAATTTAGTTCATCTGGGATAAAAATTTATTTCATTTATGCCTTCTCAATATGGCAAGTAGCTTATACAGAATCTTCAAAATCATACTGCATTTGTCACAGAAGACCACCTGATCAAGAAGGGTGGGTTCAAACATGAACTCTACCACTCCCCCTGGGGTGACCTTAGACAAGACTAAACTTTTCTAAACCACAGTTCCCTCACCTGTCAGGTAGGTCTAGAGACCAGGAATCTCTGCCTGTGGAGAGCTAATGAGTTCATGTATATAATATGCTTTTAAACTCTAAGCTCTATTTTGATTCTTACTGAGAACAAATAACTTTATGCTTTGCCTTTTTATTTTTACTTATTAATAGATATAGGAAGTAAGGGACAAGAGAAGAGATGAGCATTTCTCTCTTATTTAACTAAACTCAGCTGAAAAATAGCCAGGACACAACTGAGTGGGCCTATTGGAATAAGCACAGTTTACATTCCAGCTGTGCAAAAGTTCAAACAACAGTGAAATGTAAGGACTCTTGGAATGTTAGTGACATTGATAATATTCAGTGCTTATATAAGATCTGTACAAGTTGGGATATCTTCAGTGTAAACAGTCTTCCCAAGAGTCCTATCCAAGGCAACATGGTGCAGTGGCAAGAGATGTTCTCAGATGGATCTAGGTTTAAATCCCAGCTCAGCCACTGCCAGATGTGTTTCCAGCAGTTTGACCCTTAGACCTGGCAACAGGAGCCCCTCCCCTGGGTCCTACATGTTAGATGCCCCCATTCTGGCCCTCTGCTGGCTACACCAGGGCAAGGAATCTGAAGTTCCAAAGGGCCCTGCTCCCCAAGAGCCTGGGCCCCCTACTAGACCACACTCGGGGTACTCAGAAGCCTGTAATTTCCTGCCCAAACAGCTCCAAACGAGCTTCCAGGGCCTGAGACCATTCCCATATGGAGGGTATGGCCAAAAGTGGCTGTTCATAGCAGGTGCAGATGAGCCAGCATTATCTCCACCACACTCGTGAATATACCCTTGCCTCAGGTTCTGCTGAACTACTTATTATTTGTCTTTGTTTGGGTTGCTATAATAAAGTATCATAAACTGAGTGGCTTATAAACAACAGAAATTTATTTCTCATAGTTCTGGAGACTGGGAAGTCCAAAATCAAGGCACCAGCCATTTCAGGATCTGGTGAAGCCTGGTTCATAGGTGGTGACTTCTTACTGTGTCCTCCCAAGGTGGAGAGGGGGAGGGAGCTCTCTGGGACCTCTTTTCTAAGGGCACTCATTCCAATCATGACGCCTTTACTTTCTTGATTTAATTATTATACCTCCCAAAGGCCATACTTCCTAATACCATCACACTGTGGGTTAGGATTTCAACATATGAATTTTGAGGTGGACACAAACATTCAGTCCATCGCACTGTTCTTCAAACATGCCATGGTGCTCCCCACTCCTGGCCCTTGCACGTGCTCTTCCTTCCACTTAGGATACCATCCCCACCCTCCACCCACCTCCTCTGAGTCAGCCTAACACCCTGCTCCTTCAATGGCTGGCCTAAGTATCTCCACCTCTAGGATGCCTCCCCCATCCTCCCCGTCCTCTCTGATGCCCCTCCCTCTGGGCTCCCAGAGCACTCTGGAATGTGTCTATGAGAGCCTTTAGGGTCCGGAACTGTGATAAGGATGTAGCACAGTGGTGGTGAGCACAGGCGCTGCCAGTTACAGGCTGTGTGATCTTGAGTGAGATACTTAACTTCTCTGTGCTTCAGTTTCCTTATCTAAAATGGGGCTAATAACAGGACCTACCTCATAGGGTTGTTGCATTAGAAAAGATGCCACACTGAAGCCCTTATAAGAATATGTAGCATAAGAGCTCTTAATAAATGCTGGCTATTACTGTTACTTGTCTCAATCCCCAACTAGAATATTATGTCCATGTCTTACTCATCTTTGCTGCAAAAATGCCTGTCACCAATTAACACAGTGAAATGATGGGTACAAAAAATACAAATAGATAGAATGAATAATCCCTAGTATTTCATAACACAACAGGGTGACTACAGTCAAAAACAATTTATTGTACTTTTTAAAATAACTGAAACAGTATAATTGGGTTGTTTCTGGCACAAAGGATAAATACTTGAAATGAGAGCTATCCCATTTGCCTCAATATGATTATTATGCATTGCATGTCTGTATCAAAATAGCTCATGTATCCCATAAATGTATACACCTACTATGTACCCACAAATGTTAAACATAAAAATAAAATAAGAAATAAAAAACAGTGAAATGAGTGAGAATTTGGAGGAACAAATGAAACAATGAAGAAATGAAATGAACCGGTGAAGAAATAAAGGAAGCAACTGTACTAAGACTTTGAGGACACCCTATATACTAACTAAATCTCAACCAGCATTAAGTGTAATTAATTTCAACCCATAACTATAGAATGCAAATGGCTTCTGGGTGTTTTTAAAGCCCTAAGACAGCAAGAGACATTTACTCCTAATAAAAATAAAACAATTTCCTAAAGAGGTGATGTTGTGAATGTTCCATGGCTCAACTGAGAACAGTTAAGACAGAAACTAGTCTTATAACATCTCAGACTTTGGACTGAGATTTGAAATAAAAATTAAAAATAGTGATGTCTCATGCATTCCATTAGCACTGAGGCCATTAAAATATGATTCTCCTGCAATCCTTAGGAAAGAAAGGCCAAGTCACTTGACACAAAACAGACCACTGGCCACCTAACAACTTAAGAAACTTTTAGAGAGAAACATACTCAGTGGTTTGTAAAGGTTACATGTCTTGCTATTAACAGTTGTCTTCAAATGAAGGAATGTAACTTACAGCAGGATTAATTTTTAACAATAACTGTTGTATTACGTCACTTCCCAGAGTTACCAGTCTCCTCCTTTCCATCATTAAATTAGCATAGCACAGTGCTTGCACAGGAGGTTGACATTTAAGTAGGAAACTGTTATTTGATTTTATTAAATTTTTTCATGATAAGATCTACTTGAGAAATTCCTTATAAAAAGGTTTCTCAACCTCAACTCGATTGATATTTTTGGCCAGACTATTCTTTGTTGTGAGGGGCTGGCCTGTGTAAGTAGATCCCCATCTCAGTTGTAGCAACCCAAGATGTCTCTAGACATTGCCAAATGTCTTCTGGGGTTGGGGGGAGCAAAATTGCCCCTGGTTGAGAGCCAGTTCTCCATAAAAACCCCAAAGGCTTCATCAGTAAATGATGCCCCAGGTGTTTGTCCAGCTAGAAAACTCATAGGCGGCCAGGCGCGATGGCTCATGCCTGTAATCCCAGCACTTTGGGAGGCCAAAACTCCAGCTACTCAGGAGGCTGAGGCAGAAGAATCGCTTGGACCCAGGAGGCAGAGGTTGCAGTGAGCTGAGATCACGCCATTGCACTCCAGCCTGGGCAGCAAGAGCGAAAACTCCATCAGAAAGAAGGAAAAGAAAGAAGAGAGAAAGACAGAAAGAAGAGAGGAAGAGAGAAAGAGAGAGAAGAAAGAAAGAAAGAAAGAAAGAAAGAAAGAAAGAAAGAAAGAAAGAAAGAGAGAGAGAGAGAGAGAGGGAGGGAGGGAGGGAGGGGGGGAAGGAAGGAAAGGAAAGAAAGAAAACAAATGAAAACTCATATGCATCCTTCTAGAATTAAATATTACTTTCCCCTAGAAGCTGTCCCCTATTTCTCCAGGTAAAATCAGTTACTTCCTCCTCCATGCCCCATAGCATCCTATTAAATCTTCTATCATGGCACTTACAATGGAACTTCATTTATCTCTCTACGGGCTGTCCTGCTATATCCCAGCACCTCTAGGTCACTGTTGTCATTATAGTCACCTTCTTCATCATGTCAGCCTTGTCTTTGTTGTTATCATCTGCCAAGCATTGAGCTTTTTCTATATGTCTGTCACGGAGGTATTTTTCTTTCTTTATATCTCTATCAACCATCCTAAAGATATTATTAAGCCCATTTTATAGAAGAGGAAACTGGGACTCAAGGAGGTCAAGTGGCCTTACCACGTTGCTATAATTATTTTGTTTTCAGGTCCATCCTTAGCATATAAGACTCAAGAAGGGTAAAGTGTCTCTTATTATCATCATTGTAGCTCTCTTACCTAGAAGGTTCCTAGAATTAAGAAGGTACTTAAATAATCAGTAAATAATCAGTTAAACAATCAGGCACTGCCCTAAGTGCTAGGATATAATGAGGAATTATTATAGCTGGGATCCATCTTCTAGGAGAGTGTACCATCTAGCAGAAGAGACAATGTCTCCAGAGGTAATTCTGGTGGATAGGGTTGTGATAGAGGTATTGATGGGATGTGCTGGAAGTGCTCAACACAGCTGGGGAGAGGTCACACCAGAGTGATAAGGTGAGGATGGGAAAGCATTCCTGGCAGGACAAACAGCCTGAGAAAGGCATACAGCCTAAAAAAAAGCAGTTTAGCGCTGCTGGAATTTTCAGTGGACAGCAAAAAGAAGACAGCAGGATTCTCCTGTGTGCACTTTCTCATGTGGATAAAAGGAGTCAGTGAGGGTTTTAACACAGGTGCCAGAATTTTAAAGCACACTCAGGAGAGTGTATGAAAAACAAATTTCAAGGTAGAACATAAGGGCACAAAGACCAGGTAGAGGCTGTGCAACAATCCAGGCAGAGGGTGGTAGGATTCTGAAGGTCTGCAGCAAACTTGTTGAACATACAATCTATTTGCCATGGAAATATATTTAGAAACACACGTGGATTAACAAGTGCATAGTCTTTCTTTAGAAGACTTTCCTCAATGTGAGTCACAGCTGTGGTGTGGTGTGAGCACTGCAAAACTGTGATGTAGTCACAGCACGTCTTTGGTTCCCTGCATCTCTCCTCTCTGGAATGTTCTTCCCTTACTTCGCTTTGGTTCCTGGCTCATCTCCAAGATCCTTGTGAAAGTCATCTTCCTCATCACCTTGTCAATTTCAGCCAGCTGTCAACTCCTCTGTACTGCACAATTGTGGCCTGCTATAGCCAGAGCTTACGGACTCACAAGAGCTGAGTGTTAAACTTTCAGGAATTTCACAAGAGGGTTAGCATCATCTTATCAGTTTGAAATTGGTCAAGATTGGCATGTTAACCATGGAAATTGGCAAATGCTACAGATTAGGGCTTCCCCCTCCCCCAGAGAGTTGGTTGTTAAACATTTATCAGCATACCACTGATAGTACATTTTTAACTCTACTTCTCTCTTATGAAACTATTGTACAAAATCTCTGTGACTTTCATTGTTTATATATTATTTCATAGTTTCCATATTCATTTTCGTTGTTTATATACTTCATTGTTTGCTATTTATTTAATTCAATTACTACTTATTGTACAACTATTAATTGAGCACCTACTATGGACCTACCCTGTGCTGGATTCTGGAGTTCACAACAGTGAACAAATACACACATACCCCTTACCCTCACTTTTTTCTCAAATGTTATAGGGAAGCAGATATTAATCAAATAATCACACAGATCAGGGTGAAATTATACTATGATCACTGCTATGGAGAAGAGGTACGTGGTTCCATGAGAGTATATATAATGGAGACACAGTGAGGGAGTAGAGAAAGAGACAGACAATCAAGGAAGCCTTTCCGAAAGAAGTGGCAATTGAGCAGAGCTCTCAGCTAGGAAGGAGTGGGGCAGGGTCGGGGGGTGGGGGTGAGCATTCTAAGTAGATCAATAATGCTGAATCTTTACTGTCCTGCAGGCTGAATTCAGTAGCTTATTCTGATTCAGTCATGCAGTGGAGCCCTAGAATCCACATTTATTGTATTAAATATATTATATTAAATATATTAAGCACTCCAAGTGATTCTGATATGCATGGTTTCTTGATCACACTTTGAGAAATACTGAGACAAAGAGCATACAAAGATATCTAGTGTTGACAGATACATTTAATTTATTAGGCATTCATTTCTTGAGGAGCTACTAGATGTCAGATACCACACTAGGAATGCTCTATTGTCCCTATTCTACCCTGGGCATCCTTTGCTCCATCTGTTCAATGAGGGGATTGGACTGTATGATCAAAATACTCAATGGCTCTAAAACCCTGAGGATGTCTTTTCCCCCTCTCTGTAGGTGCATGTGCCGGAAAGGTTACGTGGGTGATGGCTTAACGTGTTACGGAAACATTATGGAGCGACTCAGAGAATTAAATACTGAACCCAGAGGAAAATGGCAAGGAAGGCTGACCTCTTTCATCTCACTCCTAGGTACGCAGCTATGGGTTCAGATTTCCACACAAGAGTCCTCTTTCTCTTTCAGGAAAGGGCATCTGCAAGACACAATGATTCAGAAAGGGACAGGCGAGCCTTGTCTATTAGAATCAGCCTTTTTGGAGGGGTCATGCGGATGAGAGGGAAAGGGCAGGCAGCTGTTTCCAAGAAGACAAGCAAAGAGATAGTGCCAAGAGATCTAGCAATGCAAGAATCAGTAGGCAGAGAGCTGAGGACAGGGTCTGGGGGTCACCATAGACCAACGGAGCTGCAGTAACAGTAAGACCAGGACAGCTACTGGTGTGAGGATACAAACTGTCCCCCTTGCCCTTGACCTTCTAGATCCTGCAGGTGTGAACACAGCTTGGCAGATAAAACTGGGAATAGAGAGGGTGACTGAGACCCCAGGGCGGCATCCTTGTTCCTCAGTGGAGGGGCTGTTTGAATTTTAGAATAGTCTTGGTTGTATGCAACCATTTAGCACCCTTGGTCCCCCAGTCACTAATTGCCTACAGGGACACATTCACCTCCAGCCCCCCAGGCAAGGTGAGAGCCTAAAACAGCCTCATGTATTTGCAAATGCCTTCTATGGGCCATTATTCTAGAGAATGAAATATTATAACTGATCACAGCATTGGACGCAATTTCCAATAAAATACGAATCCAGCCGCTCTGCAAAAAGTAAAACACAGACCTGGCCAATCAACAGAAACTTTAAAATATCAGCTTTTACATTGGAATTTACCAGTTGCCAAAAATGGTCTCCCGGCAAGAACATAGATAAACAAGTGTCATCGATGGGTCAATGCTGTGTTCTCTGCCTAAATCTTAAGGTTAAATATCCCATAAACGTCTCCTGCATAAACGTCCCACTTTTCCCAAGGCATCCCGTAGGGCGTCAAACATTACTGGCATCCCTTGAGCTCAGGGGCAATCTGCCGGGTTCCTCACAGCCTTACTCTAAGAACTCTTAGAATACCAAATGGGAGCAGACAAGGGTGAGGTAGTGTTTTTTGCAGACCAGGCCCTCCAGCATTTCCCTAGACAGAGTCCTGTTGACTTTTCACCTTCCCCATGACAAAGTCCTTGTACACTGCCCCTGGGTGTGAGAACACAGAGCCTGTCCTGTCATCCCAGCTTCCCCAGGTGATGGAAACAGGATTACCTACATACTTTGCTGGGCCCACTGGAAAGTGAAAATGCAGGATTCTTTGTTCAAAATGTATTAAGCATTTCAACATGGCAACAGCAGAGCATTAAACCAACCATCGGGGCTCTTCTGAGCTGGCCTTGGATGAAAACAAGGGTTGCATCTTTGCTCACCGAGACAGTGACAGTTCAGAAAGTCAAGCACAGGGTCAGGGACCCTGGGGTTGTGGTAGGATTTTGTCATGCCTGAACTGCTCAGCCAGGGTATCTTTGAAGCTGAGGCTGTCTACAGGAAAACTCTCATGGCATTACATGGAATGTTTTGAGGCCATGGCTTTAGGTTGCCTCACATTCTTAGAGAGATTCCCAGTTGACACAGGGCCTGCACATACCCATTAGAATAGAGAACGGCATAAATGGACCAGTCGTGACCCAAGACCTGTTGCCTGATTTTACTCCTCGTGTACCACTGACTCATTTGGTGTTTTCTTTCTTTTTGTTATTTCCACTCCTAAGACAAAGCTTATGCCTGGCCACTGAGTAAGCTGGGGCCCTTCACGGTGCTGTTACCTACAGATGAGGGACTGAAAGAATTCAATGTGAGTATTTAAAATGACCCTACACCAAGGGGCTAATATGAAAAGCCTTAGTAGGGAGTACCTTCTTTTATTTAAAGTGGAAGCCCCCATTAAAATTAAACCTACTGATGATAAGAATGGTGATTTTTTGATAAACTTCTTTTAGTGATATGTAACATCCTTACAGAAAGTATACAAATTGTAAGTGTACAACTCAATGAATTTTCCCAGTGTGAATGCACTTGTGTAAACAGCAAGTCCATTGCCAGGAACCTAGAAGGCCCCCTGGTCCCCCTTTCTAATCATTACCCTCTACAGGTAACCACTGACTGTTCTTAACATATAGCCAGGTGATAGAGAAGATTTGCATAATGCAAAACTGCTCACTTCCCACAGGAAGAATTAAACTCATGTATTAGCTAGATATGTGGGTTTTTTAAATCATTATAAATGGTACAAGCAATAGGGAAAAAATAAGAAAATTTTAGTCTTCAATGTGAGCAGCTGTTGTTTGAGATAATGTTATCCAGTGGGAATGAAACTTGTAGTGCCTGGTGGAGGCATCCTATCGAGATGGCATCAGTAAAATAGTTACATTTGGTTTAATGTAAATAATGGACATATCGATTTGTATACAATTTTATTATCTTCACTGGCCTCCATTTGTCATTGTGTAGGAAGATTATATATATCTTTCTCCGTCCCACCTTTACCATCTAACACATGTTTTTATTTTTCCTGATCTTGAATTTTTTTTTTTTTTTTTTTTTTGAGATGGAGCCTCGCTCTGTCATCCAAGCTGGAGTGCAGTGGCGCGATCTTGACTCACTGCAACCTGTGCATTCCGGGTTCAGGTGATTCTCCTGCTTCAGCCTCCCAAGTAGCTGGGACTACAGGCACGTGCTACCATGCTCAGCTAATTTTTGTATTTTTAGTAGAGAAGGGGTTTCACCATGTTGACCAGGATGATCTTGATCACCTCACCTCATGATCTGCCTGCCTCAGCCTCCCAAAGTGCTGGGATTACAGGCGTGAGCCACCGTGCCTGGCCCTGATCTTGATTTTTATTACGTGTTCTTGTCATCTGTCTTAAATGCTCTGTGAAACAGATCAGCTAGAAATAAATAAACATATAAGTAAATGGATTAACAAATACACATAAAATGATGGAAGCCAATAAAAGATTGAAATCTGGGAAGTGGAGAAAATAAAAATGAAAAAATAAAATTGGGTTATCTTCATCCAAGATATTTTCTGATAATAATTTTTGTTGCAGTGAATCAAAACCCAGTAAGTTCCCGGCTCTCTGACCCTCATATACCACCATGATTAACCTGTCTGATATTCATGTTTCTATCGTTCACCTTCAGAGATGTCCTCACACCTCTCCTGTTGGAAAGAACCAGCAAACATTCTATGCCTCTAGGTTAGGCACTTTGCATGTGGTCTCTCATTTAACACATGGTATACACAGAGTTAATATAAGTATCTGTTGATTGTTGACTACATAGTAATGATAAAATATAGATTTGGTCCCATGGATTTCAAAAATCTTAACTTTTCTATTCAAAAGTACCATCAGCTTACTCACTTTACCTACTCTTTCCATGAAACTTCATATTTTATTCCCATCTGCTTCCCGTGTTCAAGATAGATTCCTTGTTCCTTGTTCCTCCTGGGGCCATTGCAGTGCTGCGCTTTCCCCATGTCAGTTTCAGTGCTGGAGCAATCTCCTCTGGTTTGAGAGTAGACTGTGCATTGCCTCCAACTTTCCAGATTTCTACTCCCTGGAAGGCCTGGCCCGGGTTGATTGCACTGATAGTAATGTATAGCATGTATAATTGTCAGTGCTTTCATACATTTGTATTTGCAAAAGCCCAAACCCAAGTTAGGGTGCCCTGGCTTTGATGTCTTTGATACTAAGTAAGGCACAGCACGTGTTACAAAACTCATTTTCTTCTTTAAATAATAGTCAAACTGGCTCTTTTGTCTTAGGTAAATGAGCTTTTGGTGGATAATAAAGCTGCTCAATACTTTGTGAAACTCCACATAATTGCTGGTCAGATGAACATCGAATATATGAATAACACAGACACATTCTACACCTTGACTGGAAAGTCGGGGGAAATCTTCAACAGTGATAAGGTAAGGGTTCCTCTGATTTTCACTCCCAGAACTGATTGTCTACCAAGCCAATGCCCATAGCCTTCTCTCTCTTTTTGTTTGGGGTTTGTGAAAAATTACAAGGAAATTCTTTCCTTATGTATCGTTTGTCAAACACCTTCTTATATAGGAAGAAACAGCAACACCAGGAAAGGTCATAGAGGAAGGGTGGAGTATTATGCAAAGGGGGTTATAAAGTGTTTGACTTTGGTCTGGTCTGATTTAGTTTTCAAGGCAACTGTCATTCAACTGCCAGCAGGAAGGAGAAACTTTGCTATAAACATATTTCCTAAAAGCATCAGCACAAAGCCAGATCAGCATTCCTCTTACAGAAGGAAATAGATTGTGTTTGTTTTAGATTGCTGGAGTTGATCCATCTTCTCCCACCTAACATTCATCACTCCTAATGCCATTAGTTCTGTTTCTTTTTTATGTATACCCATCCTTCCCCACCCCACCCTCATTTCTTAACTCTTTCTGTGATTTTATTGAGCTGGGGAGCAGGCGATTAGTCAACAAAATGTGCATGTGTATAGGCATAGGACCTATACTATTAAATTTCACTAACCATCAGTAGTTAATAGATCCTTGAGTGCTTGTTCTAAACAAAGTATGGGGATAAATCTTTATTTGTGTTATATAAGGCTCACAATAACCCTGTGAAGGAGGGACTATCATAATCCCTGTTGCTCCAGTGAGAAAGAAGAGAGGCCACACAGTAAGTGCCAGAGCCAGGATTCAAATGTGGCTCCAAAGCCCACATTCTTAACCAATCTGCTGTAGTGCATGTGTGAAGATGGATGATGGATGGATGGATGGATGGATGGATGGATGGATAGATAGATGGATAGGGCACTGGATGGATGGATGGATGGATGGATGGATGGATGGATGGATAAATGGATATATGGATAGGTCACTGAATGGATGGATGGGTAGATACATGGATAGGTCACAAGATGCGTGGATGGATGTATGGATGGATGCATGGATGGATGGATGGAGAGATGCATGGAGGATTGATTCATGGATGGATAGACAAGTGGATGGATGGATGAATGGCTGCTTGGAGAAATGGATGGAGGATGCATGGATGCATGGATATACGGATGAATGACAGATATGAAGATGTGGCTTGCTTTCTTACAAGGATATGCATGTATTTACCTGTTCATTCATTCAACCAATATTCATTAAGTCTGTCACTTATTAGGAGTCATATGGGAGGAAGAAGGAATTAGTTTCAGTTATTTATTCCACAAATACTTTTATTGTGTGCCTTCTCTGTGCAAGACACTAAGGCGGGTGATGAATTTATAGTAAATTAAATAGTTTTCCTCATGAAGCTTACAGTCTGCTGGAGAAGAGGTTGATAATACCTTACCCAGGTTTAGCATGTATAGTTGTCAGTGATTTCATATATTATATCATTTGATCTTAATGAAAACCCTGTGAGGTTAACCAAGCAGATACCTTCATCCCCACTTTAGATTAAGTGACTTAACCAAAATCACATTGCCAATAAATATCAAAGCCCAAGGACTCAAGACTTCTGACTCTACTCCTGTGCTTGCTCCTTCCAGGACACCATACTAATCTTATTTTATCTTTCTTTGGTGTTTTAGGACAATCAAATAAAGCTTAAACTCTATGGAGGCAAAAATAAGGTAAAAATTATACAGGGGGACATCATTGCTTCCAATGGGCTTCTGCACATCCTTGACAGAACCATGGACATGCTAGAACCCATATTTGAGAGCAATAATGAGGTGAGTATTCAGATAAAAGTCACATCAGCCCAGGTCCATCTTCCTTTGTTCCCTGGAGAGTCACATCCAGAGCGTGCCAGCACTCTGTGCTTGTGCTTCATTTGTGCTAGAATCTCAAGCAGAGAGAAGAGGTGGTTTGTCTGTTTCCAACAGAATCCTGGGAATCTCTGCAGAAAGAAAGCAAGACATCCAGTTACATATGTGGGGAAGATCTGGATTTTTTTTTTTTTTTACCTCTTTTATTACTGCATCAGCCAACTCAGTCCATGACCAATCGTCATGAAAATGTGTCCCTCTTAATTTATAGAGGGCAGTTGTTGCTGCAATAAAACTTACTACTTCTGACCTAGATGATGAGGGCCAAAGGATACTTCAGAACATGCAGATCTGACCTACTGTTTCAATGACAGCAAACATTTCTATAATGCATTGTGGTTGACCAGGTTCATTTATATAAATCCATACTGACACATAAACTCTGTCATCAGTCTTTAAATATTAGGGTTTGTATTTCCTAAATCACATTATTTTATTTCCTGATTTTTAAGCAAAATGTCTCTTTTTAGCAAACCATAATGACAATGCTACAACCAAGATACAGCAAGTTCAGGTCTTTGTTAGAGGTATGCACCTTTCATAATTTTCTGAAAAAATATTTATGTCAAGACTTTTGTAAAATTAGCAGGGGTGTCAATTATAAATTTCTGGGGAATTATGTTAAATGTTTGTCCAAGGTAGGCTGCAGATACAAAATTTCATTTCCCAAATGCAGAAAACCAACGTGGGACATGCTTTAGATGAGGATGGAGTTGGTGGACCATACACCATTTTTGTTCCAAGTAATGAAGCATTGAATAACATGAAGGATGGCACTCTCGATTACCTCCTTTCTCCAGAGGTACCGTATTCTGCTTGCTCTGACGGCATCGTGCCAGGAGCACTGCCTCAGTCTGTGTCCAAACAGGTTTTTTCTAAACTAGAGATAGTAAATAAGTTGCACATATATCACCACCTCCCGTCCAACAACCAAGGCAGGCATCACTAATCAATTACAACATTCTGGAACGAAGCCTGGATGTGGCTTCAGTCTCTTCGATAGAATTTCAAGTAGCTATGATCAATTAGACTTGATACAGGGAATAAAATGTATTTGCAATCCCAGGCCTAAATGGTTGGTTTGATTTGTCCTGACTCTTCTAATATTGCTCACTAGTAAAACCAACACTTTAAGTTCCCTACAACTCTAAAACCACCTAGAGAATGAAGCCTAAACTAGGCCATTCAGGGCCAGGCCTAGGCTAAACTTTAAAAAGAACACATGTTATTTTTAGATGCTTCAGCCATTCCTTTCTATTGCTTTCATCTTTCTCCACCATGGGCTTTCAGTTCTCTCACAATCCCCTCTAAAAGGGAGATTATTGACTCCTTCATATCAGGGTGTCAATGACTGAAACCATTTAAAGTGTTTCTTTTCCCAGAAATAATAGGCTTAACTTGAAGAGGACAGCCTACTGTGGAAGTTTGTTCATTAGAATGTCAAAAAGTAGAATTACATGAAAAGTCACATGCTTTCTTCCAGTGCCCTGAAACTATGCCACCATCTTGGCAATGGGAAGAGATGACCTATGACTTCATAAAGATCAGTACTGATTTTATAGAATGTGGAGGGAAGGAGGAAAGGATGTCCCAATCTTTTAGGGTAGTGATTCCCAAAGTGTAGAGTAGTCAGAAATCATCCATGGAGCTTGCTAACTAGGCAGATTCCAAAGCCCTACCTCAAGCATTCTGGTTTAGTAGTGCTGGGATGAGGCCCAGAAATAGACACGCTGGTAACCACCAACTTTCTAATTCAGATAGCCCCAGCCCACACTGTTTTGGGAGTGCTGAAAGTTGTTGCCTGTTAGGTTTAGGAATTCACATAGATATATATCCCTTTTTAGAATGCTTTCAGGTATCTATAAGGATATTTTGCTGTCAAAAAACTTAAAATTTTTTTAAAACTTCACAAGGAGATAAATCAAAAAGTGATCTCTTACATTGCAAGCAGATGTTCAACATATGGAAAGATTAGTTATAAGTTTCCATAGAAAAAGACAGATTTCCCAGGGTCTTCCAAAATAGAATGATATTTCAAAATATGATTCACACTTAAATTTTATAAAACCTAGCTATTGCAGAAAACTGCTAGACCTCTCTTTAGAATTCACATTCATACTTAAAGTGAGCTTAAAAAAAAAAAAAAAAAAGATAATGTTGTTCCCCTAAGAAATTATTAAAATCCTGAGATTATATGGCCTCCCTGAGTACATAGCTTCTAATTTTATATACATTTTTAAAATAATAATAATAAAGGAGTTCTGTGACACACTTAAAATTAAAACAAAACCTTTTAACTAGAATAGGAAAAAAAATCAACCTCATTGCTTTTCTGTCAGGCACCTTTGTTCCGAACACTCTTCTCTTTCTCTTCCCTTGTAACTCCTTCCAGTGGTATCTGGAAATGACTCATTTAAGCCCTCAAGAGTAGATTGTGCACATCTCTTCTGAGCTCTGTTCAATGAGACTACCTTTATAGCTTGAAATAAGCCTTTGGTAAGAATACTTACACCACAAATATGGCTAATGCATGCCACTGCTCCTGGCTCTCAATCTTGTTTCTCTCCAAGGTGTATCTTTCTGCCTGCAAAAAACATGAAACTTCAGGTCTCTTTGTTCTGAGTTAAAAACTGCTTTTCCATTTCAATATCTAGGTGAGAAGTACAATCATTTCTGCTTCTTTCTCAGGTACAGAGAGATTAATTTTTCTCAACCTATAGGAAGCTCCTTCTGTCTCCATCCTTCTTAACAGCTTTATCTTCGGAGAAGAGTGCAGGAAATTCCCCTATGAAATGGAAAATAAACAGTCCACGTTAGAAGAAGGGCTTCTAATTCTGACTTTGGAATGCCATGTTTCCTTCCCAGTGTATCTTTCTACTTTGCTCTGAGGCAACATTTCAGTCTGAAAACCTCGCATCCCTGCAGAGACACAGCTTCTGATTACAAGCCCTAGTTTATGGTTTCATCACTGAACCAAACAGAACTAAAAGCAAAGAGAGCAAGACACCTGCCCTTGCCAATTCAAAGACACCTGCAAGTAAAGTGGGGGAAAGGGAGGTGAATTTATAGAGTCCAAGGTCAAATTATCTCTTTCTGCCTCTGGCACCAAAGAACTTGAGTTTGGTTTTGTTTGGTTTTGTTTTTACCTAAAACAGCAGGGAGGAAGTGAGTGACCTCATAGAAGAAAGAATATATTGCACCAAAAGGCTCTTCAACAACAGCACCTGGAAACATATCCTGTTCGAGCCACGCTGGAGTCAATTCTAACTGGGCAATGGCTCCAATAGATCCCAGCCAGATAAGACACAGGCACACACAGTAACGGGAGTGATGCGGATCAATTCCTTTGTCCCTCTCATTCTTTTGTTTCTTGTCAAAAGGATTCAACAATTAATTCCTGAGGCTTTGAAAGGGGATTATCTCGTTGCTAAATGCTTTCCTATAGAAGCATCAGAGGACTGGAAGGAATCTGTACCAGTCCCCTTATTTTGCAGGCGAAACTGAGACTCAGGGGTTAAGTGACTTGCAGAAGGTTACACACAAGCAGAACCAGGACTAGATTCATGTTCCTGAGAGCCAGCTCAGTGCTCCTCCCAGGAACCCTACCCACGCCCTTTAATTTACTGTCACAAATATTTACGGAAAACTTACTGTATGCCCCACACTGTACTGGCTGGGGGCATGGTGATGGGTGGTTAACAAGCCAGACAGACCCAGCCCCTGCCTTCCAGGAGTTGGCAGTCCAGTTTGGTGGATGCAGTCAAGTTTGGGGGATGTTTCCCAACAGTCCCCACTTTGTCTCACTCCTACCACTGAGCATCAGAGCATGTAATAACATTGCTTCTGTCTGTAAGTCTCCACTTCTGAATACGATGCAATAACTGTAGACGTAAGTTGAAGACGTAAGTTGAGACATAGAGGCTAGGTGACTTGCTCAAGGTCATATAGTAACAGAACCAGGGCTGCAGAAAGCATCACTTCCAGGGCTGGCTAACTGGTGGTCAATTTCAACATTCTTATTGAGAACCCTGACCTGCACATAATGCTATTGGCTAATAGATATGGTGGCCACATAATTTATCATCCATGCTAGGTCACTTCTGAAAGGGAATGGAGCTGCCAGGACAATGGGCATAGACCAGGGTTGTACCAGACAAGCCAGGACAGGTGGTCCCCCTACTAACAGGCAACTCCCTTGGCACATTGACCAAGGTCAAATGCAGAGAGGAGGCTTGGTCAGGAAACTCAGGTTCAGCAGCGCTTTCTTTCAGCCTGGGACTTCACCCCATTGTAACCTGTTCTTACAACATTCAACCTCTTGGCAGTTATTAGGATCTTGATTTGTGATCCTTCACTTTTCTAAGCCAGAGTGACTATGGCTGTGCTACTTAAGTAGCAGAACTTGAGGGCTGTGAAGCTTGTAACTCCCATCCCTGACTTAGCTGAGAGATTGCAGATAAACCACAGCAGGCCACTGTGGCCACTGCCTTCTTCCCACAAAGAGCGTGGTCCCTGGGTTCCTCAATTCTGCAGCCTCTCTCCAGGGCACCCTATAGGGGCTGCTCATCCTGTCTACAGTCTCCTTTGTGGGACTAGGACCCTCTTTTCTCCACTGCTGCTTCAGTTTTATGAAGCATGAGAAACCTTGGGAAGGGCTTTGAAGGAGAGGGACAAACTTCTCATGGAAGGAAAAGGTGATCACTATCCCTATGACTATATAATCCTAAATGACCAGTATGTGGTCTGACAAACAGACGTTTATTTATGGAGCAAGTGAAACAGAATCATAAATCAAGGCTGTCTTAGAAAATCTAGAATACAGCCTTCTACATTCAGAGAAGTGATAGAGCAGAGTAACTGAGAGCCTGGGCTAATTCTTAGGCTCATATCCTGAGTTAGCTTTGTGACCTTGGATGTGTCTTTGAATCTCAGTATTACCACACATAAAATGGGTCCATAGGAGTCCCTACCTCACACGGCTGTTGGGAGGATTAAATGAGACGTGCATATTATGCTTTCAAAACAGCCTCTTCCACAGAGTGGGAATGTGGTGAATGTTAGCTATTTGGAGGTGAGGCTTCTCTCACCCTGGATTTCCCAATAGATTGTGGGCCATTTTTCTTGATTGTCTAAAGTCATTTGAAGAGGATTCCATAAGAGTGGAAGTGTTGTGTTTTCTTCTTTGACTAAAGAAGTATTTGGTTCCTTTGCAGGGATCTCGGAAGCTTCTGGAACTCGTCAGATACCACATTGTCCCATTTACCCAGGTTGGCCCCACTTTTCCTGCTGCTACTTTCTCTCTGCTTCCAAGATAGCTAACTTAGTCCTGAATTCCAGTATCTTGATGCTAGAAAATGTCCTTTATCTGTAGCTCTGAACAAACCCTCAGCCATGAACTATGAGTCCATTATCAGAGCGATCTTCAAAGCCACAAAAACTCTTGAGATCAAAACTCCCTTTACTTATTTCACTTTGAAGCCAATTTTTTCTAGTGAGGACTTTAAGAACTCAGGGCCCTGTGAGTGGCCCCAAACATCCTTGCCTTTTGTTCTCTTCTTTGCAGCTTGAAGTGGCCACTCTCATCTCCACCCCTCACATCAGGAGCATGGCCAACCAGCTCATACAGTTCACCACCACCGACAACGTAAGTGAAAACTCGATCACCGCCAGCATCACTTGAACACACCTTTGCTCTGATAATCACTATTCGTCAGGTTATCCTGCCTCTAAGCTAAAATCTTTATGATTATTTCATTCATGTGTTACTTCTCTCAGCAAATATGTGCTGAGCAACTACATGTGTGAGAGTCTGCACTAGATGCCGAGAATAAAGGAGTGGAAAAGATAGACTTCTATCCCAGCAGGGAAGATGGACTTTAAATAACTCACTAGGCAAGCAGTTAATTATTTAATTATAATGGTAATGAGTGCTCCCAAGAGGAAATTCAGGGGGCTGTGAGAGCATAGAACAGGAGGAGTCTGAGAGCGTCTTCAGGCCAGGAGGTCCTCAGTGAGGAGGTGATGCTTTGGCCATGCTATGAATAAAGTGAAATTGGACAGAGATCAGTAGAAGAGAGTTCCAGACAAAAAAAAAGAGAGAGAGAGAGAGTATGTGCAAAGACCCTGAGGTGAGGGCACAATTTATTTTTAAAACTCCAAAGAAGGTGCGTTATTCATCTAACTCCCTGGGGCTGCAGTATGAACAAACGTCCAGCAGCACACGGTTGATATCTTCTATAGAATCACTGTTGATGGTGATGATTATCTCATTCTTTCAACAAATACCTATTTGAGTGCCTACTGTGCATCAGGCACTGTTCTAGGTCCTAAAGACAGACTGATGAACAAACAGACGAAAGTCCCTGGTTGTATGGAAATTTCATTCTAGTAAATAGGGGATAGAAAATAAGTTAAATGCATAATATATATCGTCTCTTAGAGCAAGTGCTAAGGAGAAAAACAGCAAAGCAAGGAAGGGAGACAGAAGGTGGGGATGGGGCCGACATCTTAGATAAATACTCGAGAAACCTTCATGGGGAAGAAACATCTGAACAAAACCTGAAGGAAATAGGGGAACAAGCAGTGTGAATATCTGGGGAACATTCCAGAGGGAACAGCAAGGGTGAAAAGCACAGAGCAGAAAGGAGCATGCTGGGCTGTGTGAGGAACAGCAAGGCCAGTGTGGCTAGAGCAGAAGGAGCAAAAGGGAGAAGAGTAGGAAAGGAGGCTGGGCAAGAGAGAGAGGAGGAGAGTGGGGGTTAGCTCATGCATGGCCTAAGAAGTCAGGGTAAGGATGCAGGCTCTTACCTGGAATGAGAGGAGAAGCAATTGGAGGATTTTGAACAGAGGAATGACATGATCAGGCATACATTTTGAGAGGCTGGTGAGGAGATTTGATTGCAATAATCTGGAGAATACTGATGGTAACTCAGACCAGGGTGGTAGCAGGGACATGGTGAGGAGTGGTTGAATTCTGAATGTACTTGGTTGGTGCAAAAGTAATTGTGGTCTTGCAATTTTTAAAAAATTGCAAAACCTGTGATTATTTTTGCACCAACCTAATATTCTGCAAGTAGATCCAGCAGAATTTGTTGATGGGTTAAATGGGGGTGAAGACAGAGGAAGCCGGGATAACTCATGGGGTTTGACTTGAGCAACCAGAAGAATGAAGCTGTCATTAATACTGGAGGCGGGGGGCAGGTTTATGAGGAAAGTGGAGATCAGAAATCTTTGCTAATTGGTTCATTTTCTGCTCCCTCCTCTAAAACATAAGCAGGAACTCATCTACTTGTTCACAGATGTATCCCAAGCTCCAAAGGCAGAGTATAATGAGGTCAATAGATGTATTCAAATGAATGGATCCCTATTTCACCACAGAGAGGTCAAAGAATTTGCCCAATTTCTCACAGCAAGTGTATTGCAGAGCTTGAATAATTACAATTCTTACTTAGCCCTGCACCTGCAAGAACCATTTCTACAACGACATCCTTGCCTGGTATTAGTCAAGAATTCACTGAACAGATTCAATCTTTCCCTGTCAGCCAAACCCTTATGATAGCAAGCTACCCTCCAGTGAAAAGTTAAGTGATATCGAGGACTTTTTAGCGAAGTTGCCACCATTCAGTCTGCCTGAGGATCACTGGCAGTCCTGCAGTACAGAATAGTACAGAATTAGAGATGTCATTGCTTCTTTCCAGGGACAGATTCTGGCAAATGATGTGGCAATGGAAGAAATTGAGATCACTGCCAAAAATGGCCGAATTTACACACTGACAGGAGTTCTCATTCCTCCCTCCATCGTCCCGATTCTACCCCATCGATGTGATGAAACAAAGAGAGAGATGAAACTGGTAAGAAAACTAGGAAAATAAGTAAGGGCCCCAAACAGCTCCTCAGGGCAGACAGCATCCCACTCCTCACAATTCTGAGACAGGCCTCAAAGAAAGTTTGACTTTCAGAAGCTTGTCCCCAAAGGGCTTCCGTCTTCATGAAGGTGCAGGTGGGTCTGAAGTCCCACCTCATAAACTGTGAACCACACACAGTTCCTTGGGGGAATTTGCACAATGATAGATGCTGCCCAGGAATATTGGCTCCTCAGAGCTGCCATAATGAATTACCACAAACTGGGAGGTTTGCCAAACAGTAATTTATTCTCCCAGAATTCTGGAGGCCAGAAGTCTGAAATCGAGGTAGCAGAGCCATGCTCCCTCTGAAGGCTCTAGGGAAGAATTTTTCTTTCGTTGCCTCCTTCTGGATTCTGGGGGCTCCCAACAATTCTTGGCATTCCGTGGCTTGTAGCTACAAGGGTCTCACTGTGTTGCCCAGTCTGGAAACGACAGGTGCACACCACCACACCTGGCTAATTGTTTTTCTTCTTTTTTATTGTAGAGATGGGTTTTCACCATCTTGCCCAAGCTGGTCTTAAACTCCTGGGCTTAAGCGATCCTCTCACCTCGGCCTCCCAAAGTGCTGGGATTATAGGCCTGAGCCACTGTCCCCCACCCACCTCTCCTCTTTTTATAAGAACATCAATCATTATATTTAAGGACCACCCTAATTCAGTAGGACTCATGTTAGCTTAACTAATTACATCTGCAAAGACCTTATTTCCTAATAAGATCACATTCTGAGGTTCCAGGGGACACAAGTTTTTGGAGAGATATTATTTGCCCACTACACCAGAGCTCTGGGATCCAATCAGGATTTTCTAACCCAACCCCTGGTATTTAGGATCAGTCTCCTGCCTCTTCCTTCCCCTGTCTCTGTCATCTGGGATGACCTTGCTCCAGGCTCACAGCTTTACTCTAAGAGGCACCTAAAATAGAATTTCTTCTCAGGTAGCTGCTCTGGCTTAGCCAATCAACCATCTTTCTGCAGTACTTTTCGAAAAACCAAACTTTCTGTTTCCCTGTGAGCTTCTGTACTCTCTAGCCTTTCCTATTTCCATAGCAACTTTTTGGCTCAGCCAGTTTTAATCAAAGCACCTCAAATTCCAATACTGCTGTACATGCACTATTTCAATTCCCATGGAAAACATAACTCCAAGTTTTAACAATAGTAGGTCTGGGTCTTTCTTTTCAGGACACTTCAATAATTCATTAGTGATGGCTCTCACAATCCAAGGATGCTCAATATCCTTGGAACTTGAGCATCAAACAAGGAAAAATGGTCTCATTTTATTTATTTATTGTTTTGTTTTATTGATTCCTCTTCTTGTTATGAAGGCTGGAAATAGCTGACCAAGCACCTGGCACAGGATTGTGGCTGATCCTTTTAATTCTAGATATTTTAATTGATGTAATGACTCTGATATGATTTAGGCCATAGAGGATGGAGCTGATCCTCTGTGCCAGTCAGATGCCATCTGGAGAATTTGATTCCTTTCTGAGAATCCCTTTTTAAGAGAGGCAGAAACACCATCACTTTCCTAGCCAGTCCCCAGCAGTGATTTATGTTTGGTTCATTCTTTGGAAACAAGGATTGGGCAGGTGCATCACCTGTTCTATTTCAGGTTATTCAAAAGCTTATTTTCTGTCTCCCTAAAGAACAGAATCAAGATATGGGTTTGAGCTACAACCCAAAGAATTTTGGTTACATAAGGAAAAGAACTTCCAGTAGCTGCCTTAGAATGAACTCTTCCTTTACTATTTTCTCTAGGCTTAAAGTCAAATCTATTTGCTCTACATGGTTTTGAATGGTTTTGAGTGGGTTCATCAAAAGTCCAAACGCATTCTCTGGAAAGTATTTAGGACTAGCAAAGAGTAGAAGCAGCTGGTATCCTCTGGAAGTCTCAGTGTTTACCAGGCTGAATCCATAGCTGCCTTTGGCCATGTATGTTTGCATTTTAGAGGCTTAATAATAACACTCTGTACTAGTTATGGTCCCTGCAAGAAAAGAATCCATCTGAGATGGTCCAAACAAAGAGACTCTGATGAAGGAGCTACTGCAGAGGTGTGGACAGGGCTAAGGAAACAAATAAGTTTTGCTGGAGCTTTGAGGGAGAAGCAAGAAACCATTGCCACTAGGGACCAAAGAGCCCAGGGACAGGACGTAGAGTTACGTGAACCCAGTGACAGCAGGAAGCATGGAAGAGGTGACCTCCATCAGGAGCCGTAGGGATAGTGCCAAAGCAGAGAGGGAGCAGGGATGAAATCCTTGACCTTGTTATCCTCCTACCCACCTTAATCCTGCTAGTGACTTACATTGGCCAACACCAGTCAGAAGCTGGCAAGGAGCTGGAGAGAACATCCTTCACAGTCTACCTGCTGTGGCACAGAGCCAGATGGAGAAGGTCAGAGAGGATCTGGAGAGACTGAGGCACACACCCAATTCCATCACCCCTGAACCGGTAGAGGAGAATCCAGGAGACTGAAAGGCAGAGATTCAGTGTTCAGCTATATTGCTGCTAAGCTAATTGGAGGACATGGCCTTAAGTCTGTAATCAAAACTAATACTTCATCCCTAGCACAAGTGAATGACTGCAATGTCCCCTCAGGGGCAGGTGCCTCCCTGCATACAGAGAATTGATCAGAAGCTAGAGCCTGTGGACAGACTGGCTCTGAAAGAAGTAAAGAAAGGGGCTGCTCTGAGAAGGCTCAGTTTTCTCTCCCAAACTCCTCCCACCCACCCCCACCCCGACCCCCAGCACTGACTTCACTCCTTCTCCCCAGGGTCGAGTTGGTGGGAGGTGGGGGGTGGGTAGAGAGGCCAGGATCATGGCTCAGTGGGGTTTCCTTCACAGGGAGGGAAGCATGAAACCAGCCACAGGACCGTCGCCACTGCTTCCTCTCATAGGGAACCTGCACTGACCTCCTGTCTCCCCTTCCAGGGCACTTGTGTGAGCTGTTCTCTGGTGTACTGGAGCAGATGTCCTGCTAACTCTGAGCCCACAGTGAGTGTGACAGCTTCTGGAAAGCACAGATCACCCAAGCAGCCCCACTGGTGTGGTTTCTCAACCTATCTACCTTCCTTCTTTAGAAGATATTAATTGCAACTGGGGTAATATAAGATGGGCTCTTAGCCTACTATATGGAGAATGGTAGAAAGAGATCCCACAGACCTGTGTTTGAATCCTTGTTCATTGACCCTAGAGAAGTTGTTTAACCTTCTTATTCTTTCTTCATCTGTAAATGACAATAACAAAAAGATTCACAAAGATAAAAACCCAAGCATAATACCTAAATCAAGTAGGCACTCAGTTCCTCTCTACCTTTTCCCTTTTAGGACTGTAATATTATAGATGTCCACTTTTGGGTGGCACTGGCATATTGTGCAGAACCGTCTGTAAACAAGGCCTAAATTTGTTCTTCCCAAGCACCCTTCTGCAGAGACATACAAGAAATAACAAGGCAGTAATACTGGGACTATCAAAAACTTCCAAGTTTAATTGAATTCTGTACACATTTATTGAGGATTGATCATATATCAGACATAGTGCTTGGTTCCAGAGGCATGAGGATGAATAAGAAATCGTTTTATTTTGCTTTTATCTGAGAAACTCCATCTAAAAGGGAAAACAGACAGTTATGCAACGATCTATCATTCATACGCCAAGCACTCTATTGGTAGTAAAAAGCAAAGTGTTCTAAGGCAAAAATGATGATAGAAATTTTTGCCTATAAGTTTATCATAAGAAAGAACTTACAACCAGAAGTGGCATTAAACACTAGAATAGATCACTAGGGAAGGTTATGAGCTCTTTAATGTGATTCTATTATGAAGTATTTAGTAAAGCAAAACATTAAAATTAAATAGGTGCAGGTGTTCAGATATTTATTTTGCTTAACGAAGCCATTACCCCTGAGTCCTTCAGGATGCTGTCAACCAGGGAATGTGAGAGGGAGAAGAGGAAATTGTGTTGGCTGGTGTCACAGTGATTGCTGTGTGCCAGACATTGTTCTAAATGCTTTATGCAGCAGCCCCACGCGGTAGGTATATTATCACCATAACCGAGGTATGATTGGGGCACTAAGGCAAGGAAACACAAACTACCTTGTACAAGGTCACACAGCTGAAGTGGCAGAACCATGATCTGTTCTGCTCTGCATGTTTAATCACCATTCTAGATTGTCTCAGCCCAGGGAAAGAGAAGGAAGAGGGAAAAGAAAGGGAAATTAGACACATGGGTAGGAGCCAAAAGGAGCCCTCAAATTACCCCTCCCGGGAATCCTGTGACCTACACCTGGTCAATTATCCTGAGATCCTATACAAAAGGACTATAGTGCTCCTTCCTCGGTGCCCTAGAATTCCTTCATGTAGCTAATATTTTAGGATGTTATAGCCTAGGAAAGTCTCATTGCTGTCTTCTTGAGCAAGAGCCTAAGATGAAGGGGTAAGCTTGACGTCAACAATTATCTAAAACAAAATTTGAACCAGCGACTAAATTCTTGTGGCAAAACTTGAAATCAGCATTATTGTCTCATCAATATTTTCTTGATATTTTATAGATTAGGCAGCTGAGACCCACAGAGGCTACATGACTGTGATCCTAAAGTCTGTATGTGATAAGACCCATTCTCTAGACGTTATACTTACCATCGGTGTTTCTTGGAAAAAATTATTTAACCTGTCTGGGCCTCAGTTTCCTTATCTATAAAAAATGGCATGAAAAACATCCACATAGAACTGAAGATTGAGGAACTCATCTGTGCAATGTGTCTGGCCCATAAACGGTTCTCAGTAAACATCAATTCTAGATAATTATGAGTGGGCATCATTGATTAGAGAATGGAAGGATGCATGTAAATGCATCTCCTAAGAGAAAAACTCAGACTATCACTATTTTGTTTGGCAAACCTTTCAGTGAAGTGTAGATAGACCCTTTGGGGACTCCAAAATGTCTCTATAGGAGATCTTAGGGATGGCTGTAGATTGGAAGGGGAGACTAGACTGCATCTAGAATGAACAGAAAATATTTTCTGCTTAGAGACATCTGCTGTGGCATGAAAGAGGGAATAAATATCTGTGGGCCATGGATGGCGCAAACTCTGGCCTGTATTCCACCAACAAGGGAACAGGCCTAAAAAAGGGTGCCCAGGCTCTGATGTAGACCCAGTTCTGCTGGTGTGGTCCAGCACTCTCTCCTGACGTCAGTGGTGAAATGGAAGTAGAATGGCAAGTGTCTGCAGAGGGTGTGCAGTGCCTGGAGGACCTAAATATGCTGACTGCCATGCTTTCCCTCCTTGGCTTTCTCCCAGGCACTCTTCACACACAGATGTGTCTACAGTGGCAGGTTTGGGAGCCTGAAGAGCGGCTGTGCCCGGTACTGCAATGCCACCGTGAAGGTGAGGAGTGCGTGGCCAAGGCCCAGTCTAGGCCAGTAGGGCCAGGCAGCTCCAGGGCCATGCCCTTGGGTCCTAGGGTCCATGTGGTCACAGGTGGCCCATGCTTGGTGTTGTCTTCCCACAGAGGAATCAAAGGTAGATTCTTCATATGGTGGCCAGACTCTCCCCTTCCCTGCATCACAGCCTCCCATGGTTCACTACCCTCTTAACACAGATCACACTCTTGATGCTTCCCCACGTGGCCCACCCTTTGCCTGTGGCTCTGACCTGCCTCTCACCCCCATTCCCACCTCAGAGCATGCACACTTGCCATTCCCTCCCTCTGAATGCTCTTCCAGATTTCCCTGAGGCTAATTCATGTTCAGTGTCTCCATTAACCAGCCCTGTCACCACCAATCTACAATGGCCTCCCTAGTACCCACCTGACTTCTGGCCCTACCTGACATCACTGGATGATAATACTTTCTTTTCCCAGCACTCACCATTCTCTGAAATGATCTTGTTTCACTATTTTTAAAATTCATACATTGACTCTTCCCCGACTTAGAACGTTGGCTCCACAAGTGTGAGCCTCCCTCTGTCCATTTGCACAGTGTTAGAGCCAGTCCTGCACCCAGGGGAGGGGGCTCAGTAGAGCTGTGGTGACCAGACAACTGAGCACTAGCCATGCCATCAACTGCCAAAGAAAAGGACAACCTCATAAGGAGAGGCGAAAATGGTTTAGTATAATAATGGAAATTAAAATGCATCCCCTTTGAGGAATTGGTGCTCTGCTTGGGGTTTCAAAGGGCAGCACGCATTTTGTTTTTCAGATTCCAAAGTGCTGCAAAGGCTTCTATGGACCCGACTGCAACCAGTGTCCAGGAGGCTTCTCAAATCCATGCTCAGGAAATGGACAGGTGAATACGGAAGACTGGCCTTCCATAAGTCAAATCGAACAATAATTTTTCAAACTTCTAAACCAAAATATGATACAATGCCGGCTACTCTTCCCAGGAAGCAAAAGAAATGACCCCTTACTAAAAGAACAGCAGGTGTCTGCAGTGGAAGGAATCTGGGTCTGGGATGGGGGATGGGGGAGAGAGAGTCCGGTAATGTTGCCTCTCGTCTCTGCTTCTCTATTGCGGGCAGCAGGACCTTGGGTAACTCAACAAGGATCTCTGGGCCTCACATTCCTCCTGTGGGAGGTACCAGGGTTGGCCTGCATTGATCTTCAAGACTCCTTCCAGAACTAAGACTTTATGATAGTTAAAAAATAGCTGTGCCTCGTAATTGCTTTTTTGAACCTATGAGCAAAACCTAGTGAAATGTAACAGCCAAAACTTACCTCATCTAGCTTGGAGGCAAAAGTAGCTGTGGTTCATATGGGGAAATTATACATCTGTGCATTTAATAAACCCGCCTCTAAAACATGGCTTTTTCAAGGGGAAAGTACAGCCATGAGTGGGGACACCATGCGGAAAAGGAGAATAGGGAAAGGCCAGTACTAATGACTGTGGCCAGGGGTTAAAAGGCCCCACACTCAGCGCTGATGTCAATCAGCACACACTGACTTTGCCAGGGCTAGGGAGGCGGGAGGCAAATACGTTTATCACTGAAGAGAGAAAACACTGCAGTTTGGAGTCACACTGCTGAGCAGGTGAGACTGTAAAGACAGGCCACTCACTCATTCTGGAGGCCCCTGTCTTATCCCTTAAGCATTGTTGAAAGGTTCCCAGTTCAGCATTGTGATGCCCCCTTGAGTGACTTCCCTTAAAGTTCTAAATCCCGGATTGGATTCCCAAGCTCGGCACTGCTTTAGCATCCTCCCTGATATCACATGACTCCACTTTCCACAAGGAGTCCCAGAGGGTCATGTCAGGTGGGATTTAATCTGAAGTCAAAGAAGTCAGGCCATGAAATGAAAACACCTGAGAAGTATGTGTCCTAATGGCCCACGGGCCCTGCCTTTGCTCCCAGTGTGCAGAGAGCCTCGCTGGCAACGGGACGTGCATTTGCAAGGAGGGCTTCCAAGGCTCCCAGTGTCAGTTCTGCTCTGATCCCAATAAATACGGACCTCAGTGTAACCAAAGTAAGTGGCACTTCCAGAGCTTCCTTCCACTCCTAAGCATGGTTCCCTCTCACACTGCAGCAGGCTACTGGCGCAAGGCTGGTGTCTGAGGACCCCTTTGCTTGGGGTACGCCATCATCACAGAGCATTCATTAAGCTTTGGTTCTCAAACTGGAGCGTGCATCAGAGGGCTGATCCCCAACTCTGCAGGTGAGCCCCACCTGCAGAATTTCTGATTCAGTAGGCCCCAGTGAGTCTTCAGAATTTGCATTGCTAACAAGTTCCCGGGGCGGGGGCACCAATACTGCTGGTCTGCGAAGCACATTTTGAAGACCACTCTCCAAAGGTTTCTCCACATTCTTGAAGTGCTAGTGGGCTCTATATCAAGAAACAGGCTCAGGCCAGACACAGTGGCTCACACCTGTAATCCCAGCACTTTGGGAGGCTGAGGGGGTGGATCACTTGAGGTCAGGAGTTTGAGACCAGCCTGACCAACACAGCAAAACCCCATCTCTACTAAAAACACAAAAATTAGCCGGGCGTGATGGCAGGTGCCTGTAATCCCAGCTACTCTGGAGGCTGAGGCAGGAGAGCGGTTTAACCGAGGAGGCAGAGGTTGCAGTGAGCTGAGACTGAGCCACAGCACTCCAGCCTGGGTGACAGTGAGATTCTGTCTCAAAAAAAAAAAAGAATCAAATTCACTCCCTACCTTTCAGGCAGACCCCTTCCCTCAACTCCTTTATTTGCAAGGCCTGTGGCCTTGGACAAGTTACTATACTTCTCTAGGCTTCAGTTTCTTCATCTGTAAAATGGGGATGATAATAATAGCAAGTACCTTTTAAGGTTAGTACAACTTATAAATGGAAAGCGCTTGCCTTAGAACCACACCTAGTACAAAACATGTGCCACAAATACTATCTCACTATTATTATTTATTATTGTTGGTGCTGTTAGTCTAAGTACAGTGACATAAATATCAAGCTTGTAGAACATGTAGAAAGTTCCACAATAGGCATTGAAAAAAATGAAGTTATGCAACCTCAGAAAATTCATTCTGTTCTTTAAAATGACATCCTGTGTATATTTAAATAAACATATTTTTTGACATATTTCTAAGCTAACAGCTCGTTGTAGAGTCAGACCAACCTGAAGTCCCCACGCTCCAGCCTACCAACCGTCTGATCTCAGAAAAAGGCTATTTCTTCACCTATAAAATGAAGATAATAGTGATACCTACATTATAGGTTGCTGACAGGATTAAATTAGACCATAATTTGGGGCTTTTAGCACAGAGCTTACAATTAGCAAGTCATCAATAAGCAAAGCCGCTCCTCTTACTATTGCTACTAACTCCATGCATTTGTTATGAAACACACAACCCTTCCGCTCTCCTATCTTATTTGGTCTTCACAGGTAACTCTCAGGATGGATGGGAAAGCAGAGCACAGCAGGGTCGAGGCTGCTGAATCCTTTCCAATGTTCTTTTTGCCAAATTAGATTTCCATATTAGAGGAAGAAAAAAAATCAGGGTTTATCCCAAGGTCTGACGATGTTGGCATTTGTCTGAGGCCAGCCGGGCAGGACACCAAGGCTGGGATGGGGTGGGGGGCTTCCAGCTGTCACACCTCTCATTCCAGGGCTACGGCTGCACACAGTCTCACACAGGGGTCTCGTTCCTTGCAAATGAAGCTCTGACTTCCCTAAAATTGTATAAAAATTCTTTTTGGTTTTAAATCCGGCTGTGGTTTTCCAACCCTGCTCACTTGTGTTGGTCTTCTCTTTCCTGGATGTTGGCTCCAAGCACCCACACGAATTCCTCTCCTGTGGGTACTGGCTAAACTCCAGATTCCTTTATTTCTGATCATTTTCCAAGCCCCCCCAATCCTTGCCAGGTGCCTCTGAAAATCTCCATGTCCTTCTTTCCACTTTCACATGCATAGGAACCTGAGTCTGATGAGGCGGCCCGTGTTACAATTTTCAAATACCTACAATTGAAAGCAAATTCAGCAGCTAAGGTTTAAAATGATAGCAGTGATATGGAAATGCCAGTTCATGTAATGATCTACGGTGTTTACACAGTCACGAACAGAAATGGACTTTGAATCCCGGTTTAAGTTTCTGCCTGGGAATTTAGCAGCAAGTCGGGCAGTTTGCTTCCTCTCTCTGGGCCTCAGCTTCCTCATCTGAAAAATGGGGGTTATAAAAGTACCTACCTGCTGGGCCTGGTGACTATGGTGCATGTGGAAGGCTGACCCGGTGCCTTGAATGAAGTCAGTGCCCAAATATTGCCTATTGGTTATCATTGGTTTGCTGTGACAGAGTGAAAAACAAACACATTAGCTATATATCAGGAGCCCTGCCAGCATGGGAAATCACTTCTTTTTATTCCAGAATATCTTCATGAAAGGTGAGAAGTTTCCAGGCTAAACTCTCCAACAAGGAAGTAGTTGAAAATGGAGTTCCTTGGCCTCTTTCAAAGTGTCACATCCTCTTTCCCACACCCCACACACATATAGATAAAAAGGAGTTCTTTTTTCTTTTGTTTCGTTTTGTTTTGTTTTTGAGACAAGGTCTCACTCTGTTGACCAGGCTGGGGTGTAGAGGTGCAGTCATAGCTCACTGCAGCTTCAAACTCCCAGGCTCAAGTGATCTTCCCATCTCTCAGCCTCTCCAGTAACTGGGACCACAAGCACACACCATCGTGCCCGGCTAATTTTTGTATTTTTTGTAGAGACTGGGTTTCGCCATGTTTCCCAGGCTGGTCTCAAACTCCTGGGCTCAAGCAATCTTCCCACATCAGCCTCCCGGTGTCCTGGGATTACAGGCATGAGTCACCATGCTCAGTCTTAAAGGAGTTCTGAGACCAAGTTCTTCCCCTCCTGGGTGGGACAGGCAAGCTCCCCAGGGCTCTCCCAGGCACTCTGAGAACGCTTAAGACTCCAAGAAATAACAGCCTGAGTCTTCCCCCGGCTCAGCCCCCAGACTCTGCTTTGACAAGAGTGAATGGGGGGTGAGAGGAGGTGGTCCCTGTCCTCCAGGGTGCTCTGCCTCAGTGCTCGGCTTGTCCCCAACGCCTGGACGGATGTCCCTCCTCCTCCTCTTTCAGAATGCCCGTGCGTTCATGGAACATGCGATAACAGGATAGACAGCGATGGGGCCTGCCTCACCGGCACATGCAGAGACGGCTCTGCCGGGAGACTCTGTGATAAGCAGACCTCAGCCTGTGGGCCCTACGTGCAGTTCTGTCACATCCACGCCACCTGTGAATACAGCAGTGGGACAGCCAGGTAGGTCTGTGAGGGGATGGCCCTTAGTGACACTAAGTCACTGTGTTAGCTGTAGACAGAACCAACCCATATCTGAACTCTGAACTGAGGCCTGTTACCTCCAGCTGACAGTGTGGTGTTTGTGAAAAGGACCTCAGTCTGAGCTGGGTTTCAATTGCAGCACTCCCTGCTTTGAAACTTACAGCTGTGTGACTGTGGGCAAGTTACTTAACCTCTCTGAACCTCGCTTTCCTCAACAGTACAGTGAGGGTGATGATACCTACCAAGCAGGCCGGTTGTGGAGATTAGCAGAACTGAATGCAAAATCACCTAGTACCAGAGCTAGCACATCAAAGATGTTCCATCATGGAAACCATAATTATTATCACCACATATGTGAAAGAAATGAAGATTTGTCCACCAACGTTCCAGTCTTTGAAGACACCTTTGCTTTTTAAAGCTGTTAATGATTTCTCCCCTGTTAAAGGCATCTTGCAGGAAATTGGGTCTTTAACCAATAGGTTGCCATTTGTTTCCTTAATACTGTCTAGCATTCTGCAGTGGGTCTGAGGGGGAAAATGCCAGAAGAAATGTACTTCGCTGGAAATATCTAGCTCCAAGGCAGTAACCACCTAAAATATCCTGGGAAATGCAGAGGGTGTCTGGAATTCTTGGTCCTCTTCTTGCACTGCTTTTCTTAATTTCTTAAATTTTATTTTATGTAGTTATTTGTTTTGGTCTGCCTCTCCCACCAGACTGTAGGCTATGAGACAAGAGACTGTTTTTCCACGGTTGTACAATAGAAATGCCTTTTCCTAAGGAGTTAGGATCTATATCAGTGCGTAAGGCAAAACTACATGTAATCAAAATTACCCCCGAAACCTATTAAATCATCTGCAGAGGACTGTCAGCATGGGTCTGTATGAACTATATTGCCTTAGGTAAATCAAACATTATTGGAACAGATCAACCTATTTCTTCATTTGGACACCAGATAATGTATTTTGTTCCTCTAGGAAACTTGATACATGAAATATATATATTTTTTAAATTTTTGTAAGGCACGGATGACTGAATTTGCAGTAGAACATGGGGGTACAATGTCTCCAGCATCTATCATAGGGCACTCAATAAATATTGGTTGAACACATGAATAAATGGGCCACCTTTAATAGTAAAAGTATCATCACGGAACATTTTGAGAGGAGCGTCTGGAAAGGTAATGGGTCAAGAAACCAAGTCAGCTCTCAGAAGAGGCACTTGAGAATGTGGTGTTGGGGGGAAACCCATGAGGGGCCAGAGGAGGGGAGAGGAGAAGTCTCACCTGATTGTCATTTTCAAATATTTTAAGAGCTGTTGCATAGAAGCCAGAGTAGAGCTCTTCTTTGCTGAACTAGAGGTAATAACTAGTATTGAGCAGGAAGAGTTATAAAGAGGCAGGTGCTGGTAAAATAAGAGCAGGTGTCAGGTGTTGAGCCTTATGATCTGCAAGTGCTCTGCTAAATGCTCGGTGTGCATTCGCTCATCTAACCTTCAGCCTTATATGGGAGGTATTAGGCCCATTTTCCTCATGAGAAATAAGATCTCTCCGTTGTTAAGGGACTCGTGCAGAGTCACACAACTGCTAAGAAGTGGGCGGGCTTCATTTCCACCCAGGTGTATCTGATTGCAGACCCCAGAAGTACCCCGACCACATTTGAGCACTGGCTTCCTCCACAGGAGCAAACGATGGAGCCATTCGGCCAGGAACTGGCTCATCTCTAGCTGGCTGGCTCTCTTCTCGGTCATTGGTGCTTATTCTGGGGCTGATTTTGTGCACTCTCCTTTGTAGTTGTGTTTGCAAAGCAGGATATGAAGGAGATGGAACTGTATGTTCTGAGATGGACCCTTGCACAGGACTAACTCCAGGAGGCTGTAGCCGCAATGTAAGTACTGGTCTTCATTTCCAACCTGCCTGGTTTCTTTGTTTGTTGAGACGGAGTCTCACTCTGTCGCCCAGGCTGGAGTGCAATGGCACAATCTTGGCTCACTGCAACCTCCGCCTCCTGGGTTCAAGCGATTCTCCTGCCTCAGCCTCCTGAATAGCTGGGATTACAGGGGCATGCCATCACCCCTGGCTAATTTTTGTATTTTTAGTAGAGATGGGGTTTCACCATGTTGATCAGGCTGGTCTCAAACTCCTGACCTCGTGATCCGCCCACCTCGGCCTCCCAAAGTGCTGGGATTACAAGCATGAGCCACCGCGCCCGGCCCTGCCTGGCTTCTTGTTGGCTTTTTTCAGTTGGTTGGTTGGGTTTTTTAGGAAATCCTGAGGAAAGACATTCTACAGGTCAGTGTCTGATGACTTTTCATATGTGTGAAGCATTTGTGTTTAAACCTTGAATTTTTATTTTATTTTGACACAGGGTCTCACTCTGTTACCTAGGCTGGAGCACAGTGGTGTAATCATAGCTCACTACCGCCTGGAACTCCTGGGCTCAAGTGATCATTTCACTGATTAGGAAACTGGGATCTGGGAGAGTCAAGTGACTAAGTTCTGCTGTTGGTAGGGGTATAGCTAGAACCTACCATTGCTTTCACTAATTCCCTTCAATTATCGCCACCCCTACCCTACCCTAGTCACCTTCATTCCTTACCTATGGTTTAGTAACTGGTTTCTTTACTTTCTCTTATCTACCCACAGTGCATTCTCCACTCACAGCCAGAGTGGCCTGAAGTGAATCAGATCATGTTTTTCCCAGATTTAAGCCCCTTCCGTAATTTCCTCTAGCTCTAAGGATAAAATCTAGATGAAACCACCTGACCCCAGCCTACAGATTCCTTTGATTCCCTTTGAACAAGGCCCATCCCAACCCCATCCCCCTCAGCCTCATCTCAACACCGTATCTTGTACCCCTCTCTCCTTCTCATTCTGTCCTCCAGCCTCCTGGCAAGGCTCCTCCTGAGAGGCCCGGGAGCTGATATCGTGGAGCTTGGGTTCCCACATTATACAGACCTGGGTTCATGCCTTTTTATAGCTGCATGACCTTGGGCAACACCTGTTTCCTTAGCTATAAAATAGAGATAACAATACTTTCCTCAAGATGATTGTTTACACCTGCAAAACAATATAAACAGTCCCTGGCTTAATAACTAACACAGTGATGTTAGTGGCCATAAGCTGGCCAGCTCCAAGCAATTTTGTTCTCTAAATTACCTAATCTTTTCATGAATCTCAATGTAAATTAAGCATTTCCACCTCACTCAATGCAAATATGTGTTTCTGGAACATATATGTCTGGAAACTCTCTCTTTTGGAATCATGTGGCTGGGCTGAGGATTCAGAGGCTTTGCTTTTTCTTTTCCTCCTGCAGGCAGAATGCATCAAAACTGGCACGGGCACCCACACCTGCGTGTGTCAGCAGGGCTGGACAGGGAATGGGAGAGACTGCTTGGAGATCAACAACTGCCTGCTGCCCAGTGCAGGAGGCTGCCACGACAACGCAACCTGTTTGTACGTGGGTCCCGGGCAGGTAGGTTGGATGTCATGGGAGCAAAGAGAAAGCAGGAATCATGCAGTGACTTTTCTTTCCCCTCAGGACAGAAATACTTTGGCTAGAACTTACTGCAGCTTTTTACAATCATTCGTGGCAGTGAACATGGGTTCATTGCCACAACAAACCTATGATGAGGTATTATCTCATCTTATAGAAAAGGAAATTGAGGCAATGAGAAGCTAGTTGCATAAATCATGGAAATAAATAATAGTGCAAGATTTGCACCCAGTGTGACTCCAGGGCTGCCCTCTTAGTCACCATCCTGGACCGACCTTATATTTCTATAGCTCTGTAGCGTATTGATCACTTTCACTCATTGTCATTTAATGGAGAACAAGGCAGAGAAGGCTACTGCTTAAAAATCAGCTCCAGGGGAGGGGCTACCAACTAACCTAGGATTGTGGCAATGAAAAAACAGGCGACTGATAAGGCTCCCTCCCCCGACCCATGCCCACCTGCTTCCACCCTTTTCCACAGGTAGGACCCACAGGTGTGTTTAGAATACAAGGCTAAGGAGGTCAGAACACATGGAAGATGGGAACTGGGATTTGAAATCAACCCCCTTATCTTTTGAATCTTGATACAGTTTCTCACTTTTATGTTTTAGGCTGAACTTTTTTAAAGACCTACAAATTATTTTCTGCTCTTTGAGAAATGTATTTCTTCCCATGATGAGGGCTCTGCCTGAGGAAAGCCTAACCTTGCTCACCATGATATCTCCCACTTGACCCCAAGCCTTTTGGTTCTCGGACCTCTCATTTCTGTGCACGTGTTTCAGAGAAACACGGAGCTTGAGTGGAACTTGATGAAATAGTAAAGCCCACCTCCTACCTTCCCTTTCCTTCATGGGGGAATTTACCCAGACAAATGGAGATCTGCCCTATTTAAAAATACCCAAGAAGGAAGTTTTTAGGGCTTCGCTCTGTGGCTTTAGGCATCATTCCCACTCACTTCTCCATTCTGCTAGAAATGAGTGATGGAACATCGTTCCTGTGGGCCAGTGCAGGGCTGGACACTTGTGCAGAGACAGTCAGAAGTGTTGGAGATCCTCTGGGAGCTCCTAACTACCAAAATTAGTGATCTGTACAGAACTCTTTCCAAAGAGACCCCCACAGGGGGTTAAAAGGTGGTCAACATCGGCCAGGCACTGTGGCTTACACCTGTAATCCCAGCACTTTGGGAGGCCAAGGCAGGTGGATCACCTGAGGTCAGGAGTTCGAGACCAGCCTGACCAACACGGAGAAACCCCACCTCTACTAAAATACAAAATTAGCCGGGCATCATGACGCGTGCCTATTATCCCAGCTACTTGGGAGGCTAAGGCAGGAGAATCGCTTGAACCTGGGAGGCTGAGGTTGCAGTGAACTGAGATTGCACCATTGCACTCCAGCCTGTGCAACAAGAGCAAAACTCTATCAAAAAAAAAGAAAAAAAAAAAAGGTGGTCAACATGTTTAGGAGCAAGGGTTAAAAAATTGAACTGCTTGGCTAAGAGCATGGCATGATCTCACCCTAGCCCACCTCCCACTCTTGAAAACTGGTGGGAGATGGAAGTACTACACCCAGGCAAAGCCTCGACATTGACGTTTGTCTATTTACAGCTGGGGTTAATTATTTCAATAGACCACAGAAGGTGCTTCTCAGGGAGTGACAGTTGGCAATGGGACAGAGATAGAAAATCTGTGTCAGGGAGAAATCTTTCGGTTATAACAGAAAACTCAATTGTGCACTACTTGTGGAAATGTAAAATGCTACAGCTGCCATGGAAAATAGCACAGCAATTCCCCCAAAAAATTAAAAATAGAATGACCATATGCTCCAGCAATTCCACTTCTGGGTATATACCCAAAAGAATCGAACGCAAGGACTCAAGCAGATATTTGAGCACCCGTATTCACAGCAGCATTATTCACAGTAGTCAAAAGATGAACACAACCCAATGGCCATTGCCAGATTAATGGATAATCAAAACGTGGTATATGTATACAATGGAAGAGCAATCAGCCTTAAAAAGGAAGAAAATGCTGACACATGCTGCAACATGGGTGAACCTTGAAGATGTGTTGCTAAGTGAAATAAGCCAGAGACAGAAGGACAAATACTATGTGCTTCCACTGCTCTGAGGTTCCTAGAGTAGTCAGATTCATAGAGACAGAAAGTAGAATAGTGGCTGCCAGGAGCTAGAGTGGGGAGAGGAATGAGGAGTTATTGTGTAACGGGTATGGACTTTCAGTTTGGGAAGATGAAAACAAGTTTGGAGAAGGATGGTGATGATGGTTGTACACAAATGTGAATATATTTAGCATACAAGTATACAAATGTGAAAATACTTAACTATACATTTTTAAATGGTTAAAATGATACATTTTCTCATACATATATTTACTTCAATTCTTAAGAAGAAAAAGCTGGTTTAAAAAGGGAATGTTTTGGCCCACGTGACTCTAAAGTCCACATATGGATCTGGCTGCAGGCACAACATGATTCGGGGCTCAGAAGGCAGCAAAAGGGTCTATTTCTTGGCTCAGCTTCTTCCCACGTTCCTGGGGTGAGGGATGACCTCCAGCCACTCCAACTTATACCATCGGAATACTTAGTTAAGCAGAATGGAGTACGTTTTCTGGTAACTTCCTCCAAAAACCCAGGATTCATTCTTTCATTGACTCAGATGGAGTGCATCCACACCCATCCTCATTTCCTACCACTCGCATCAGCCCTTGCGCCCAATTACAGAAATCTGGCCAGGGGAGGCCCGGGGTGGAAGATGCAGTGATAAGCACAGGCCAAGGCCCTGCACCCCACCCTGGGGTGGAGGAACCAGCCACATTTTATCATGTGGACTGGGAGAGAGGGAGTGATGGTGTCCTCAGAGCCAAATGGTGTGCAGTTTCCAGGAAGAGAGAGAACAGATGCTGGCCAGACAAAATAAAACAGATGTTCCCATATCTATTCATTTGCTCGTTCATCCAACACTTCTCAAGTGCTTACACCCACTCAGCTACTAAGCTCAGTAGTGAGGATAAGAGATTACCGTGGCCAGGGCCCTCAGCCAGACTTGAAGAAATGAGATCTTGTGCGAGGCGACAGACAAACCTATGTATAACGCCAGAGTGATAAATGTTGTAAAAGTCACATAGGGTAAGTCCCATGGTCCGGTTGTTCCACAGCATTTGAGGGCTGCTTTCCTATTTATCCTTCTGATTCCTCTGACAGCAGAACCTGCTCATGGGTCTGGAGAAAATTAGCTTAAAATGTGGCTGCAGGAGTCTTAACTGTGAAAAAGCTCACTGCAGTCTTATGTCTTGCCAGGCACTCAGTAAATGATTGCATTCATTTTTGACGCACTTGAGTTGGCAGATTGCACTTGAGAAAAGGGAACAAAATGCCTTGGTGTCTGTATTAGCTTTCTGGGGCTGCCATACAAAGTGCCACAAACTGGGTGGCATAGAACAACAAAAATGTGTTGTTTCACAGCTGTAGAGGCTGGAGGTCTGAGATCAAGGTGTCCTCAGGGTTGGTCCCATCTGACAGATGTGAAGGAGAAGCTGTTCCATTCCTCTCTCCTAATTTCAGGTGCTTTGCTGAAAATCCTTGGTGTTGCTTGGCTTGTGGACACATCACCCTGTTCTCTACCTTCGTGTTCAGATGCTGTTCTCCCTGTGTGTCTTTCTGTCTCCAAATTCCACCACCCCCAACTTTTATTTTATTTTATTTATTTATTTATTTTGAGACAGAGTCTCGCTCTGTCACCCAGGCTGGGGTGCAGTGGTAGGATCTCGGCTCACTACAACCTCCACCTCCCGGGTTCAGCAATTCTCCTGCCTCAGCCTCCCAGGTAGCTGGGACTACAGGTGCGCATCGCCACGCCCAGCTGATTTTTGTATTTTTAGTAGAGACAGGGTTTCACCGTGTTGGCCAGGGTGGTCTTGATATCTTCACCTCATGATCCACTCGCCTCAGCCTCCCAAAGCCCCCTTTTTTTTAGTATAAGGATACTGGTCTTACTGGATTCAGGGCCCACCCTACTCCATGGCACCCTACTCCAGTATGACCTCATCTTAACTAATTATATCACAACAACCCTATTTCCAAATAAGGTCATATTCTGAGGTACTGGAGGTCAGGACTTCAACAAATGAATCTGGGAATAAGAGGACACAGTTCAACCTATTATAATATCTGTCTCCTCTCTGCTCTGTCTTCCCTTCTGCAGACAAACTTGAAAAACATCCTGATGGGAAGATGGGAAAGGAGGGGGGTTCTCTTTGTGGTGTTCTATAAGAAACAGAATGGACCAAAAACCCAGGATTCGTTCTCTTTCATTGACTCAGATTGAGTGTGTCCACATCCATCCTCTTTCCTGACACTCCCATCAGCCCTTGTGCACAATTACAGAAATCAGGCTGGGGGAGGATCAGGACTTCTCTTATGTCAAGGATTGCCCTCAGCTGGGACTAGTTGGCTTGGAAACTCTTAGACTTTCCAGATAGGCACAAACCTTAATTACCAGGAATGCTGCTTTAAAAAGATAAACCGTGCTGGAGCCAAATGTTTCTAAATTGAACAAAGTGCCTTACAAGCTAGCAATGGCCTCATGTATGCATCTCCACCAAGTGGATACCCCATAGCTTGCTTGACCTTTCTCATTAGGTAGAAAGGCCATCCAACATGATGCTTTGTAGGGCCCAAGTTCTCTCTCAGACCATCTCCATAGGCCCCTCTGGAGAAAAGAATTCAGGAAGAGGCTGGGCGCGGTGGCTCACGCCTGTAATCCCAGCACTTTGGGAGGCCGAGGCAGGCAGATCATGAGGTCAGGAATTTGAGACCAGCCTGACCAACATGGTGAAACCCTGTCTGTACTAAAAATACAAAACTTAGCCAGGCATGGTGGCATACACCTGTAATCCCAGCTACTCAGGAGGCTGAGGCAGGAGAATCGTTTGAACCCAGGAGGCAGAGGTTACAGTGAGCCAAGATCATGCCACTACACTCCAGCCTGGGCAACAGTGGGATTCCATCTCAAAAATAAATAAATTCAGGAAGAGAGTACCAAGAAACTATCATATTGGAAAATGTAATGTAGAATATGGAGATTAGTAGCTCTAGAATTTGAAGTATATCAAGCAAAAGACATTAACGCTGTTCTCTGGGAGAGCCAAACAGCTTCAGTTTCCATAGGACGTTTCTCAGTGCTGTGTGAGGGCAACACATGGAAGGCACTTGCTTTCAATAATCCCCTTGAGGCCGGGCGCGGTGGCTCAGGCCTGTAATCCCAGCACTTTGGGAGGCCAAGGCAGGTGGATTACGAGGTCAGGAGATGGAGACCATCCTGGCTAACACGGTGAAACCCCGTCTCTACTAAAAATACAAAAAATCAGCCGGGCGAGGTGGCGGGCGCCTGTAGTCCCAGCTACTCGGGAGGCTGAGGCAGGAGAATGGTGTAAACCCGGGAGGCGGAGCTTGCAGTGAGCCCGGATGACGCCACTGCACTCCAGCCTGGGCCACAGAGCGAGACTCTGTCTCAAATAATAATAATAATCCCCTTGACTCTGTTCTTAAAATTATAGAATGAGTGCGAGTGCAAGAAAGGATTTCGAGGAAATGGGATTGACTGTGAACCAGTAACTTCATGCTTGGAACAGACCAGGAAATGTCATCCGTTGGTGAGTTATTTAACCTTGGTTTTCCTTAAAAAAAAAAAAAAAATGCTTGAGAAAGAAAGATTATTTCCTGTCGGGCCTAGTAATGAACAAAATCTCTTACCCCCAAAAGGGAATCTCTAAGCAGAATGTGAGTAGTTATTGCAACTTCTACTTCATTCCAAAGCTTGGAAGAACCAGCATATGACTTCCAGGTAAAATACAGAAGTTATGGTTAAATTTAAATTTGAAGTAAGTAACAAATAATCTTTAAACTCAAGTAAATCCCAAATATGGCATGGGATAAACTTATACTAAAATTATTCATTTTTCACCTAAAATTGAAATTTAACGAGTCATTCAGTATTTTTATTTGCTAAACCTGGCACCTCTAAACCAACAGTTTAAAGGATACTTTAAGAGGTAACCGGACTTCAATTTCGAATGTCACAACAGAGTTTTACTTAAGTTATCGGTGAAAATGCCCATTCAAGGGTACACAGTGCCTTGTTCTTCAACTTTGAAAGATCAGGCAAAGGTATTAGGGCTGGGGGTGGTTATGCTTTCAAAAGAACATCACTAAGCACCAAGCACAGGAACCAATGAAGTCTGATGCCTTAATCAGTGTTTGGAGTTCCAAGTAACAGAGTCCATGCAGAAAATAAATTTGTTGGGAGGACCCCCAGGGTAGCTCTGGGAATCCAGAGGCAGGAAGTATGGCTAGGCTTCCCAAGAGCCCAGAACCAGGACATATGAAGAGAGCAGGATCACCAGAATCTAAGCAGTTTCTTTCCCCGATCCTCTGAGACGATGTGGCCTCTCATTTGACTTCCCTCTGTGCATTTTCTTTCTCTCTGCCTCTCTCTTCCCGAACTTGTACTTCTGTGTACATCTTGAGGTAAATGGTGTCCCCACCATCAATGATGCCCTCTAATTTATCAGCACCCCATGTCCCAATTCAAAATAATAGGGGAGGATCTAACTGGCCCAACTGGGCCCAGGTATCCACATATGAGTCAGTCAACTGTGGCCAAGAAGTGGGATTGTTATGAACGTAGCTGCCAGGGCCCACGCCTAGTATGTGTGCAGGGTAGGGCATGGGGGACTAGTTCTGCTGGAAGAAAAATAAGGAGGGAGATGCCCCCAAGGTGTCTGTTACCCAAGAATCTCATGAGCATTTTGCAAAGCTGAAGGAACTCTAACACTCCTGCTTGATTTAAAGCCCAACCAAGCCCTGACATTCCAGATGTGAGTAGCTATTGCAAGTTTCATTCCATTCCAAAACTTGGAAGAACCAATATAGGGTTGCCAGATAAAATGCAGGATACCCAGTTGACTGTGAATTTCAGATACACAAGTATGTGTTGAAAAATCTTTCAGCACAAGTATGCACCAAATATTGCATGGGACAAACATATACTCAAACTTATCGTTTGTTTGAAACTCTCATTTAACTGTGCATCCTGTATTTTTTTATTTGCTAAATCTGGCAGGGATGAGAATAATTTTTTAATTGTAATTAATAGCTGCATCAAACATGCAGACAGGAGACTTTCATTGCAACACTAAAGGGTCCATGGGTTACTTCTACCATCTTTCAGCCCCAAATTTGCAGTTCTGACCTTAGATGGAGCCTGTTGTCTCATAGATGTAACTCAGGTCTAACGTTTTTGTTGGGGTAACCATTTCTTTCATCTTGGTTTTCTCAGGCAAACTGTCAGTCTACTTCTTCTGGTGTCTGGAGCTGTGTTTGTCAAGAGGGCTATGAAGGAGATGGCTTTCTGTGCTATGGAAACGCAGCAGTGGTAAGTCATCTATGATGAACTCAATGATAAAGACAATCCTTAAACCTCGTAGCTAAGGTGTTTTTAAAGTGATCTATTGACATATCTTTTGCTGCAGGAGATTTTACATGAAGCAAGCTGTTTCTCACAAATGACATATGTGCTCTCTGGGTCACATGTTTTCTACAGGCTGAAGGCAGCTGGCTTCTAATTAGCAGCTTCTGTGTAGCAAGCAGTCCTTATTTCTCTTTCTTGATACTCTGTTTCCATTGTCAGACTTCCCAAAGGAGCAACTAACTGGCCTCTGCTGTGTTCACTGGGCTCTCCTGTCTGGGCTAACCTTTGCTTACCCCTGCCGTGTGTGTGTGTGTGTGTGTGTGTGTGTGTGTGTGTGTGTACATGCTTCTGTATGTCAAGCATCTTGCTCAGTCCTTACCATGCAGCAGCACCTCATTTAAATCTCACAACAACCTTCTGCTACTATTATGCCCATTTTACAGGCAGGTAAACTGAGAGGCTTAGCAAAACTTGCCCAACACCCTTCAGCTCCAGAGTGAGAAATCCAGGTGATAGCTCTGATAGCTGTCAAGTGCAGAGCACGAATATTTAACCACCAGTGTAGAACATTCTATCTGTACAGCATGAGCCACACTAAATCAGCATTGCTCCTACATTTTTCTATTTTGACCATGAACTTTTTTTTAATTTGTTGAGGTAAAATATACGTATATAATTTACTATCTTTACCATTTTTATGTATATAGTTCAGCGGTAGTAAATACATTCATATTCTTTATTTTCCTTTCATCCCCTCCTTCCCCCTTCCCTTCCTGGTTTCTGGTAGCCACCAATCCACTCTCTGTCTTCATGAGAGCCAAGCTTTTAGCTCTTGCATATGAGTGAGAACTTGTGATATTTGTCCCTCTATAACCATAAACTATTGAGAGATGATCTTTGTCTTGTTTCCTATATCAGTCCCATTGCTTATAAATGTTTGTCAAAATGAGAAATAAAGTCAATTAACAAATTTCCTCATCACTTACTTTTTATGCAACTCCCTGCAGTTGAGTTCCTGCCCCTCCTCTCTGCCGAAATCACAAGCCTAACAATTCCCAGGACCCGCAGCCTGCACTAAGAGTCTCACCCTAAGAACCTTGCCCTTGGGAGGCCCTTGCCACCCTTCCCCTCTCACTGTCGACTGTGCCTTCTACTCACCGAGTCAGGCCAAGGAGCTGTCTCCTGATACCCAGACCATGGCACGTTAAATCACAACATTTTCTCTGCACTGGCCACAGACTCTGTTTCCTAAAACTCTAAAATCCTGCTTTCACGATGTCCCTCTCCTCCCACAAAAAGCAAAATTAAGTCCGCAGCTTGGCTCTCCAGGCGTCTCCACACAGACTTCACTCTTGCTTTTGGTTTCTTTTCTTGAGACAAGATCTCACTGTGTTGCCCAGGCTGGAGTACAGTGGCTTGATCATGGTTCACTGCAGCCTTGACCTCCCCAGGTTCAGGTGATCCTCCTGTCTCAGCCTCCCAAGTAGCTGGGACTACAAGAATGCGTCACCACATTCAGCTCATTTTTGTATTTTTTATAGAGACAGGGTCTCGCCATGTGATTCACATACCTCGGTCTCTGAAAGTGCTGGAATGAGAGGCCTGAGCCACCATGCCCAGCCCACTTGTTTTTCTTCTAAACAGCTTTCCCCTCCAGTTTAGTCGCCGCCTCCCCAGCTCCAGGCCTGCCACGTTTCTCTCCTCCCCAACTCTGGCCTTCCCACCAGCAGATCAGGTGCACCTCAGCCCTCCTCTCCCTTAAAATGTCCCCTCTAAGGGATTACTCAGGCATCTCTGCTCTTGTGTTTATTCACTTTCTTACTTTTTAACATGTGCTTATTAACTTAATAACCTCAACCACTAGATGGAATTGAGTCAGCACTGAGACTTACTGTCTTCATGTAAATTTGCATGGGAACATGATATTGACATTTTGTGGTGTTTAATAGTTTAAAAAATATTTTCACATAAATTAATGCACTTAATTTTCACAATTCCTGGAAGAAGACTTCATCATATTCGTTTTCAGATAAAGCACTTGAGTTCTCAAAGGTTAAGTGACTTGCCCAAGATCACACAGCCAGTAAATGGCAGATCCAAGAAGTAAACCCAGTCTTTTTTAATAACTCTGTGTTTACAGACATTTTTTTTAAAAAACTCTAACACCTTCAAATGTCACTGCTCTGCCAGCAATGTTGGCTATCTTTTCAAGGCTGAACTTTCCCCAAACAACTCTAAGTTGTAGAGGAGCAGGGCCATCTTTTCCCTTCAATATCTTACATCCCCTTTCATATCTTATGGCCTCCCTTCACCCTACCCCAGTTCCAATTGCAGTGGCTCTATATAGAGAGAGAGCCATATGGTTAAATTAAAGATAATAGGGGCTAAAACTTACTGAAATTATTGCATGCCAGGCTCTAATCACTTTAAAAACAACTCCTATTTCTCATATCAAACTGTGAGTTGGAGCTTTTATTATTCCCATTTTACAGATGAGAAAATTGAGGTCCTTTAGGTAACTGGCTAAGGAGCTAGGAAATGGCAGAACCAACGTGAAAACCCACATGGTTTGCTTCCATTGTTCTGAGCCACTACTCAACAATGGCTCTGAAACAAATAGCTCTAGGGGCTATTTGCTGAGCTCTGTGACCTCCTCTTAGGGTCTATGTAGCCGTGTTCTTACAGCCTAAATTCTGATTTCGAAGAAGCTTGAGTTGTTGCCTCATTCAAACTTCTTGGAATTACTTCTGTAGAGAATAATCAAGCCACCTTGGTGTGAAAGAAATGTGTGACTCTGTCAACATGGAAATGCAGCTAGCTGGAGCACCCATTCATGTCAGCATCAGGGAGGCAGGCCAGGAAAACAAGCCCAGCCCCAGGAAGCCTGAGCACAGGTGACCCAGAAATACACTGTGATTGCACTTCTCATTGTTCTTTCTCTGTTCTCTCCCATCTCTCCCTCCCTCGCTTGCACGATATGAATAAGGAATTGTCGTTTCTCTCCGAAGCAGCTATATTTAACCAGTGGATAAATGTGAGTACATTTATTGGGACTTAGGATTGGGAATGTATATATTTTAGAAACTTGGAATGCATACAATAGAAAACCGAAAATGCAGCTGGTCAGGAGGGTAGGCGATTGTGTTGAGCAGTGTTTCTCAACCCTGGCTGCACTATGGAACCACATGGAACACATTTTTTAAAAATATTCTTGCATAGGTCCCACCCCTGAAGACTCTGATGTGATTGATCAGAGGTTTGCTCTGAGCATCAGTGTGGCAGAAGGGGGCTTCATTCATCACAGGGATCTTTTTTGTAAGTTAACATGATTCATCATTGTACTTCACCAAGTTAGATTTGGGATTTATAGCTGCAATCTGACATAATTCACATGTGCTTAACTCTCAGCTCAAAATGCCAAGAAAAGCTTTTCCCTTACCCCTGAGAAGTACAATAATAAAGAATCCAATCCCCACGCTACGCCATTGTCTCAATCTCTGTCCTCTTTGGCTGAATGGACCAAGGTGGCCAGCCCAGCCAGCCATTGCAACAAATGGTTTATCACCTTCAAATAGACACATGTCAAATGGTCCATGTCTGGTCAGCACCCAGTCCAGAACAGCTTCCTGTTGCTTCCGTATGGCACCTCTCTGAACCCCGCCCCCATCTCAGCATAGGTGAGAGAAGAGACCGAGCATGCTCTCTTGGGCATGCTGACTTTCACATAGACTCATCATTCCTGGTCTTACCTCAAAGCATGAGCTGGCCCAGTAGTGTGCTGGACCCTGTTCACACTAGCTCACAAGAACTGATTGTGCACATTCTTCCTAACGCCACTTTTTGTGCAGTTATTTTGGTATCTTGAAATCAGTCCTGGTGTGGGAGTATTTACACCATAGAAATCAGTAAATACTACAAGCCAGGTCTTTTTTTTTTCCTCTCTTTTTTTCCTAGAGATCCAGTTGTTAAACATGCCACTGCTTCTACCAAAAACTGACTCTCTAGGCAAGAATGAAATTTATGTAAGGTTTCATTTCAGCCCTCTAGTTTCTCCCATGCTGAAACCGTTCCTGCAATCTCCCCACCATCCTTACTCCAAAGCGTCCAAGAATGCTCGAGGTGGCTGGGCACAGTGGCTCACGCCTGTAATCCCAGCACTTTGGGAGGCCGAGGCGGGTGGATCAGCTGAGGTTAGGAGTTCGAGACCAGCTTGGCCAACATCGTAAAACCCCGTCTCTACTAAAAGTATAAAAATTAGCCAGGCATGGTGGCATGTGCCTGTAATTTCAGGTACTCAGGAGGCAGAGATAGGAGAATTGCTTGAACCTGGAAGGTGGAGGTTGCAGTGAGCCAAGATCATGCCACTGCACTACAGCCTGGCAGACAGAGACTCCATCTCCAAAAAAAAAAAAAAAAAAAAATGCTCGAGGTTCTCTGCACGCACACATATACACACATACTCACAAGAACCTAGCAAGGCTTTTTCTTGGCTCTTCATTTAGACTAAAGAGTAAAAGACTTACAATGACTGAAAGTGTGACCTGATTGGGCAGATTTGCTTTGATAAGAACTCATACATTGAATTAAAAAAAATGAGTCTCACAAGGGAAAATGAGACATCAGTCAGTGGGTAGGGTGGATTTGGGAAACGAGACCCTAGGACCCTTCCAGTCTCTTATGGGAAATTGTCATCTCTTCCAAGCAATTCAGTCAGCCCTGTTTGTCCCCTAACATAAGCAGGTCACTTTATTTTCCTTCTGTGGTTCAGAATGCTTCTCTACAACTCACGCTGTCAGCCACCTCAAACCTCACTGTCCTCGTGCCTTCCCAACAAGCTACTAAGGACATGGACCAGGATGAGAAAAGCTTCTGGTTGTCACAGAGCAATATTCCAGCCCTAATAAAGTAGGTGTTACTTATTTTATTTTACACTGTATCTGAATGGCATTTGTGTAAACATGTCTTTGAAGTTCAATGTAGGCAAACCACATGGTCCTTCAAATTCGTGGAGCTGAACATGTTCTAGGATTCCCCTTTCCTCCCACCCCAGGATAGTAATAGTCAACAATTGCTGACAGCCAACTCTGCCAAGCACTGTTCTACTGCTTTACATATAACCCAGTTAATTCTCTCAACAACCCTATGATAGATATTGTAATGATTGCCACTTTACAGATGTGGAAACCAAGGCACAGCGTGTTTAAGTAACCAACTCAAGCCAAGGCTGATAACTGCAGGGGGAACTTGAATTTGGACTATGGCAATCTGACTCCAGAGCCTATTAACTACTCAATGATACAGCCCCATGCATTTATATTGAATTATAGCCTTTGTGGACTGTTGTTTCAGATACCATATACTACTAGGCACATACAGAGTGGCAGATCTGCAGACCCTGTCTTCTTCTGACATGTTGGCAACATCTTTGCAGGGCAACTTCCTTCACTTGGCAAAGGTGGATGGGGTAAGAGCTCTGGAATTTGTCTGTTTACTTGAAACATAACAACTTTGTTTATATTGTACTTTTTAAATTTTCATGGTATGGGAACTTCCAAACATGCACAAAACTACAGAGAACAGAATCCCTCGTGTGGGCATCACCCAGCTGCAATAATTATCATCATATATCAATACACACACACGTTACCCTATAGCAGTGATCCTCTAAAATGTGGCCTTCTGCCCACTGATTGGCCACAAGTCTCACAACAGACCACAGACTGACCCAGAAAGGGTAAAGGATGTGCAATTCCACAATTTTTCTTTTGACGTATAGTTGATTAGGACCTGGTTATTAGCAATTGACTCTATATAGAGAAATGAAAGTGAATCTTTATAGAGTTGAATCTGTATATACTCAATCTTCATAGAATTGAATCTTTATTAGAAAAATGAAATTTTATATTAAGTTAGAGTCAGTCCATCAACAACTATTGATTACCTACTACTATGTACCAGGCACAGATCTAGGTGCTGGAGATAGGGCAGTGCCCAAGGAAGAGCCCAGCCCCAGAGAAGTGTATCATGTGGCACTTTCTACAGTATGTCAGAGACTCAGATTCAGAATTCTGTGAGGGAGTCTGGCCGCCCTGCTGCACAGGCGGTGTTTCAGAGCTCTTTCTGTAAATTGCACAAGATGAGAATGAAGATTCCACTGCAAAGTGAGAACTGCTACATCCATGAACCATGGGCCACAGTCAAAGATGTTTGAGAATTATCGCCCTAAAACATTTCTACCCTCCCACTCATCAGTGTGAGCACTGTGAAAAAGATCTATGCCTAGTAATACCTACATATATGTGGCTCATCAGATATTTTCTTTTAGAAAGCAGAAAACAGTGGTCTGTGGCTTTTTAATATGTTGTAATTCTGGTGACATTGAAGTTATTTTCCATCAGGTTTTTAATTAAAATTGTATATATTTGAAGTGTACGATATGATGTTTTGATATACAAATGCATTGTAAGGTGATTCCTACAGTCATGCTAATTTATTGGTGTTTTAAATCATTGATTCTCTTAGCAAGCATTAATTAATACCCATCTGGGCAGGCATATCCCAGGCCCTCCAGATTCAGAGGTAAATCAATCAAGGCCCCTGACCTAGAGGGGCTAACCATTAAAGACACATTTGTAATGAGTAAATTCCTATGTCCTACATAAATATCTCCTGCCAGGAGGGTTTTCTTCAGGTCCTCTGCAGATGTGACTTGGGAGTTGCTCAGGGTGAGACAAGACCAGGATTCCCAGCAGGGATTTCAACCGAGGAGAAGAGGGGAGGAAACCAGAAAGAGTAGAGCCCAGTTGGTGTTGATTGGTGGCTGGCTGGATTGGTGGGTGGGTTGTGTTTTACTTTGCCCCATTCCTTATGCAATTCATAGTCTTCAAAAGTAGTTGGATTCTGATCAGGAAAGTCAATTACTATCTGTATTAGTTTGCCAACTCTACCATAACAAAGTAGCACAGACTGGGAGGCTTAAACAACTCACATTTATTTTCTCACAGTTCTGGAGGCCAGAAGTCCAAGATCCAGGATTGGTTCCTTCTCAGGCTGTGAGGGAAGGGGCTGTCTTTGGCCTCTCTTCTTGGGTTGTAGATGGCATCTTCATGTTCACATCTCTGTCTCTGAGTGTAGCTGTCTCTGTACAAATTCCTGCTGCTTGTGAGCACACCAGTCAGATTGAATTAGGGTCCACCCTAAGGACCTCACTTTAACTTGATCATCTCTGTGAAGACCCTGTCTGTAAATAAGGTCACCATCTGAGGTACTAGGGGTTAGGACTTCAGCATACAGATTGTGGGGGCAGGGAGGACACAGCTCAACCCACAACTCTGTGTCTAGGGTCAAACCACTGGGTAACTTTAATGAGCCTCAGACGGCACTTTTGTAAATGAAGTAGCATAGAGTAGAATAGACTAGATGATCAGAGTACCTCCCACATAGGAGAAAGTACTCTCTCTCTCTCTCTCAGAAAGAGACCTATGGGACAACGAGTTAAAGGTATTTCTTACTGTGGGTCATGGCCTGAAAGTATGAAGGTCACTGCTGCTCAAAAAGCAGCAACCCCAGAGATCATCTCAACCCCAGGGTGTGCTCTATAAGACTCACCTTTCCCACTGTGGTTTGCATTTACAGAATATCACAATTGAGGGGGCCTCCATTGTCGATGGGGACAATGCAGCCACAAACGGAGTGATCCACATCATCAACAAGGTACAAGATGCCATTCTCCTGTGCATGCAGCATCTCTTTTCGCTTGGCTATTTATCTTCCTATACAGCAATTTTTTTTTTTTTTTTTTTTTTTTAGAAAATAGAAAAATCCTTAGCCTTATATGAAAGTAACTGGTACTGTGCCTCATAACTGTTATTTTAAAACCATTTAGAGACTCTATTGATTCAATGAGACTCAGTTTCCATTTACCCAACCTGTATTCTGCAACGGGCCCTTTATCAAGTGTGGTCACACACATTATCTTTCTTGTCTATGGAAACATCTCAAAAGACACTTGAGGCCAGGTGCTGTGGCTCATGCCTATAATCCTAGCATGTTGGGAGACTGAGATAGGAGGATTGCTTGAGCCCAGGAGTTCAAGACCAGTCTGGGCAACAAAATGAGATCCTCTCTCTACCATTAAAAGAAAAAAAAAAAGGGGGCGTGCACCTGTGTGGTCCCAGCTACTAGGGAGGCTGAGGTGGGAGGATCACTTGAGCCCAGGAGGTCAAGACTGCAATGAGCTGTGTTCAAGCCACTGCACTCCAGCCTGGGCAACAGAGTGAGACTCTTTCTCAAAAAAAAAAGGCACTTGAGCTTAAGCCCCCTGGCACCGTGAAGTCTGTGCAACCAGATGGGACGTAACCAAGAGCTGGAGGAGAGGCATGTGATTACGTATCACTTTTCCACTCTCCTATTTGTATTATTGCATCCTAAAAAGATGAGGTAGGGAAGGCCCTAGGGAAAAAATGGAAAAGAATATAAAAAGCATGGTGACATTTTTATTTTCTTCTACCCAGTTAAACAAAGGTATGACATAGGAAAAAAAGAATATTGATAAATGGGGTTGTAAGCTACCCTGCAACTTTCAGTTACCATATTAGGATCTTCATTTAAAATGAAAGTTGCAAGTTGGAATTTAGGATACATTGGGAATTTTTGTAAGGTGGAATATCAGAAAAAAAAAAAATTGTGTTTTAATTAAAATTTTTGTCGGCCGGGCACGGTGGCTCACGCCTGTAATCCCAGCACTTTGAGAGGCCAAGGCAGGCAGATCACGAGGTCAAGAGATTGAGACCATCCTGGCCAACATGGTGAAGCCCCGTCTCTACTTAAAAAAAAAAAAAAAGTACAAGATGGCTGTTAATTGATTCAGTTATCTGCGTAGCCTCTGGGCTACAGGCGCTCCCTAAGGATCTCCTTCTCTGTCAGTTGGCATCGAGGGCATCTTTGTCAGGGCCACCATTGTGCCCTGCATAAAGGTGCCTGGCCAGAGTGGAGGGTATAGCTAAATCCCAGCCCATTTCACTCCCCATGCTGTGCACCCCTGTTTGGGGTTGCAAACTCCTAGGGAAAGGAGTATCTTTCTTGATTTTCAGTGGCCCTCATCATTGCCTGTTGTTATGTGACGTAGACATAGAACCATCAAGTTCTATCAGGCCTTCTCCTCATAGCTCTTGAATCTGCCAAATCCCATCTAATCACCTTAAGCCCCTCCTCCCCCTTCAGCTCCAACAACACAGAAATGTATCTGTCTTCCTCCAACACAGGGGTTGGTACAATGTTTCTGGAAAAAGCCAGATAGCAATTATTAGGCTTTGCAGGTCACATGGTCCCTGTCATAGCTGTTCAGCTCTGCCGTGGTAGTGCAAAGACAGACTTAGACAATATGTAAACAAATTTGCATAGTCGTATTCCAATTAAATTTTATTTTTAAATACAAGCGGCAGGCTGGATTGGACTTTCTACTGTAATATGCTGTGAGCTCATTTAGGGCAGAATCCAGGCGTCAGTCACACTTATGTACCCACTGCCTGGCCTGTAGTAGGCAAGCAAATGTTGGAAAAAGACTGATTAGAGTAGAACAACATTCCAGTGTTGAATTCTTCAATCTGACAAAGTTCTAGGTAGAATGCAAAGGTGAAAACAATGATCATGGCCAGAAGGTTAATTATGCAGAGCTTGCAAACTCAAATGCCCGGATAGATCAGATGGATAACAAAATGAGTAAGGGGAATGTCCCAAGTAGAAGACATTAGGGAGTGGTGGAGCCTATAATGAAAGTGGCTGCTGCTACTCTCTGCAGCTGTGTGTCTGCAGAAATGCAGACTGATTTTTTTTTTTTTTTAAAAGTCAGCAATCTAAATTTGTATGTAAAAATGCCCTATTATTACACAGCACAAGCCAAACAAAACATTTTTACAAGCCAGATTCAGGCTACTGGGTTGCAGTAGATTTGAGAACTTCAGGGAGAATAAATGAAGAACCTAAAGAATAAACACAAGAATAACAACCAAAGAAGAATGGATTAGATATTAGCTGCAACTTGCTGCACTTCAGTTCAATTTGGTCTCAGATCTTCTCTGACAAGGTAGATTAATGCAAGCTGGAATTAATTGCTTAGGAGAAGCTGAAAGTCTTTTGTGCAAGATGAACTTTTCTTAATCAAGGAGGTTTAAGGGTAAGGCATAAAATTGAATGAATAACATCTCCAGCTCTCCTCCAGCCTTGTCATGCTGTATCCTGGAATATTTTTATTCTGTGGGTAATCTTCAAAAGGTTGTCAATGTCAATCCATTTAACTGCCTAAAGAGGTTAATGGCATTAGCCTCTCATATGTATCAAAAAGCAGTAGGTCCACCAACACATGCTGACAGGATTCTGGGGTTTCTTTTTTCAGGTGCTGGTCCCACAAAGACGTCTAACTGGCTCCTTACCAAACCTGCTCATGCGGCTGGAACAGATGCCTGACTATTCCATCTTCCGGGGCTACATCATTGCAAGTACCACATTCTCTGCCTGACTGCCATGCTTAGGTTACCCAAGAACAGGAATCCCTTACGCGCTCTTGTCTCTTTCCATCGCAGCAATATAATCTGGCGAATGCAATTGAGGCTGCCGATGCCTACACAGTGTTTGCTCCGAACAACGATGCCATCGCGAATTACATCAGGGAGAAGAAAGTCCCGTCTCTAGTAGGTGTCAAGAACTATAACTAGGAAAATTATTTTGTGAAAATTCAAACACTCAATGTTTGCAATTCATTAGTTGTGTGCCATTTCACTCCTTCATCCTTGTCCATAGCCATATACTTGATGTAGACTCATGCAGAGACTGTCTCATACACAAACATCCCCCAGGTCAGAGCTGCTGGATGCTACACTCATGCCCCTGGAATTGCACACTTGAGCCTGTATACACAAGGATGCAGATGTGGTGCATTGAGGGTGTGGTGTTGCCGTGTGTATGTAAATACGAACAAAGGCCGCCCAAGCCCACAGGTGCTTGGCCTATTTAGGAACTATCTATAGAATCGTCACTCTGGTTCTAGCCCGAGTGATAAAAGCACATGGAGAAACCACATGGTTTATCCAGAGCAGTAGTGGGAGACAAGACTGGGCTGAGGGGCGGCTTCTCAGGGCTTTCAGTACCACCCCCATCTTATTAACATCATCAGCCCCTAAATATAAACATGGAAGTGAAAACTGTGTGCTTGCTATGCAAATCCAGCTTCAAACATGTCCTCTCATGTGTGGTGGGGGTGGAGTGGCCCTGGGCCCTTCCTGTATAAAAATTCTGGAGTCACTACTGAATATCAGATAAATTATTATCAGCTTATGGAAGTCTTAAATACCTAGAGAGGTCATTTGGACTTAGTCCTGTAAGAAACAGGATCCACACAAGAGTTTTAAGTCAGATCGTGGCATGATTGAAGCTTTTGAATTAATTCACAAAATCCTTTGACAAACTTTGACTGTTTACCCCTAGATGTTAGGAATCAGGGAAGATAGAGAAGGGGAGGAGAGGAGGAAGAAAGAGATAATCCACCCTTCTAGGTCCCTGCTGCTGATGTTTTAGCCACTGGGACCAGGGAAGGGCCAGGGATGGGGGAGGAGAGGGTGATCATGAGGATTCTTTCAGCTTCTTGGGACACCTGCATGCTTGTACCTGTGAGCTCAAGTGCGTAATTCCAGGGGTATACGTGAAACACACAGCAGCTCTGCTACGGGGGAGGATTGTATATGGGAGAGTCTCTGCATGAGGCTGTATTAAGTATGTGGATATGGATGAGAAGGTTTTGATGGAAAAGTGAAATGACACGATTGATGGACTGAAAACAGTGTTTGAATTTTCAGAAAACAGGGATTTTTTCTTATTTAATAAGGAAATAAGGAAGGCTGCTGTTCTTCCTCACCACCTCCTAAATTCTCCCTATCCTTTCATCATGGCCAGTCCCACCTCCTCAGGGAAGCTGGCCCTGGCCACCCGAGGTGTAGCTGCTCTCTCCTGCCTCTGAATTCATGCCATGTGTAGCCCCTTTCAGCATTTATTGTATATCCCCAATAGGATGAACTGTCGCCTCAAGGAAGCAAGTCTTAGCTCTTCAACTAGATTATAAACCCTGAAGGCAGGGAGAGTGTCCTGAACTCCTGTAACAGGCACGTTGAACTCCTGGGATGGAATTGGAAATCATCTACCTTGTCTTTTCCCTGCCCTCTAGCCCAACCCATTTCTTTCAACCTCTTCAGTGAGAAATATTCTTTTTCTGCCCCAGAATGAAACTTCAGACAGTCCCATAGCCTCTCTGCCTTCCCAAAAAGTCCTATAATCACTTTGGTGACAAACGTACGTTAAGTCACAAACTCAGTCTCAGCTAAGTAAAAATAAAGAATCCAATTCCTTACAATAATCAACAGTTTTAATTGGATTTAAAATTAGTTCTTTTCCCTCCCTGCTCCACAGCAGAGCTTTGTGCAGAAAAGGTCTTGGTTCTTGAATCAGTCAGGGTCCACAGGAGATGGAAAACATACCAATTACATAAACAGAATTTGATAGAATGCATTGTTTCTTGGATATAAAGTTGTATAAATATAATTGAAAGGTTAAAGCGAGAGAGAAATATCACAGTGGTAACAATCACAGGATTCACTTATGACCCCTAAAGCTAGGAGAACAATGGGAGGAGGTTGGAATTACTGAAATGTATAAACCTAGAGACCTCTGAGAAGGGGTCACTACTGAGCTGGTGCTGGTGTCTTTGATCTTGGATGAGTGGGGAGGGTCTCTGTGGGTTCGAGACCCAGACCTCCAGGAGCAGGCATTGCCTGACTGGTGTCTTATGAGTGGAGAGGGCAGGATTAAGCTGGCTCTGCGAGTGACAGGAAACTGCCAACCAGATTCAGGTGCCACTGCAGGGAAGAGAAGTGAGGCTGGGTGATGCCAATAGGAACAGAGAGAGAACAGGAAGGAGTGAGTCCCTCTTTCCCCCTCCAGTCCTCCGACTGTCTAGAGCTTCTCATTGGCAGACCTTAATAGGGAGCCCCTTGCAAAGGAGAAATGTGGGGGACAGCCTCAGCCCCAGCCTCATCAAGCAGAGTGTAGGAGGTGGATTTGGAGCTGACAGGCAATCACTTAGGAACCTTCTCTCCTTCCCCACAGAATGCTTCTCTTCCCTTTCTGATCTCATTAAAGTCCATTTTGGTTTCACTAGGTTTGAAGTAGAGGGGTAAGAAAGGTGTTGGTGGTTGGGAAGAGACATCAAGAGAGTAAGAAGGTTAAGAGGGATGGAAGAGGAAAGGAAGAACCCTAAAACCACAGAGCCTACCCCTAGCTGTGCCCCTGGGGAGCCTGCCCATCCGGGCTGCCATCGGCGCTCTCAGACACTCCCCACATCTGAACCACAGCAAACACCCACATTCTTGTCCCAAGCCAACTATGCAAGTGCAAATCTGTCCCACGCAGCAACAACTCTCCTCACTCCACCAAGGGGCAGCTCACCAGCAGTCCCTGCCTGGGTCAGACCCCATCCAACGGGCCACTCTGTTTCCAGGAGACACAATTCAAGGTCCTTAAAGCATCCTAGTGAAGCTCCTCTCATGCCCCAGAGGTGAAAGGCAGGCTGGGGTGTGGGGACTCTGTCTTCTCAGCAGTTCTGCCCAGAGAATTATCACCTTTAAAATCTACCCCCAGCTCTCATATCTTCAGTCTGGGTTTTGGAATCCTCTAATGAGTTCTTGACTGTCCTATCTGGAAAATTTGCAAGTTCTCTGAAGCCATCTGTTTCATAACTCACTTTCATATTGAATCTCGATGGTGTCTTGATGCCTCTGTCAAAACTTCCACTTGAACATGGGAGAAGTTGGGTAACTATCAAGCTGATCTCTTGACTGACTTTCAATTCTGTGTGTGATCCAGAAAGAGGACGTCCTCCGGTATCACGTGGTCCTGGAGGAGAAACTCCTGAAGAATGACCTGCACAATGGCATGCATCGCAAGACCATGCTGGGTTTCTCCTATTTCCTTGGCTTCTTTCGCCACAACAACCAGGTGCGATCCTTTTATGTAAAACCCCAGCAATGCCATCAAGAATTACATCAGGGAGAGTATGAGGAATGAATGTCTTGGCTCCTGTCATCCTTCATCACTTCTGTATTAGTCTGTTTTCACACTGCTGATAAAGACATAGCCAAGACTGGAAAGAAAAAGAGGTTTAACAGACTCACAGTTCCACGTGGCTGGGGAGGCCTCACAATCATAATGGAAGGCAAGGAGGCACAAGTCACGTTTTTCATGGATGGCAGCAGGCAAAAAGACAGCTTGTACAGGAAACTCCCCCTTATGAAACCATCAGATCTTATTCACTATCACAAGAACAGCATGAGAAAGACCTGCCCCCATGATTAAATTATCTCCCACCAGGTCCCTCCCACAACATGTAGGAATTCAAGATGAGATTTGGGTGTGGACACAGTCAAACCATATCAACTTCCATATTGGTATCATCTCACCGGTGCTTCCTAAGCCTTACCAACACAAGACACTTGTCTGTGTTTCACTATAAAGTAAAGCCTAAACCAGGCTGTCAAGCTCCCACTCTCCTGCCCAGTTGCCAGCCTTCAGATGATCAGTGTAGCCTTACAAATTGTGGCATTGAATCTCTGCAGTCATAGGCGTCCTTCAGCGCTGGTACAACAAACCCAACAGATGGTCCCCAAGCAGTGTCTAGGATGGAAGGGAACCTGGGAGATCAACCTAACTCCCAGGAAGTGGTGTGGGCTCCAGGGCATAAGGAGCCCTGTGACATACACAGGAGCCAGCAGCCAAGTGTATTAACATTATTATCATTGTATAACCATAGAGATAGATTGCAGTCCTAGGACTAACCGACCACCACACTGGTATTCCAGTGTTGAGCTCACATGATACCTAAATATTTAAACATGTTTACAATTCATAGAAAAGAATTCATGAGGCTAAATATTTAATATATTTCAATTATAAAATTCTCATATACTTCAAAGATCAAGTAAAAAGATCAGTTTGAAAATTCAGTAAGAAATTCATAATTCTAATGTAAATTCTCACAAGAAAAAAATGAGACACTAAACAGTATATTGAAATGAAGGTTTAATCACAGGACTTTTTAAGCAATAATATTTGAACCTTTCTAAAAAGTATAATTTTAAAAACAATTTCTTCAGTGATGTCATTACTGAATAACAAGTAAATTTTCAGGTAAAATGGTTTTTATCTACTTAGGGGGAAAAAGTCTTTCAGTTCTTCATTGATTAAAGAATAATCTAACTTCAAATATTTTTCTCAGACTTCTACAGATAAGTCTACCTATTGTGCAGTAACTTGGAAGAGGCCCTTTTAAATATACTTTTTATTTTTCCAGGATTGATAATTATGGTATTGATAGAGAACTTTCATTTTTGCTTCTGTATGTATTTGTCACCTTTTATTTCATCATGTAGAGATTAATGTCCAATGAAGGTAACTGAATCAATTTTAGAGCTGCAGTGTTCATTTTCCATGTGTGCAGAAATTCTTTTATCTAGAGAAAGAATTATTCATACAATAGAGGCTTTTATTGATAGTAATTTACTTTCTCTTATGACAGTGGAAGTGTAAAGAAATGCTTTCTAAATGAGTAGACACCATCAAGTCGAAATTTTAATGTGAGCCATAATTCTCTGGATATACCTCAAAATGGAAATAATTTGGACCTTTTTAAATGCCAAATCAACAGTGTTACAATATCAAATGTTCTTCTATTTTTGGTATTTAAAAATAGCTCAACATCTTTGAATTCTGGAAATTTATTACAGTCGCCATTTGAGATGAAGTCAGGTTTCCTCTTAATTTTCCCAGTGTACACAGACCTTGGAACACCTCTGTGGAGTTCAGCCAGGCTTATCCCAACAGCCACATGGAAGCTCATTTGACTGCAAGTAAATCATAAGGGACTTTAACATTCAGTGGAAGTTCGAATTAAGCACTTAGGGTCATTTTAGTATTGCTGCAACATGGATTTCTGGGATCATAATATATGAATTTATGAATTATAAACCATTATTGGATCCTAACTTGAGTTTTCCCACTCCCAGCTTCAGCCCTGCTACACACACACACACCACTTCAATTTTTCAAAGAATGATTTGCTTCCAGTTATATATGTGTTATATTAATGAATGAATCCATGGCTTCATTTGTTTTTCATTGATTACTCATTAGAGTGTTCTTCCCTAAAAAAAAAAAAAAAAGAAATCAGAACAAATTACAACTCAAAGTTGAATTTGATTTAGATACAGACTTCTAATGCCTTGGATGCTTATGGACACACTAAACAAGGACAGATGTAAACATACCCTTTTAAAAAATTATTTTTATTCTTGTATAACCATCATTAGCCTTTCTGAGGGTTGTTTGCACATTAACCATGAAGTGGAAACGTACTGAAAGGAACAGTTGCATTCTTCGATTCTTGGTTATGGAAGGCGCTACCACCTCCTGAACCACTGGTCTACAGCACAACTGAGCATGTCTGTAGAGCCGCCTTGCCAGTGGGCACTAACATCATGATTGTGGGTGGCATTTTTCAAACACACATAAGCCAATTAATTTGCATGATGGAAGATGCCTTAGAAATTATGTAGAACAACTTCTTCCTTTTACAAAAGAGAAAATTAAAGTTCAGATAAGGAAAGCAATTGGCCTAAGGTCACACAGCTAGACGGCACCAGGGCTGTTATTCAGACCTCCCCTCCTAGGTCAGAGCTCTTTCCAATACAGGTGGACTATTATAATATCTCCAGGTGAACATTGTACTATCTCCTAGGCTATTGTCCTGTTGCTAACCTCCAGTTCCTATCTTCCCCATATCTCTTCAAATGTCGTAAAAAGTGACATTTAACCCTGTTGTTCACAGCTCTATGTAAATGAGGCTCCAATAAACTACACCAATGTAGCCACTGATAAGGGAGTGATCCATGGCTTGGGAAAAGTTCTGGAAATTCAGAAGAACAGATGTGATAATAATGACACTACTATCATACGAGTAAGTTCTATGGGCCAGGGCCGATGATGAAACTAAAGAATATTGGCTTGTTTTTTATAATTTTTGGAGCATATGGCTTTTCTATTGAGGTGTATCAGTTCAGTCCATAAACCACTGAGTGAGCACCTTTGATGTGCCAAGGAGCATACCAGGCTGTGATTCTACAAAGATACATAATATATGACCCCTGCCCTCAGTGGGCCTGTGCAAGAGGTTGTACCTTGTGTGCCTGGGAAAGGCTGCCAGGTGTGTGGGGGGATGGTGTGCTGTGTTGGGCAGGATTCTGGACTATGGCTTTTTTCAAAGGGAATTTGTGCCATATCTAGCACAGGCACAGGATAGGAACCATGGTGCACCTATGGCAGTTATGGGCCAAGCCTGCTGTACCAGAAGAGAAAATAAAATGAATGATTTCAGTGTATTATGGAATTATGATAATGGAGGCTTTTCACGCCAATTCATGGGGCTATGTAGGACTTTTCAACAATAATTATAACCACTGACATTGATTGGACACTTGTTATATGCCAGGCACTGCTCTAAACATTTTACATGCATTAACCTGTCTAATCCTCACAACACCCTACCAAGTCGGTACTATTACTATCCCCATTTTACAGATGGGAAAAATGAGCCAGAGGGGTTAATACATGCAGGTTCATACACTAGCAAGTGGCAGAGAAGGGCTTTAGGTGTAGGCAGCCTGGCTCAGAGGTGGAACTCTGAACAACCACCTTATCCTCTCTGGTAGGTGTAAGATTCAGAACTAGACACGCTGACCACGTCCTGTTTTAGGAACAGGTTGAGCTTGAGGGTTTCTGTCATTGTGAACTTTTACTCTTTGTTTTGTAATAGCATGCATTATCTCTGTGGGGCATCTCCACGCTGAAGCCCTCATCTGAGCCATGTGCTCCAACGCGGGGCACTGGGTACAGTACCTTTTAGTTTCTGAATCTGGCCCGATTCACTTAATAGTTGGTTTTTAATAAAAGTTATTGTTAAAAGAATTTGGACTTAGATAATGTCACACTTTAAAGAGTTAGCAGAGTCAGAAGAGTATTGTGGAGAAAAGGGATGCAAATGTGCAAGACCCAAAGGAATTGAAGTGTTTGTCTCCAAGAACCTTAAAAAGGCTGACCAGATAACCTTCCTTGATTTTTAATTCAAAAACCTTCCGTTCCAAGTTGTGGACGTGCAGCTTCATTTTGCACTAAAGTTAATTACATTGATTGCTTTTGTGTTTTACCAAGGGAAGATGTAGGACATGCTCCTCAGAGCTGATCTGCCCATTCGGAACTAGACCTCTAGTAAGTATTTTGTCTGTTTTGATAAAATAGTTTCCAGATCCGAGGAGTCCCAGTTAGAAAATGAACCTCAAGATTATGTGATTTTGCACTTCCCTCATTCCTTCACTTAATTTGAATTACATTTTACCTCATTATATTATATGCATCTTTGTAAAATCCTACATCTATTTTTTTGGACCAAGGCAAAATTTAATAAACATAAATGGGTTCATATGAATCAACAGACAGGACAGAAAGACATTTTTTATGTTCTATGTCTTTCATATCCCAGTAGCCCCTTGAGGACAGCAGCAAGAAATCTTATCAGAGAAGAGAGATTCCATATCCAAAACCATATCCAGCCTGGATATATTCCACCTGCCTGATTTCCTTTTATAGTCGAAGTTGCAACTAACTTCCTCAAAGAAACAGATGGCAGATATAGGGGAAGTAGACAATCCAAGTTTCTTGTTGCTATTTATTGTAAAAGATACTTCTGATTACATTACAAAGAATACTCATGTACCTTCAACAGCATAATAGTTTTTACAAAATATACAATAAATTTTTAATAAATTTATGATGAATTTTAATCTATAACAACCATACAGATGTTCTCATTTGAGGTTTAATTTAATCTTGTATGTTATAATCTTTGTACACAGCCGTAATCCTTTCCTGGGCCAAAGCAGAATATAAATCAATAGAAACCAAAGTTCAGTTTAATCAATGTACAGTGCTGGAAGGACATTTTTACCTGGTTTACTCTACAATTCTTGCAAACTTGAGTTGGTGTGCTAAAGAAATGTTCTTTTCGTGGAGTACTACTTTAAAGTATAATTACTGGATTTTGCCACCTGGCATTCCAGCAACCACCATTGTGTTTTTGTGTTTTCTTGCTCAAGAAGCAGTACCAACAAGCCACCACCTTCCCTTTCCATGACCCTATAGTCAGAGAGACAGCAATGCATCACCCAACCACTTGCTTTCAGAGATTGGAAAACTTTTTCCTAACTTAGGAGCTGACGTAGTCACTAATATTTCACAGAGTAATGAGAAGAGGAGATGCATCTATACCTCCTATTTCATGGGAAGACGAACCCTGTTTATTGGGTGCCAGCTAAAATGTGTGAGAACTGTCATTGTGAGTACAATAATTGAATCATCCTAACTACTGCAGCACCATTGGGAAAATCCATCGTATGGTATCCTTTTCAAAATCCCTGTGCATGTACACTTTGTCATCTCTTCTTGTTACCTGCATTATCATTGTCATTCAATGTAGTAATGATAGCAGTAAAGCTCAGAACAGCCCTGTAATCCAGAAAATGGGTAAAAGCTGCCATATTCAGTTGCATGATGAAAAAAACAGAGTCCGAGAGGCTAATGGGACCACCTTCTTCTCACAACAGGGTAGCTCTGTGAGCATGCTTGTAAGCAAAAGAGACAGAGAAAGTGTCCACTCACAAAGGTGAAGATAAGGTGCACATGGTCATTTAGAAAAGAGGACCCCAAGGCTAAGTACCTCTAGGGGTGCCTTTGGAATCTGCAGGAAAAGTCATGATAACTTCCTGTCCTGCTCCTTTCCCAGAGAACTAGACGTAACCTCTGCCTAGCTGGGCAGAGGTGGGGTGATCTGGCCCTTAGGCTGCAGAGCATAGGGGTGGGGGAGATTTTGTGTTTTTAATGCACTCAAGAATAAAGGCAAGGAAAACCCAAACAGACATCCTACAGGGCTTCCCTGAACTGCAAAAGATTGGTTTGTAAAATGCCAAAAGCCTCACCTGCAGAGGCCTCCTCACCTTGAGTAGGTAGTAGATGAAATAACATCGATGTGAAGAGGCCCAGGTCTGGGTTGGAGAAGGCCCCTCGTCCTCCCACTCTCCAGCATCACAGGCATTATTCTTTAGTTTCTTCTGCTGCCCCTCCTCCTCTCTCATTTTTCTTCATCCTCTTCTCTGACATGCCTTTTTCCTTTCCCTCTTTCCTACCTCCTCGGTGGAGCCTTTGTCCTGTTCCTAGCACCCCTAGAAATTGCCAAGCCTCACTCAGTCCCCAGAGGGTCCTGCCCCCATCCCTCACCCATTCCATGTGAGGTCAAAGAAACAGGTGCACATTAAGTCCCCCACGGCAGGATTTCTACACTGAGGCTGGACAAAACCAGAGGATAGAAGTGTATCGTCAGGCTTTGTCCTTCTGTTTCAGACGAGAGAATGCTGTGCTGGCTTCTTTGGTCCCCAGTGCCTGCCCTGCCCAGGGAATGCCCAGAATGTCTGCTTTGGTAACGGCATCTGTTTGGATGGAGTGAACGGCACAGGTGTGTGTGAGTGTGAGGAGGGCTTCAGTGGCACAGCCTGCGAGACCTGCACCGAGGGCAAGTACGGCACCCACTGTGACCAAGGTGAGCACTGTCCCCTCCACACAGGCTCCTGGGCTGCTGAAACCAACCAGGAATGTGTGGGGAAGGAGTGATCCCACACATGCTCTCTAACTGGCCTGTCTCCCCAGGTGGGCTGGAATCCTACCTGCTACTATCACTGTGAATTATAAGAGCATCTGTATTGTCATTTGCATTTGCAGTGTTCCCAAACATTTTCAGTCACTAACGTGGACCTGCCAACTCACTTCCAATTTACTCATTGACATTCCAGCCCAAATGCGTTTTTATATTTGCCTATGCACACTAATCATCACAGATAGACTTTCCGTTGTGGACATTGCTTGATCGTTTGAAAAACAGATTTGCACATGTTATTCATTTAATCCACACAGGAACCTTAGGTACTTGAGTATTGCTATGCCCATTTTACAGATGAGGATATTAAGGCAAAGAGGTTGAATGACATCCCCCAAGGCTACACCTGATGAGATGCAGAACTGAGAATTGAATGTACACCTTTCTTGACTCCAAAGGTTGCTTTTAGATCATACTGTTCTTTACCTGAGGATCACTCTATTGTTTCACCAGCAGCAAGACACATGCCTTAAGTAGTTTTTGCAAAAACGGCTATCTGTTTGAGCCAAGTCATCTGTATTCTCACATCCAGATTTCCTTGTATCCAGGAACACACAGCTGTGAGAGGGTTGACTCAGGAGGATGGGTTTTCCTAACAAAGCATTATTCTACCTGATATTAAAAACCATACATTTAAATTGGCTATCACTGTTTTCTCCTCAGCTGGTCTAAGCCAGAGACAATTAATGTACAATTGAATCATTATAATTGGGCCTTATAATATTTACTTTGAATTACAGTGTTGATTTTTTCTTATGTTATTTGGAGTAATTATCTGCTTGCATTTGTGCATGAGTTCCTCAAATGGGATTTGTAGATGACCCTCATGGGGTTCAGCAAACTGCCAAAGCTGAATACATTTTTCTGGGGAAGGCATCTGTAGCTTTCATCCAGTTCTCAAAGAGACTCATCTGTGTAATTGAGGAAAAGAGTGCCACACCAGGCTTATACAAACCCAGTGTCAAATGGGCTTCCTCCTGAAGTCCATTCTTAGGGGGCAAACATGGTTCCATCCAAAGGAGCCCTGCATAACCCTGGATCCCCTGGTAACCTTGACTGAGTACACTCTCACACTGCTTGGGTCACAGATCTTCAGTGCTACACCGTCTCAAAACTGCGGTCTGAGCCACTTCGTTAAAGCTAGAGCTAATTCACCTGTCAACTTGCTAGATTCTGTCTCCTGCACCCCTGCCCTTCTTGTGAATCAAGACCCCAATTAAAGACTGATTCCTAGAAGTAGGTTGAAGAATTAAGTGCAATAAAGCAAACCTAGTAAATGACAAAATGAGTTATTGAACAGGGGTTAGAATCTGATGATTTACAGGTGTTTTTCCACTTAGCATGTTCTTGTGTCCATGGGAGATGCAACCAAGGACCCTTGGGAGATGGCTCCTGTGACTGTGATGTTGGCTGGCGAGGAGTGCATTGTGAGAATGGTAAGAGTGAGCCCTTCAGTCTTTATAATCTGCTCTAAGCTTTGCTCAGCAGCTACATTTTTCTTTCTAAAAGAGAAATGACACCTTTATTACTTCTTCTGGCAATAACCATAATTCTTTCTTGCAGCAAAAAAATTATAAAATAAAAGCAGAAAAAAGAAAATAAAATCCCTCATACCCCCAAGACAGGAAAGCACTATTACTGATATTTTATATTAGGCTCCCAACCTTTTTCTAGGTATATAAACATGTATGTAGGGAATCACAATCTACATACTGTCGATTAACCGACTTTTCCACTTCACGATATATATGGATATCTTTCCCTGTGATTAAAATAGAAAAATATTAATTTGTAATCTCCACAAAATGTTCCAGTATGACCATGCTACACTTTTTTGAACCAGTTTTCTGCTCTCTCAAACATTGCTACAATAACCATATTCATTTAGTCAAATTCCTAGAGATGAGATTTCTGAGTTAGGGGTTGGCAGTCTGGGGAAAGGTCTTGCTGCTTACTGCCAGGTTGTCCTCCAGAGGAAATAGCAATCTATTCTCCTACCAACAGTGTCTGAGAGGCCCATTTCCTCCAACCCCACCACATCGCATTGATGGTTCTTGATGTGCTTCAGGTGAAGGCTATTAAAGAAGGGAATTTCATGCAGAAAGAAGCACCTGGAATACCACAAAGACGTGGGAAACTCAAGACATTTAGGGAATCAAAGGATTGCAGAATGAGAGGACTATAAGGGCAAAGAGGAGGGTTGATGAGAAAAGGCTGGAGCAGTGGGCAGGAGCCAGGCCGTGAAAGGCTAAGGAGGTTGGACTTCTCACTGAAGTCAACAGGAAGCCATTAAAGAGTTTTCAACAAGAAAGCAATATGATCGTGTTTTGCACTTAAGAAAAATCATTCTGACTTTGGATTGAAGAGAATGCCCCTGGAAGCAGGTATCAGAGACTCCCCCTCTTCTGGGATGGGAGCTGGGGAGGAGATCGCAAGTGCTTGCCAGCCTAGGGGGAACTCCATGGATGTGGCATTGACAGAGGGGGCGCCTTTGCCCAAAGCTCCAGGCAATGCAAAAATCAAGGGAATGCAGTTGCCTTTTAACGGTGAGCAATAAGGGGTCAGGGAGGAAGGTTCATTGAAAAGCTGACTTGGGAAGTCTGATCCCAAGCCAAAGAAATATCCCAGAGCAGGTGTCAAATGTCAGGGTACAGAGCCAGGCTTCTGAGAGCCTGGGAGAGGGAAGCAGGAAGCAATGGGGTCACATAAACAATAGGATATTTTAGGCGAATCCCCAGAATAAATACAATAGGCTCTCTCCTCTTCTTGCTTTCTCTACTCTGAAGAAAGACCTCACCACTCATGCACCTGGTCACACAATCTAGGAACCTCCCTCCTCAGCTTCTCTACCTCCCTGTCCCTCACTAACATACCTAACATATTCCATGTCTCCACATCTCTCAATCCATCTCTTCCTCCTGCTCCCCTCTCACCAGTAGCCTTGTGGTCTCTTTGTTTCCTGTCCTATCTTCCTCCACTCCGTACTCCGCATTACTGTCAGATAGAACTTTCCAAAACATAGATCATCATTTTCACCCCAACTCCTCCCCAGGACTTGACAACTTGCTGTGGTTCTTCATTGCCTTCAAAAGAAAGTCCTAACTCCTTAGCAGGATGGACCACACAGGCTATTCACCAATGAACACTCACTCAGTTTTCCAGGCTTATCTCCTATCCCTGTCTCCAGTGCACACTGTACACAGGAAGTTTCCAGTCTAGAAAGGGAAATAAATGTTTAGTAAAAGACAGGAAAAACTGTGGTATGGAGTACAAAACAAAGAGCCTGTAGACTACAGCAAGGAAGACAACGCCTTTGTGTGCAGACTCCTCACTCCTAAGACCACAGCAGATATCACTAATCAATCATGGCACTCCCTCCCTCTGTGACCAGCCAGGGGCATCCAACCCTTCTCAAAGTAGCACACCATGAAGGTACTACCAACTAATTGATGTCGGCTCAAATGTTTAGAGCAGGTTCCAGAGAGGAGAACATAAAACGTGATTGAAATTCCAACAGGTAGAGAATAGAGAGAAAGGGATTGTTTAGGCTCAAGGAATAAGACACAGGCACAAAATTGCCCCTATTCCAGCCCATTTGAGTCTGAATTCCCGCTGACACCACTTTTGCAGCCCTCTGTTTCAGGACCTCCTGTATGACTTGGCCAGGACTGGTAAGATTTCTATCCCAAAAGCTCTTAACATGAGCATCCTATCCAAGAATATTCTTCCCTCATCTCTAATGATTTATTTCTGAACCTTGTCCAGTCAAGAAATAGGTAGGCATCCAAGAGCAATAACCTATGCTGTGTCCAGGAAATTTACATATTCAACAGATAATATTGTATACCTGCTGTGTGCAAAACCCTGTGATTTTCTGCACATGCAAGAAAAAATTTTATATAGTTTTGCTTGTTTACAGCACTCCATAATAAAATGATGAAAAATGAGAATAAAATTAGGAATAAACTAGAAAGAATAGCATAGGAAATACGAATAAAAGAAAATCAAAACCCAGAAGAGAGATACACATCAACACCCAGACCATAAGAGCACATGGTCACATTCCAGGGAGAATTCTGTGTTTTATTCACCCTTGCATTCTCACTGCCTAGCACAGGGCCTGGCAAACAAGACACCATCAATGTATTTGACCTTCAGATTTGGCTTTGAGCTTCGTGGCAGCCAGTATAAAAAAGGATTGGCATGGTCTCATAGTTTTGTATCGCTCACATGATACATATCACTTACTTCCAAAGAAGTAGCTTTTCCGAGCACAAAATACTAAAAATCCTCAGATGAGATTTAGTAAGAGGGCTGAGACAGCAACTGTTCTCTTTTTCAGTGACCACAGAAGACAACTGCAATGGGATGTGCCATACCAGTGCCAAGTAGGTAGCCCCGGGCCGCCTCTGGGGACAATGCAAAGGGGATTTTTTTTCCCAGTATGGTCTACCCTAGTCTCTATCCTCGGGATTTGTTTCCTGACACCATTTCTGAGGGCTTAGGATAAATTTAAGTATGAAACTAAAAATATCTCTGATGAGGCCACTATCAAATAGCCAGATCCAGGCTTTCCAACAAGCTGCCATCTGACTTACCTCGCACATTGACGAAAGTGCCCACTGCTACCCCAGTCCAAGCCACCAGGACTCTTTCTTGGAGGATGAGGCAACCCACTGGGCCTCAGTTTCCATAAACCTTGTTCCTGACCCACAGCAAGGCATAGCTTCATAATCCTAACTTCCAGAGAGGCTGAATGAGTTAAGTACCTAGTAGTGGATTTAGACATGAATTCAAAGTCAGCCAGTAGTGCCATTTGCGCTACTGCATGACCTTGAGTCCAATGTCGAATCCCTCCAAAGCCTCCGAGTCTTCATTTGTAAATGGGAATAATACCGACTTGCTAGGGCTATTGGATAGTGAGTAGATGACACAAAATAATACATGAAACATGGCTCCTAGCACATCAGTGGGCTCTCTAAAGCTTGGCAGCTACCCATCTTATTCCTGAACTGATGCCTGTATCTATGCATGCTATAGTTTGCCTGATAAATGAGTACAGTTTTGGCTGCCTGTGGTGGGGTCATGCCAGAATTAGACTTCTCCCAAGCCTTAGGACCTCTGAGTGTCTCATGGGGGCAGGCACCAGGATACTGGGGATGAAGGGCATTGTGAGTCACGTGGTGGGAGGTGGAGTCTTTTTCTGCAGACCCCATTTGTCCTTCCTTGTTGCAGCTGCCTTCCCAACTCAGATGGTACAGCTTCATGCAAGTGTGCAGCAGGATTCCAAGGAAACGGGACCATCTGCACAGGCAAGCAAAGGAAGGCATTTGCTGGGGGCTGGCAAGGCTTGCATGGGCTATTGAAAGATTCTTGTTCCTGCAGTCTGAATGGGCCTCAGCTGCTAGTGCCAACCACTGATGGTGAATCGCATATAATAGGGCAGTGGATTGTGCCTGGGGACAGGAAACCAAATGGTCACAGCCTTGACCACAATTGGGATCACCTGGGAAGCTTTAAAAACCAGTGATTTGTGTTGAGAACCCACATAAAGAAATGATCAATGTTTCAGATGATGGATATGCTAATTACCCTGATCTATATGTTATATGCATCACGGTATTACTATATACCCCAGAAATGTGTCCATTAAAAAATAACTCACTGATTTGATTGGCCTAGGGTATGGCTGGGGCATCGAGGGTCTGGAGTAGACTAAAAAGAATTTGAGCCCTGGTTCTTCCTCCAACTACCCAAGTGGCCTTGGATAGGTCATTTGTAAAGTAAACTTAAAACTACCTCCCTTGCGGAGTGGTTTTGAGGTTAAGTGAGCTCTCTGTGTTCAATGGAAGAATAATGCAGCTGTTGAAAACTCAGCTCAACTTAGACTCCCCAGGTTTGAACCTAAGTACTTATCACTTACGTTACCTTGGGAAAGTTTCTTGACTGCTCTTTGCATTATTATTTTTATCTGCAAGCTGGGGATAATAAGACCTCAGTCACTGAGTTGGACAGTAACCTGAATTAATACCTGTGAAGTGCTTAGAACAGACCCAGCACGTAGCACTCAATAAATGTAAGCTAATATTCTTATGGTCCCTGGTGCTAGAAAAAAAAAAAATGGAAAATCTTAAGGTCATTTTTCTCTTGAGCACTGTGTCCTGGCAGGCTTTGGTCCAGATTGTGACAGCGCTGGACAATGATCATGCCAATCCTCTTTCTAGACCATCTTACCCTGGGATTCTCCCAGAGGGCCAAGTAGCCCCACCTTGGTCCCCAGGTGTGTCCTGCAGTACGATGCGTACAGAATGCTAGTAAAAACAGCTAGAAAGGGCAAATCACGAATGTTTTTCTTGCTGTTTTTGGGAATTGGCCATATTTAAGCCAGTGCCTGCTCAAGTAGTTTTGCAGTATCTTCCATTTCTCAATGACTTAAGGAAAAATACATCAATGGCTTTTCCTCTTCCCCCTCCCCTTCCCCTTCTGCTCTGTGTCATTTTCTATAGCAATCAATGCCTGTGAAATCAGCAATGGAGGTTGCTCTGCCAAGGCTGACTGTAAGAGAACCACCCCAGGAAGGCGAGTGTGCACGTGCAAAGCAGGCTACATGGGTGATGGCATTGTGTGCCTGGGTAGGTGCCCTTCCCTCTTCCACCAGCGAAACAGTGTAAGAGTCAGAGCCCTATTGAATGATTACAACATGTGTGCCCTGATTGTTGGGACACAAAACTGAGGTCATCATTCTGTTTGCCAGGGCAGGAAAGTATAAGGGCATGGAAAAGTGACCACAGGGTATGAAGGCATGTAATGTCCAAAAATTACTTTGGAAGGGTAAAAGGAGATACATTTTCCAATTAAACATCATGGCGATGACAGCACATTTAAACTTTTATTAGTTCCTTTTTATACAAGTAGCACATGCTCACTGTAGAAAAAGAAAGCACACATGCCGGAGAAAATACACTGAAGATAGTGCTCTTAGTATTGTCATTACCCCATTTTGCTATGCCTACATGTATTTGTTTAACAAAAATGGTATCTCAAGATATACAGCATTTACCATGCTTCGCAATATATCAGAGTAACTCTCCCTGAAAGCAAGTATACCTCTAACTTTAAATATCCACACACTGTTCTACTATAAAGGTATACCGTGATAAGTTATCTAAATTTAACAGTTTAATTGGAAAAAAATTGACATGGAAGAGTTACAAGAATAGCACAAAAAGGACCCATTGGTTCTTTACCCACATTCACTTATTAACATTTAGCCCTGGCTGGGTGCGGTGACTCACGCCTGTAATCCCAGCACTTTGGGAGGCCAAGGTAGACGGATCATAAGGTCAGGAGTTCAAGACAATCCTGGCCAACATGGTGAAATCACGTCTCTACTGAATATACAAAATTAGCCAGGTGTGGTGGCACCTGGGAGGCTGAGGCAGGAGAATCGCTTGTACCCAGGAGGCAGAAGTTGCAGTGAGCCGAGATTGTGCCACTGCACTCCAGCCTGGGTGACAGAGTGAGACTCCATTTCCAAAAAAAAAAAAAACCATTTAGCCCTGTTTATCATTTTCTCTCTTTGTATATATACATTTTTAAGCCATTTGAGAGTAATCTGTGTATATTGTATTCCCTTTCTTCCTAAATACTTGAGTGTATATTTCCTAAGAATAAGGATAGCCTCTTAGGTAACCATAGCACAGTTATCAACTTCAGTAAATTTTTTATTGATGTAATACTTTTGTCTAATTACCATTCATATTCTAATTTTGTCAGTTGTTTCAATAATGTCCTTTTTGACATTTTTTCCTCCAGTGCGGGATCAAGTCTAGGGCTGGATATTGTATTTCATTGTCATGTCTTTTGAGTCCCCTTTAATCTGGGAGAGTTCCTCGGCTTTGCTTTGTGTCTTATGACATAAACACATGGGAATAATATCCTCCACCTCCCCAACTTTTTTTTAGTAGCATGTCCTTTATTTGGGGTTTGCCTGGCATTTTTCATTCTTAGATTCAAGTTATACATTCAAGGGCCCCAAATGTCACACAAGTGATATTGCATCTGTCTCAGGAAGCCTTGAGCTCTCCTGCCCTTTGTGTGTGATGTTAATTTTGACCACTCGGTGAAGGTGCTGTGATATCTCCATTGTACAGCTATTTTTTTCTCCTTTGCTACTAATAAGCAGTCAGAGGAGAGACACTTTAACACCAAGCAGATATGTTGTTCCCCATCAAAATATGCTCCTAAGTTTAGCATCTTTTGATGAGTCTTCCCTGAACCAATGTATATTGTGATGGTTGCAAATGATTGTTTTTAATTCCTAAGTCTCTTCATTCATAGCACTCTTAGATTAGACTCCAAGATTCTGTGGTTTCAAGTACTTTGCTACAAATGCTCAGATTTATTCCATGGACTGATTTAAGCCAGTAGACAATACCTCTGCTGGAACTGGCCTATCCCAGAATAGTCAATCTTAAGAAACCGTATCCAGTACCCTCCTAGTTCGGTTATTTCTGTCTCAGAATTTCCAGAAAACTGAATCATGCTTTGACACCCACTCCCCTCAGTCAGCCATCTTAGCTCATCCCTCACGCTGGCTTCGCTTGGAAACCAGACTTGATTTCCAGGCCAGATGTTGGTTTTTTGTTTTAAAGAAATCAACCCATGTTTGGAGAACCATGGTGGCTGTGACAAGAACGCAGAGTGCACACAGACAGGACCCAACCAGGTGAGTGCCACCTCTCGCAGGCCCTTACGTTTCATAGAAGGAAACTCCTAGGCCTTTAGACACAGGCCTGAGAGGAAAAGGCTGAGAATGGACCTCTGATGAGCTGCAGCCGAAAATGAATACTTTAGGGGAAATTCTGAAAGAATCAAGAGGCCCTTCTTTGGGAATGAGGTGAAATGGGGGAAAACCAAGGGTACCAGGACAAGGGGCTTCCCTAGTGTGGGGAGAAGTAGGTATCTGCAAATACCATGTGATTCCAGAAGCATCTAGACAACCCCCAAAAATACTCCCCTTTCTTTCAGCATACTGATGCCCAGAATCCCACACTTTATCTTTGGCGTAAGGCTCTGAAGCACACGTGCCACGGCGAAGATAATACTGTGGGCACTCTAACAGTCACATGGCCCTGAGTACAGGGAGCTTGCAGCATCTGTCTGGAGGGGAGGTGGGGAAAATGAGAGTGCCCGCATCAGAGAATGGGGGTCACAGGGTGGAAAGACACAGGCAGGGAAGCTGGAGGCCTGGAGACCCAAGTTCTGCCTTCCTTAGTCTCTGCCACATGGTGAACAAGCAAAATGGCCAGGCAGGAAATCACATATATCCAAAACTGGATGACAAAGTGAAGTCACCAGTGAGTGTTCTATTGACCTTGTTGAGCCATCTGGAGACCTCAGTGCCAGGTCTCTCAACAGGCGGATCAAGCAAGTACCTAAAGTACCCAAAAATAAGAAAAAATTGTCTTGAACTGTGTGAGCACACATGTGCGTGCGAGTGGACACATTTAGTCATGGAGAAAATCAGAGCTGTCAATGCTGAGCTTTCTTAGACATCTTTTGAGGATTGGTAGTTTCTATTTCAAACTGCATATGAGATAGGAGACAATCTATAAACTTTTTGGTGCTTGGGACCTCTAAGGGTGCCCATCCAGTCCTAGGAGGCAGTAAAGGAGGATGTGGAATTGAACTCTGAGAACAAGACCTTGGCTGAGGAGGGACAGCTGGTGATGTCTTGGAAAAGGTTTGAGCTGATATTGGGGCCCATTGTGAAGAAAGAGGAAGAGAGGAAGAGGAACAGGGAAAACCTGCCCATGTAGCCCTGGCTGGCACCCCTGATGAGTTAAAGTGCTCAGAAACAGACATCTTCCCAGGGCCTGCCCTTGTGTGAATTAGAAAAGCTGCCCCTTGGGAGAGCACAGTGGGAGCAGGTGTCCCTTCCTTTGGGGACATCGGTGAATAGAGTGTGGGCTGGGCTTCAGCCCAGTGAACACAGAACATGAGGCCCTGTCCTTAGCTTCTTCAGACAGTGTCCCCTCCCTCAACTTGAAGCTTCCACCCAACTTCCTGGGCCAACCAATGGGTTTGGTAGATTGTCTCCACGCGCACACCTCAGTGGGCTGTAAAGGCTTCTCCTTAGCGTCTCCTAGCACTGGTACCTTTCAGCTCAGCATGGGTGCAGATGAGCAAGATAAGAGTATGAATGAGAGTGGGATATAGTTTGGCTTCCTTTCAACTGACCTTCACCAATCAAAGAAAAGAAGTGAATACCTGAAGGCAAGGGATCAAATGGGGTGAGAACATTAAAAAGAAAAAAAAGGTATTTTAGCAACAAAGATAGGATGTGCATGAGATCCCAGTGCTCAAGTGAAGTGTGCCAAGTGCTAAAATATTAAATATAAGGTGACAATTATTATAAAATAGATATTACCAACATCAAATACAGACTCTCCCAACGTTACTGTGACCATGATGGAGTTTGGGTCTGAGAGCCAGTTCATGCGGCCAGTACAGAACCCATCTGCAAAATGACCCCATGTGCTTCTGCTCCTGGACAGGCTGCCTGTAACTGTTTGCCAGCATACACTGGAGACGGAAAGGTCTGCACGCTCATCAACGTCTGCTTAACTGTGAGTATGGCTCTATGGTGGATGTCCTTCAAGCCTCAGAGCCGGGGTGCCTGCCACCCCACTTCTAGGGGATGCAGAGTTGAGAAAATATTCCTCTGGAGGCCTCATAGCTGTGTGTTGACCATGAGGTTCATTTCTCTGGCACATTCCATTGTAATGTTGGGGAGAAAGGAGAGAAGGCACCGTCTGCTACCCCCAGCCTGCCCCTTTGGCTGTGGCATATTGAGCTAAGTCTACCCACTTGCTTATCCCCCATCCATATAGCCAACTCTTATGAAAAAGATCCCTTTCCCCCTTTCCACCAAGCATGTTTCTCACCTCCTCCAGGAAGCCCTCTTAGGTAAACCTCACAGCAACTTTCCACTCCTCCTTCTCCTAGACTTACACGTAGGAATCCACAGTGAGTGCACTCTGAGTCAACCATATAGTGTAGCATTCCAAAAGCTAGTTCTGTCATCACAGAGGCCTAGAGGACAGGCTAAGGAAGATGAAGATTCTCTCACCCCACAACTACCCTCCATGGCCCCTATCACCCCCATTCTACATGTTAACGCTACCTTAGAACAGAGGATCCAGTTCTAGATGCCTTGCATTGAGCAGGGGTTCATATGGGGGTAGAAGCACTGTGTCTCCTATGTCCATGCACGCATCACTAATTCTCCCAGTTCTCTCTCTCTAAAGAGGAGTTGGGATGTGGGGTGGAGGCTGCCATCAACATTTCAAGGATTGTCACATAACAAAAGGGTTGTTCTTGTTCTGTGTAAGTCCAAGCAGTAGGACTAGGACCAGCGGATGGACAGTAGAAGAAAACAGATTTCTTTAAACTCAACTCAGGTCTTTAGTTAGAACTGTCCAGAGATAGAGAGTTTTGAGAAGTAATGAGCTTATTATAACTCAAGGTATTTAACTATAGGAATAAAGCAACAGATGGGTTATCAACCCAGACAGCCATTTAGATTCCTCCCAGCCCTGATCCATATGACTCTTGGATTTTCAGCTGGTTTGCTTCTTGGGACCTCAGTTTCCTTGGATGGTTATAAATGTCCCTGGAGTTCCCTTTACCACTAACATCTGGGCTTTGACTTTCTTCCTCCAGTCTGTAGGATATTATTGACACACTTCTTGTCTCCGTTTGCATGTTGATCCTGGTAGGAGCAGGATCTTCTGATTCTCTTATAACCCTTGACTGCAGGCTAGACCCATGTTATGCAAACCGAGTAGGAGTTTACTCAGTCATTAATCACTGAGTCTCAAACTGGGCTAGTCACCTACTGCTGCTCAGAGCCTAATTGTCCCAGGCCTGGTGCCTCCAAAGGGATGAGATAAGCCTGCTGACCCAGCATGTCACATCCGGAGCACTTTGTGTGGTCAGCTAGGCCTCTGAAGTCCTGCATCAGCGTCACATTTATATCCACTGCTTGCCAGGGGTCAGCCACTGTGCTTAGGGGTGCCCAGTCATTCTTTCGTTTAATTTCTCTAACAACCATATGAGGTAAGAACTGTTATTAACCCCATTTTACAGACAAAGCGACTCTAGCTGTGCCTCTTTCCTACGACTGCTATAACAAACTGCCACAAACTGAGTGGGTGAAAACAATAGAAATGTATTTTCTCACAGTTCTGGAGGACCAAATCCAAAATTAAGGTGCCTGCAAGGATGTGCTCCCTCTGAAGGCCCCATGGGAAGGTCCTTCCTTGCCTCTTCCAGCTTCTGGTGGCTCCAGGCATTCCTGGCCTGTGGCCACATCACTCTAATCTCTGCCTCTGTCTTCACATGGCCTTCATTTCTGTATCTGTGTCTTCTCTTCCTCTTGCAAGGACACTTGTGGCATTAAGTGGTTAATCTAGGATGATCTTATCTGGAGATCCTTAATTACATCTGTAAAGACTCTTTTTCTAAATTAGTTGCATCCACAGTTGCATCCAGTCCTTAGGACAGTTCAACCCACCAGGCTGGGAGGAGTGAAGGCCCTTGCCCAAGGTCACAGACCTAGTATGTGGCATGGCCAGAACTTGAGCCTATCTCTGTCTTACTCAAGATCTGCGCCCTTGACCATTTCTTGGGGGTGCTTGTTCTTCCTACAAGGCCCAGTCCCAACACCTTGTTTTCCTGTTTATATTACTTCCCACCTGAGAGCCGCCAGCTGTTGACATGAGAACAGTGCAGACACCCTGTAATTAAGACCCTTCTTCAGTTTAGGCTCCCATTATCTCCTTGTGTTGATCTGGCAAGTTCCTCAAGAGATCAATGTCCTCTACATGAAACAGTTATGTAAGGATAATAAAGAAGCTATAGAAAAGATGGGGGCTGAGATATGAAGCTGTTACCAATAGAACTATGGCCAGCTTAATTTTCACAGGAATTCTTCTATGGGCCATTCATGTTTTGTAAAAAATGGCCACCTTGTCTTGGACAAATGACTCCTGATACAGCTGACCTGGGAGATTCTGAAGGTCCTTTGCTACTGTATCTCAGCAACATATTCCCGTAGGAATTAACTCTATTGCAAGATTGTAAAATTATAGGCCATAAGGGGCCAGGCAGGGGATAATATCAATAGGAAGACCCAAATCATGTTGCCGCTCTAATGGGGAAACATCTACTCCAACTGACTGGTACTCTAAACTGTGTCAGCCCAGTGTTGACAGTACTCCTGCTATTTTAAAAGATATGAAAATTTATGAATTTGTATGTAAATTTTACCAATTTTTAAATGATGGTAATTAATTTCAGAAAGCTCTTTTAAATACTGGGCTAAACAAACAAAATAGTCCTGATGCTAAATCTAGCCCAAGAACAATTATTTCTGCTCAAATCCTACCAACAAGGACTGTGAAACATTGTCTTTCGTGAGTTAGTCCCCAGTCCAAACTACTTTAGTCCATTTGTGCTGCTCTAATAGCACAGAGGATACCTGAGACTGGGTAGCTTATAAGCAATAGAAATGTATTTCTCACATTCTGGAGGCCGGGCAGTCCAAGATCAAGGCACTGGCCAGTTCTGTGTCTGCTGCAGGTCAGCTTCCTGGTTCATAGATGGTGCCTTCTTGCTCATTGGTAGAAGGGACAACTGAGTTCCCTTGGGTCTCTTTTTTCTTCTCTTCTCACATCAGAAGGGTAATGTGCCAATGTTGTAACAAGTTTTGAGCGAGGCACATCTCATAGAAGAGTGTGAAAACCCAATATCAAGCTAATGAACCACAAAAAGATCTCTCTTTTATAAGGGCATTAATCCCATTTATAAAGGCTTTGCCCTCATGACCTAATGACCTTCTAAAGGCCCCACCTCCTAATGCCATCACAATGAGGGTTAGGTGGGGGACACAAACATTTAGACTAGAGCAGGAGGCAAGCATGTTGATGGGACAGAGACTGGATGAGATGGGAAGGGTTGTAGTGATCGGACAAGGTCTCTCTGCAAAGGTGACTCATTCCTGAATGTTGAGAAGTGGGCAGCCACATGAAAATCTTAGGGAAAATGTATAAACAAAAGGAAGAGCAAGTCAGGGGTCCTGGGAACAGGAAAAGCTTGGCATGTTCTGGGAACTGAAGAGACAGCCAGTGTGACTGCAGTAAACGAATAAAAGGGAGGTGGTGAGGGGCCAGATCACCTTACACCATGTAGGCTATGCTGTGGAGCTTATATTTTATTCCAGTTATGACTAGGAAGCCACTGGATAATCATGTAGGTCAATATCAATGTCTGGCTTGGCTCTCAAATCTCATTCTGGCTGCTGTGATGACTGTGCATGATAGGGATTCAAAAGCACAACCAAGAAGACCATGTAAAAGACTAATAGAGCAGACCAGGAAAGACCAGAGTGGTTTGACTGAGCTGTAGCAGTGGGTATAATAAGAAGTCGCTGGGGCCAGGTGTGCATGGTGGCTCATGCCTATAATCCCAGCACTTTGGGGCGCTAAGGCAGGTAGTTCGCTTGAGCTCAGGAGTTTGAGACCAGCTTGGAGAGAAAGAGAGGGAGATAAATCATTGGACAGGGGATGCATTTTGGAGATAACCAACAAGACCTGCTGATAGACTGGATATGAGAAATACAAGGAAAAGGAATCAAAGACACTATCTAGGTTTTTTGCTGAGACATGTTGGTTCCACTCATGAAGATAAGGATGGCTTAGAGATGAGGAAGCGTTGAGTGAAATATCAACAGGTCTGTCTTTTTGTTGAGTTTGAGTTGCTTGGTAGCCATTCAAGTGAAGATTTCCAGTGAAATGTAAGCCTGAAGGAGAGATCATGACAGAGGTACAAATATAGGGGTCATTGGCACAGAGATGGTATTTAAACACAGGGGACTGGCTGAAGCACAAGATGAAAGTTAGAGGCAAAGATGGGGCAGGCAGAGGGGCCCTGGATATTAAGCCATTGAGCAGAGGAAGAAGAACCTACAGAGAAGACTCAGTAAAAAAGCCCACAATGTGGAAGGAAAACCACCTATCAAGTATAGTGTCAACAGAGGCCAAGAGAAGAAAATGTTTCAAAAGGAGTGATTGTACAGGCAAAGGATGTTGAGATGTCACCTAAGTTGAGAGAAAAGAACTGACCACTGCCTTCTCAAGGTCTCAGTTCTTGAAGACCTGGATCAGGGTGGAGGCTTGTGTAAAGGTGGGATCAAGAGCCTAGAAGTAAGTTGAGAAAAAAATTGGAAGTAAGGAAAGTAGAAACATAGACAACATTTGCAAGGATCTTCCTGGGCAAATAAATGGGGTAGTTAATGGAGAAGGATGTGGACTGAAGGAAGCATTGTTTATAACACTTGACTCTGGAAAATTTTAAACCTACGTTAAACTAGAGCAACTAATACATGAACCCATCTGTACCTGACACTCAGGTGCAAGACTCAACTCATGATCAGTCTTTGTTCATCTATACCTAGTGGGTTCTCTTAAAGGAAAAGCGAAAAGAGAGTTTGACTTTTTTCAAGATAAGTAATATGAAGGCATGTTTTTGTGCTGGGGAGTATGATCTGATAGAGGAGAGGAGGTAGATTGTTACAGGAGGAAAACACAGGAAGGGGTGAGAGGGAGTGGGACCCAGAGCCCAGGTGGAGGCATCAACCTCAGAAGCAGATGTAGTGTCAGTCAGTCTATTAGTCAGTGATGAACTAGTGAGTCCATTAATGAGTCAGTCCATTAGTTAGTTATTTGTTAGTACGCTTGTTAAATAAGGAAAGCAGAGTCCGTGAGTTCAGACCCAACCAAGTGGTGAAGCTCAGGATGGGGAGATGAGGTGGTTCTTGTTACCTGTGTCTCTTTTCTGCATGAAGTACAAGTGGGGCTCATCAACTAAGATGAGAGGACAGTGATTGAGAGTTGAGAAAAGTGAGGAGTGGAATGTCATTTGTATTAGTCAATTTTCATGCTGCTGATAAAGACATACTCCAGACTGGACAACTTACAAAACAAAGGTTTATTGGGCTTACAGTTTCTCATGGCTGGGGAGGTCTCATAATCATGGTGGAAGGTGAAAAGCATGTCTCACATGGTGGCAGACAAGAGAGCTTGTGCAGGGAAACTCCCATTTTTAAAACCATCAGATATCCTGAGACTCATTCACTATTACAAGAAGAGCACAGGAAAGACCTGCCTCACAATTCAACCACTTCCTACCAGGTTCCTCCCATGACACATGGGAGTTGTGGGAGTTATAATTCAAGATGAGATTTGGGTGGGAACACAGCCAAACTGTATCATCTCTAGAGAGAGGGAAATTAAATGTACTGCAAAAGTGCAGGCATCCGTGTGCATACCTTTGAAGGAAGTCCGGATAGCACGTATCTGTGACTTTCGCAGGCAATGCACTGCCAGCCCGGCAGACTCAGAGAAGTTAGAGTGGGGCCCAGGAGGGCTAGGGATTTGCCAAGCCATAGTGATGGAGGGAGAGAAGAGCCAGGGAGACTCACAGTGCTCCACCTTGCCAGCTGGCTGAGGGCCAAGGGGGCTGAGTGGGTGGGCAGAAATGCTGGGGAGAAAGAAGTAAGCTCAAAGGAGGGGAGGTCCCTGTGGACCAAAGGAGGTTGGAGACTGCACTATTAGAAGAGATAAGTTGAAATGATAAAAGTTGGTGGCCAGAGAGAGAGAAGGATGCTTGAAATGGAGCTCTCAGGAGCAGTCAGTGCACTTTAATGTTGACTGCAGAGCCAGAGGGTGTGGGCAGAGGTGGTAGAGGCCATTGACAAGGGTATTGACACTGGGAAGGATGGCAACATCAAGAATGAAGAGGAAGGCAGTCATCCAGGCACCAGCATTAGAACCAAAGAGTAAAATCTAGTGAAGGATTATGGATACTATGTGTTCAAAGGATGAGGGTGTGGAAATGTTTTGGAAGTGACAATGTACAGTAAGAAAGACACTCTCCCAGAACAGCCAGGACATTGCCACTTCAATCCCTCACCAGTGTGGAGGTAGTGGAAGAAAACAGCTTCACTTGAGAGGCATAGGAAGGACAATGTTTGCAGGAGACAGAGACCTCTGCAGGAAGAGGTGAAGAGAGCTTACTAAGAAGAGGTGAGAATGTCAGAAAGTTGCTAATGGCAATGAGTTTGAGAAAGCATGGGGAAGGGTTTGCAAGGAAGGGGCCTATGGGGTCAGATGATGCATGTGTAGAGGAACATGGGGTGAGTGTCCCTGCAATGAGTGTTCCCAGGGATGTTAACTTTGAACCGTGCTTTGCTTTGTTTGTATTTTAGATCTCTACCCATCTTCCACACCTTATGAGATCTTTGAGGGCTGGGACAGTGTGTTCTATTTTATACCACCTGCCTTCTGTCTGATAATGGTTACCTTTTCCTATGATCAGAATTTAGCTTAAAGCTGGGAAGTATCAAACAGGTGGAATCTTACTAGTTAATACCTGAATGCTGAGAACTTTCCAATTTGGCAACTCTGGGCTTACCTGTACAGGGCTGGAGATCTGCTCAAAGGGACCTGTGATCTTAGGATACAAGGCCAGGTGAATAAGATGCCCCTATGAGCATAGGGAATTGGAAGGCAAGCTCGGGCAAAGGACAAACAATTCAAATGAATCGAAGAAAGTGAGACAAAAAATGAATTCCAACCAAAAATGAATCCCGACGCAGAATTGCTTTGTAAATATCGGTAGAGCTGGCAAACTAACTGGTCTAATCCCCATTCCTTGCCCCTTGGCAATTTTACCAGAAAAATGGCGGCTGTAGTGAATTTGCCATCTGCAACCACACTGGGCAAGGAGAAAGAACTTGTACTTGCAAGCCAAACTACGTCGGAAATGGATTTACCTGCCGTGGCAACATTTATCAGGTAACGCGAGACATGTTTCCATAAAGTAAACTCTACTTCCCTAAAAATGCCAAGAATCCACATAGCTAAGGAATATTCAAGAGCTTGGTGAAATCTAAAGCGCTGTAAAAATATGAAAGACAATTTTATATAAATCAGCAACGGAAAGAAATTTTGTCTTCCTCTGGGAATTCATTTGACCTGCGAAAGAGCGTAATGTAGGGATTAAGATGAACTGTCAGCTCTGGAGTCAGAAACGCCTGGGTTTGAATTCAGTTCTCCTGGTTAGTAATGTGGCTTTGAGCATATTATGTCACCTCTCTGTGTATCAGTTTTCCAATCTGTAAAAGAAAATAATGATGGTACCAACTCCATCAGCTTGTTAAAGTAATATGTGCAAAGGACACAGAGTGCTCAGTAGCTCAACCACATTACCATGGTGTGGATTGTTGCACGTGCATGTGTGCGTGTGCATGTGTGCATGTGTGCGTGTGCATGCGTGCATGTGTGCATGCACATGTTAAAATGTACATGCATGTGTGCATGTGTGTACGTGTGTGTGCTTGTGTGTACATGCAGGTGTGTGTGTGTGTGCATGTATGTGTGTGTACTGAGCATAGTGGTTGAGGCAATGTGATCCTTGCAGGTTTCTGCCTATTATAAAGTAAATGTTCAGTTATTTAAAGAGGGATGAAAATGTTCTGGCTGATCAAATATTGTTAATAGAGTAACCAAATCTGCCCTAAACCTATAAATGATTTTTTAAAAATATTTGAACATCAGAAAAGGCTCTTAAAGTTCAGATACTTCTGGAAATGGCTGAACCTTTCTTTCATAAATCAGATGGCGATTCCAGAAAGGTTATAGAATTCACACTATGTCCACATAGTCATTAACTGAACATTAATTGTCAGCCTACAGATGAAGCTCCAAAAAGGCCCGGTGTTACAGATTTCCAGTTGAAGGGATGGCAGAGAAATCATCCTGTGACAACCCTGTATTGTTCTTACATATATTTCACAGGCATTAACTGAAACTACTGTTTGTTTGCAGGAGCTTCCCAAGAATCCGAAAACTTCCCAATATTTCTTCCAGTTGCAGGTAAGAAATGTACATGTCTAACCATAAGAGTTCAGCCTAGGCCAGGTGCAGTGGCTTATGCCTGTAATCCCAACACTTTGGGAGGCCAAGGCGGGCGGATTGCCTGAGCTCAGGAGTTCGAGACCAGTCTGGGCAACATGGCAAAACCCTGTGTCTTTTAAAAATACAAAAAAAAATTAGCTGGGCATGGTGGCGCAGGCCTGTAGTCCCAGCTACTTGGAAGCTGAGGCATGAGAATTGCTTGAACCCAGGAGGCAAAGGTTGCAGTGAGCTGAGATCATGCCACTGCACTCCAGCCTAGGTGACAGAGTGAGAAACTGTCTCAAAAAAAAAAAAAAAAAAAAAAGTTCAGCCTCAAACCAAATACAGGATAAACTGGTAGCCTCTAGAGCTAGTGAGGGTAGAAGAAAGTATGGGACCCTGAATTTCTAGAATTTTCTGCATAAGAATGTAGTATGTGAAAAGACTCCCATCACACCAGTAGAGAAAAAGGTATGACTGGGACAACTGGTTAACACTTGGGGTAAAAAAATTGTTTGATCTTTCTGCACATCATACATCTGAATGAGATTCAGAGGTAAGAATAAAATACAAAAACTAGAATAAAATCATAAAAATATAAGAAATAAGATTTTAATAAAATCATTAAAAACTAGAAGAAAATACGCTCATAGTAACCATATGATCTTAGAATTGCAAGAAGACAATTACAACAGTTGAGTATATCAACTTATGTTTTATGTTTGTATTATTATCCTAATGATATAAAATACTGATATATGCAAGAGACATTGGAAAAAAATACCTGAAAATAATAAGATCTGCTTCTAGGTGGTGGGACTAGGGGGGCAGCTATTATTTTTTTCTTTGTGCTGTATTTTCAAAATCTTTAATACAATAAGCAAGTGTTAATTTTATAATGAGAAAAAAAACACACGCACACGATTTCAGTTACGGAGAATCTGGGTTTCATTTGAATCCGAGACTGAAACACAGGTCTCCTCATCCAGTCTTTGTTTCAGCCAGGTGCCATCATCTCTGGTATCAGCTCAAGCCCCTGCATGTACTGATGTTAAGTGATGTGTAAGCCCCACCTTTCTTCCCACAGGAGCATTTCGTGAAAGATCTGGTCGGCCCAGGCCCCTTCACTGTTTTCGCACCTTTATCTGCAGCCTTTGATGAGGAAGCCCGGGTGAGCTCAAGACTGAGGGTGGAAGGGGGAGGTCTGCGGCTGGAACACAGTCTTTGGACCTCGCCCGGGAACCGAGACTGGAGATGTTTCTAAGCAGGAGATCTAAGATCAGGTTGGAACTCACCAGCAATAGAAGGGGCTGCCTCTTGGCACAGGGACCCCTATCAGGAGAAACATTCAGGTGGATTTGGGGTAACCACTGGCCAGAGACTTTCTAAAAGACATTCCTGAACAACATATGAGGTTGGAGAAGATGAACAATTCTCAAGTGAATTAGACCTCCCATAAACAAAAAACGGGTGTGGAGGGAGAGATGCTGGGTTAAAGAGATTTAAATAGATTCTTTTCTTGCAGGATTTATCAGAGCCTTTACTGTTCTAATATTCACAGGGGCTCTTCATACTGGATTGCCCATTCGTAAAAATAATAGGTAACATTCATTGTAAGTGTGTCAAGCACTATTCTGAGTGCCCGGCTTAGATTTACTCATTTGGTCCTCACAACAACCCTGTGAGTTGAGTGCTGTTGTGATCCCCATTTTATAGCTGTGAATACTGAGGAAAGTAGCTTTTCCCAAGATCACATGACTAGCAGGGGATGGAGCACAGACCCAAACCTGAGCCCATGTACTTAACCACTGCACACCCAGCCTCTCTTTGCCTATATTTTGGACACCAGCAAAGCAGAGGCACAAAAATAGTTTTTGAAAGAAATTGGCACTTTATAATTCAAAATAAAAAGTCATTAAAGGAGTTATAAAACATGAGAATTTTGTGGGTTTTTGATTACACTTACTTTATGGTTAATATTGCTTGATTGTTTGTTTGTTTGTTTGTTTTTGAGACAGGATCTTGATCTGTCATCCAGGCTGGAGTGCAGTGCCACGATCTCGGCTCACTGCAGCCTCTACCTCCTGGGTTCAAGTGATTCTCATGCTTCAGCCTCCAGAGTAGTAGTTTTAGTAGAGATGGTGTTTTACCATGTGGGCCAGGCTGGTCTCGAACATCTGGCCTCAAGTGATTCGCCCGCCTCAGCCTCCCAAAGTACTGGGATTACAGTCGTGAGCCACTGCACACAGCCTTGTTTGTATTTTGAATTCCAAATGGAGATATGTCATGATCCTCCCAATACTAAAGGTTTGAATCTGGCACTGATACCTCTCCAAGAGGGGGATATACCATGCAGTGTTTCCCAGAAAATTCTTTTTTGAGGATCATCTCACAGAACTTGCGATCTTTGCAACATGTATTGTGAAATCCCGGGCCAGAGGAACCCCATGTTCCTTCCACACTGAGATTCCACAATGGAGGCAGGAAAGGAGCTAGAGTCACTCCTCCCTTTTGTCTGAACAGTCTCCACTCTATAATCCTGACCACTCTATAAAGCTTACCTCCCGGAGTCTGGGTGGGCCGAGAGGTGTGGAAGAGAGAATGGAGGAGAGGAGAGCCAAATGGCACATTGCAGCACAAGGCTCCTGCCTCTGGCTGGAACCCTCTGATTTTCTGTTACAGGTTAAAGACTGGGACAAACAGGGCTTAATGCCCCAGGTTCTTCGGTATCATGTGGTCGCCTGCCACCAGCTGCTTCTGGAAAACTTGATATTGATCTCAAATGCTACTTCCCTCCAAGGAGAGCCAATAGTCATCTCCGTCTCTCAGGTAGATACCAGTTATCCTTAGCTCCTCTCTCCCCTAGATCATGTCCTTTGCAGGAACCTGGATGGAGCTGGAGGTCATCATCCTCAGCAAACTAATGCGAGAACAGAAAACCCAATGCTGCATGTCCTCACTTACAAGTGGGAGCTAAATTAAGAGAACTCCTGGACACATAGAGAGGAACAGCACACACTGGACCTACTGGAGGGTGGACAGTGGCAGGAGGGAGAGGATCATGAAAACTAATTAATAGGTCCTAGGCTTAATACCTGGGTGATGAAATAATCTCTACAACAAACCCCCTGACACAAGTTTACCTGTGTAACAAACCTGCATATGTTCCCCTGAACATAAAATTAAGTTTCTTTTTAAACAAAGAAAGTGCCTTATCTTTAGGTCCGCTTTCTCTTTTTCTTCCTTAAATTAATATAAGAAATAATAGACCAGGCGCGGTGGCTCATGCCTGTAATCCCAGAACTTTGGGAGGCTAAGGCGGGTGGATTACAAGGTCAGGAGATCGAGACCATCCTGGCTAACACAGTGAAACCCGTCTCTACTAAAAATACAAAAAATTAGCTGGGCATGGTGGCGTGCGCCTGTAGTCCCAGCTACTCAGGAGGCTGAGGCAGGAGGATGGCGTGAACCTGGGAGGCAGAGCTTGCAGTGAGCCAAGATCGCGCCACTGCACTCCAGCCTGGGTGACAGAGCAAGACTCTGTCTCGAAAAATAATAATAATAACATATGTTAAGTGATTTCTGTATGCAGGCACATAGTATTTGGTGTGTACTAACTCATTTAATCTGCAAAATATTCCCTTGATATAGACAGCGTTAATCCTTAATTTCCGAATAAGAAAACTGAGCTCAGAAAGGTTAAATAGCTTGTCCAAAGTCGCACAAAGAGCAAATATTAGAGCAGGATTAAAACCAGAGGCAGGCCTCTCCAAGTAGTAAATAGAACTGCTTTTGGTAGCATTAGTCAGAAGCTGGAAAGGTTGAAAGCTTTTGATCCAAGTCACTTGACCAGGCTGGTCCAGTCCCTCCTTACTACAGAGAAACAAATGGTGACTGTAGAATTCCTTGCAGAAGGAGGAAAACCAGGGGAGGAGGTATAGAACAAATATAAAAGAAGCCAATTTTGAGCTGCTTGCTTGCTTCATACTGGAGAATCATATTGAAATTAGTGTTTTAGATGATTCTATGTTATAATTAACTTCTCCAGGTGAAAATTACATGTTATCTCTGTTTTCACTTTATAATAATAAAAATACACTCAAGTATTAACTTGGATATTCAGGTTTTGCTCCTGATAATTTAACACATTGGTAAAGCATTCTGTGAGAAGGAATTTTGTGTCTATTTCACTTTGCACTCATTTCTTTTTTGTTTTTGGTTGATTTCAGGGCACAGTGTATATAAATAATAAGGCTAAGATCATATCCAGTGATATCATCAGTACTAATGGCATTGTTCATATCATAGACAAATTGCTATCTCCCAAAAATTTGCTTATCACTCCCAAAGACACCTCTGGAAGAATTCTGGTAGGTAAACTCTCTCATATTTTCAGCCTGGAGTGACTCAATACATTATCATCTCTATTCTGATTCGAAGTCATCATTTTGAAACATTTTCTTTTTCGGCTTCAATCCTAAGCAATTATTAAAAGCCTCGTAAACATTATTCTTAATAATAAGTAAATAAGTAAAAGTCTTAAATTGTTAAGCAGATTTTATATGTTTTTCTTTAGCATCCACGAGGGCAGGTAGTCTTACATAGGTTTAGAAGATGGAGAAAGAGAGGAAGGAAGGGAAAGAAAGAAAGAAAAAATCTGGAGTAAATCTCCTTCTCAATTGACAGAAAATGTAATTTTAACTTTTATTTTTATTTATTAATACAGGTCAAGGTCTTTCATTGCAGAACACAGACTCCACTACACTTAGACCAAAAGTTTCTTGAGATAGTAGATACATCATCAAATCTCTGGAAGGGTAGAGACTAATTCAGATGCTACACAGCTGGGAGCAGAACAGCCCAGGGAGGCCTACAAAGGGTAGACACCTGGCTGGGTGCAGTGGGTCACACCTGTAATCCAAGCAATCTGGGAGGCCAAGGCAGGCAGATTGTTTGAGTCCAGGAGTTCAAGACCAGCCTGGGCAACATAGTGAAACCCCATTTCTACTAAAAATACAAAAAACTAGCCAGGCGTGGTGGTGCATGCCTATAATCCCAGCTACTTGGGAGGCTGAGGTGGCAGAATCACCTGATCCCAGGATCAGATGCTTGCAGTGAGCTGAGGACAGTGACCTGAAATCATGCTACTGCACTCTAGTCTGGGCAACCAGAGTGAAATCCTGTCTAAAAAAGTTTTTTTACTTACACACACACACACAAAGGGTGGATACCTAAGCTGATAACCTTACCACCACCACCAGGCTGTTCTGACTGTCCTGGCTGCCACAGCTCTGTGACTGCCACATGTCTCCAGCCTCACCACCTTGGACACTAGACACTGGGCTATAGATGTCCCCATTGTGCTTGCCAGAAGGGTTGATCTCCCTTCTACCAGCTGCATCACCTCATATTATTTCTTTCCACCAAGAAGCTTTGCACAAGTGCTTCTGCTTGGAGGACCTTATATCACATGTGGGGCTTTAGCTGCAAGGGAGTCTGGGAAAAAGTAGCACTTAGCCTACTAGTCTCTAGAATGCAGAAAAGTGCCGTCAGAAGAGAGCTCAAGCAGGTGCTGATGAGCCCATCTGTATATCTGCCGGGTTATGTTACCTTTATTTTTTTCGCTTGAGCGCTTTTTAAATTCCTTGTAAACTGTATAAGGAAAAGTTTCATGCTCATTCTTATTATCTTTGCAGCAAAATCTTACGACTTTGGCAACAAAGAATGGCTACATCAAATTTAGCAACTTAATACAGGTAAAAATTTAGGGGAAGTTGACTCAGAGGATAACCTGCCTAAAGAAGTTTTGTTTTGTTTGTTTTGCTTTTTTTTTTTTTTTTTTTTTTGAGACAGAGTCTTGCTCTGTCGCCCAGGCTGGAGTGCAGTGGCACGATCTCGGCTCACTGCAAGCTCCGCCTCCCGGGTTCACGCCATTCTCCTGCCTCAGCCTCCCGAGTAGCTGGGACTACAGGCGCCCACAACCGCGCCCGGCTAATTTTTTTGTATTTTTAGTAGAGACGGGGTTTCACCGTGGTCTCGATCTCCTGACCTTGTGATCCGCCCGCCTCGGCCTCCCAAAGTGCTGGGATTACAGGCGTGAGCCACCGCGCCCGGCCTCTGTTTTGCTTTGACATCAGTCAGCTGTTGCAGGATCTGCATGGGCAAGTCTCAGTTTTCTGGAAAGCAAAGTCATTCTCTGCCACTGCCTTCTTAGAATGTTATGTGGCTTGTTGAGCTACGTAATGTACATTGGCTGAGTTAGAAATTGAGGATTTGAGGCTGGGGAGAGGGAAAGAAATTGAGATGTGGCAGCAGTGTACTAGGTGCTTCACATCTGGAATTATCAACTCCATTATAAAGATGGGGAAGTTGCATTGGAAAGTTGGGAACTCTATGCCTGTGAGACAGGTAGAAATTAAAACCATATCTTTCTGGCAGGCATGGTGGCTCACGCCTATAATTTCAGCACTTTGGGAGGCCAAAGCAGATGGATCACTTGAGGTCAGGAGTTCAAGATCAGCCTGGCCAACATGGTGAAACTCCATCTCTACTAAAAATACAAAAATTAGCTGGGCATGATGGCATTCACCTGTAGTCCCAGCTACTTAGGAGGGTGAGGCAGGAGAATTGCTTGAACCCAGGAAACAGAGGTTGCAGTGAGCCAAGATCACACCACTGCACTCCAGCCGGGGTGACAGAGTGAGACTCCGTCTCAAAAAAAACAAAAACAAAAAAAACCATATCTTACTGACTTCAGAGATTGTTCCCATGAATTGAATAGAAACTTCTAGTATGAACAACAGATTGCAGAGAAGAATAGGGAGGAGCAGGCCAAGCATCTTTCTGAGGCTCCCTCTTCCCTGCTCCTCAACCCTGAGCAGTCCCTGGGGACTCCAGAATTTGACTTTCTGATTTGCTTTCCAAGAAAATATAGGTCAGGATGGGCACAGTTGGCTCATGCCTGTAATCCTAGTACTTTGGGCAGCCAAGGCAGGAGGATTGCTTGAACCCAGGAGTTCGAGACTGGCCTGGGCAACATGGCAAAACCCCATCTCTACAAAAATACAAAAATTTGCAGAGTGTGGTGGTGCATGCCAGTAATCCCAGCTACTCAGGAGGCTGAGGTGGGAGGATCACTTGAACCCCCGAGGTTGAAGCTGCATTGAGCTGTGATTGTGCTACTGCACTCCAGTTGGGACAACAGAGTGAGACCCTGTCTCAAAAATAAGAAAAAAATTTGTGGCCGGGCGCGGTGGCTCAAGCCTGTAATCCCAGCACTTTGGGAGGCCGAGATGGGCGGATCACGAGGTCAGGAGATCGAGACCATCCTGGCGAACACGGTGAAACCCCGTCTCTACTAAAAAATACAAAAAACTAGCCGGGCGAGGCGGCGGGCGCCTGTAGTCCTAGCTACTCGGGAGGCTGAGGCAGGAGAATGGCGTAAACCCGGGGGGCGGAGCTTGCAGTGAGCTGAGATCCGGCCACTGCACTCTAGCCCGGGAGACAGAGCCAGACTCCGTCTCAAAAAAAAAAAAAAAAGAAAAAAATTTGTAGGTCAGAATGGCCGGGGTGTGATGGGCCTCTAGTTTCTCTAGCTGCATCACCTTTGAACCATCCAGAGTCCCAGTAAGCTGTGGGCCGGAGCATGGAGGAGAATCCTCAGAGACAGATCCCCTGCCCACATGTCTGGACCTTGCTCATGCCAGCAAAGGGCTGAACCCCTGTGTTTCAGGACTCAGGTTTGCTGAGTGTCATCACTGATCCCATCCACACCCCAGTCACTCTCTTCTGGCCCACTGACCGAGCCCTCCAAGCCCTACCTGCTGAACAACAGGACTTCCTGTTCAACCAAGACAACAAGGACAAGCTGAAGGAGTATTTGAAGTTTCATGTGATACGAGATGCCAAGGTATTTAGTTTACATGCGGATATAAGTGCAAGAATGTCCCCGGGTGGTGATAAAATTCAGCACTGAGGCATTGTGGCCTAGGAACTGTGAGTGCGTCCCCGTCTCCACTGTGTGCAGGAAGCCACAGCATCCCCTGCCCCACTGTGTCCTCCGACTGGCCGTGGTTGATTGGCTCCTGCAGTATACCACATTTGGTTCTGTTCCATGGGCTTGCCATTATTATTATTTACTTTAACCAATACCCAAGAGCATCATTCCTCTCTCTACTGCGGATCAGCCTTTCTGCATTCCTAGTTCTCCTGGCAAAATGGCTGCTGACAACCGTTCTCGAGTTTTTCCAGATGGACTCTTTCTCATCCAGTTCCAAAATTTCTAGGCAAATGGCTGATTGATCCAGCCCTGAACTAATTAACTGTATTAGAGAAGCACGATCATATAGAAACTAGCATGATTATATAGGAACATGCATGATCACATAGGAACATACGTGATATAGGAATAAGCATGATATAGGAACAAGCACAATCATGTAGGAACAAGCATGATCATATAGAAGCAAGCATGATCATATAGGAGCAAGCACGATCACATAGGAGCAAGCATGATCATATAGGAGCATGCACGATCACGTAGGAGCAAGCACGATCATGAGAGCAGCATGATCATATGGGAGCATATGCACAGTCTTATAGGAACAAGCAAGATCATTTAGGAGCAAACATGATCATACAGGAGCAAGCACAATCATATAGGAACATGGCAGCCATCCTGAGTCCTCATCCAGGACTCATGTTTCTCTCCAGGACCAAGTCTGCCCAGTCCAAGAATGCCAAATGCCCCAACTTCAGTTCATCCACAGCATCTAGATTAGTTTCCCAAGGCTGCCGTCACACATTACCACAAGCTGGGCAGCTTAAACCGCAGAAATGTGTTCCTTGTAGTAAACAGTTCTGGAGGCAAGATGTCGGAGATGAAGAGCTGGCAAGGTTGTTCCTTCTGGAGGTTCTAAGGGAGAATTTGCTCCATGCTTCTCTCTCTGCCTCTGGTGGTTTCTGGAAATCCTTGGTGCTCCTGGGCTTGTAGTGAATCCCTCCAATCTCTGTTTCTGCCAACACAGGACTGTCTCCCTGTGTGTTTCTGTGCCTTCACGTAGCATTTGCCTCTTGCTTCTTATAAGAACACCATTCATATTAGATTAAGAGTCCACTCTACTCCAGGATTACCTCATCCTAACTAATTACATCTGCAATGACCTCATTTCCAAATAAGATCATATTCTGAGGAATTGGGCATCAGGACTTCAACATAACTCTTTGAGGGGCACAGTGCCACCCATAACTGCATCCTATGTCATTTCCCAGCCTCATCCACTCATTCTTTCATTTGCTTCATACACTAAGACTGCATCTTCAGAGACTCCCAAGCATAGATGGGGGATGGAAGGGTGATTGAAACCAGTCCAGCTGGTCAACTCTTTCCCTCCAGAAGGAGTTTCCAACCTCCCAGAGAGCCCCCAATTATTCTTCCCATTGGTTATACCTGCGGTCATTGTAATGCTAAAGTTATTATAACTTGTGGGAAAATCTGCATCTGAATTTGGTTTTTTGGTAAAGCTCCTTCGGGCAGTCCCTTCTTCAGCCCAAATTTGGGGCAGTCACGTGGCACCATTGCCCACACAGGTTTTAGCTGTGGATCTTCCCACATCCACTGCCTGGAAGACCCTGCAAGGTTCAGAGCTGAGTGTGAAGTGTGGAGCTGGCAGTGACATTGTGAGTATCATCATGAAGGGTGGTCAGGGAGGGGTTCACACATTCACAGCAAGCTATTCCCCAACCACTGCCCCTTCAAGGAGATGTTCATTTTTTTTCCCCTCCATTCATAACAAGCTCATTTTTTTTCTCACTACCTTCAGAGGTATTTTTCCTGAGAGTGCGTAAGTGGATGTGAAAAACCTGATAAATCCTGGCCAACCCAAGCCCTCTTAGCAGGTGGCAGGAAGCCTTTTACACTGGAAGCTGATTTTGTTTTTTGTGTAGAGCATTTATTTTCCAATGTGAGATACTTTCCTGAAACAGGAAAATATACAGTCATTCCTTTCTCTTCCTTCCCAGCCCCACCACTGTGACCTCACCTCGAACCCTTTCTTGGCAGTCAGAGCCAGCTCTGGGCTATGCCTACCTAGATCAGCCAACTGAGAGGTTTGCAGTTTTTACTTCCCCTGGTTAGTTCCCGAACAATTCTGCCTTCCTGTAATTCCATATGATGAATGGGTCTAATGGGATTATTCCAACTGCATATCATGGAAAAGCCAAAATCCGGTGACTTAAATGTGTAAGGATTTATTCGCTTTTATAAAAGAAATCTGGAGGTAGCCAATCCAGAGTTAGTATGATGGCTCAGTAGAGAAGTGCCTTCTGTCTTTCTGCTCTGCAGCACACATGGTTCCAGCCTCTAAGGTCCAGCATGGTTGCTGGAGCTCCAGGCACCATGTCCACTTTTCAGGCAGTGGAAAGGAGGAAGGGCAAAAGGGATGCATCTCCCAACTGAGTTAATTCCCTTCAAGGAGGATTCCAACAACTTCCATACAACATTCTGTGTACATCTTATGACCAGTATCCTTTGGTGTTTGAATTAGAATTGCATTGAATTTATAACTGAATTTGAAGAGTATTAACATCTTTTCATTCCAACTTTTGGAACATTATCCCAGTGTACACGCTTGAGATTTGTCCTGTCTCCCTAGACCAAAATAGACAACTATCAGAGAAGGATAGTAAGAATGCCTTCTGCTTGTTCTGTGTGTTGATGCAGCTTTCAGAGCACTCTGCAATGTATTATTTAGTCTGATCTGTATAACAATGCTATATTAGAAATCATGTACTCTATTCACCTGGTGAAAAAAACAGTGAACCACAGAGAGGTTCAGTGACTTGCCTGCAGTCACATAGTACATGAGTGAATATGCAAGGCTTTAACCACAGTTTTCTGGTGTTCCTTCCACAGAGTCACACTATCTCCATCCCATCCATAGATGCTGGGAGTTACCTTGTTTTCCTCTCAAAAGCTTTCTTAAAGCATTTTGTGTATTGGAAGAATAATGTATCCATCAACTTACTAGCTGGGTGACCTCAGGAAAGGCCCTGAGATTGTTGCCAGCATTAAATGAAATAATGTCTCCAAAACCCAGATGATTATGCCTGGTACATGTGAAAAAAGAAATTATCATTACAAAGTTAAAGGCTATCACTTGTACACCCTGGAAAGAAAGCTGAACCAGGCACTTTGCTAGGTGCTGGCACTAAATCAGGAGAGTCGGTTACTACACACAAAGAAGGCACATCAGTGAAGTTCATCCCTAACCACAGCAAGGCCATCCTTGCTCCACCCTATCACCCACTGCTGACGTTTCACCTTTGGTAGAGGAAGTGAGGCAGAGGGATCAAGGGGGCAGGCTCTGAGGCTAACTGCCTGGGTGCAAATGCCTGCACCACCATTCACTGGGCAAGTCATTTAACCTCTCACTGCCTTAGTTCCCTCGTCTGTAAATGGGTACTAATAATAGTAGCTACATCCAACACAACCACCTTGGATTGTTGTAAGAATTAAAAGAATTCGCACAGGTAAAGGACTTAGAACAGTATCTGGCACATAATACATGCTGGGTATTTGATAAATGGGGTTTTATTAAGTTCTTCCTGAGTCTTGCAGTTACTGGCCATGTTGCATGTCTGGGAAAGAAAAGATACATTAAAGAGATTGACTATTTCTCTCTCTCTTTCTCTTTCTTTTTTTTTTTTTTTTTTTTTTTTTCTTTCTCAGGGTGACCTCTTTCTGAATGGCCAAACCTGCAGAATTGTGCAGCGGGAGCTCTTGTTTGACCTGGGCGTGGCCTACGGCATTGACTGTCTGCTGATTGATCCCACCCTAGGGGGCCGCTGTGACACCTTTACTGCTTTCCATGCCGTGGTCAGTCCTAAAAACAGCAGTGTAGTAAGAGAACCTTAAGCCAAAGATGGTCCTCGTGATCCAGTGTGGACCCTGTTATAAAACCATGTAGGGCCTGTCCTCAGCAAGACCAGGACCCAGAAGACCTGGCATCTGGCAACAGGCATCTGCTTCGCCCCACACAGCCTGGAATATTCTTGTTTATCCCTCCACCCACTCACCCACCCATTCATTCCCTTATCACTGAGAAAACAGTTCTTGGATACCAACCATGTGCCAACTACCATTCATTTTCAAACGCATCCATCTATTAAGTCACTCATTCATTCAACAAACATTTGTTGAAAGTCTGCCAGATTACACCATATGAAATTGCCATATTTGACAGTCTGGAACCTATGAAAAGGGCAATTTCATATAGTCAGTCTAATATGATATGCCACCCACACCTCTCTTCACTTACCCATTGATTCATTCATTTGACAACATTGATTGAACTTCTATCCCAAGCCCTGCACTGTGTGAGGCATTTTTACATTCACTCATTCATCCATCCAGCACCTTTACTGAGTACTCCCCTGGAGCCAGCCATTGTGTTCAATACTTAGTTTACCCCTACAATAATCCAATAATAGGAATAGTTGTCATCCACCCTATTGTGTAGATTTAGAAACTGACTCTCAAAGAGGTAAAGTGACGTTACATGGCAAAGTTTGTCACCAGTTGGTATCTGTACCTGGCATCCCCTAGGAATTTCAGTAATTATCCCAAATTTTTTGGATCCCAGTCAGTCGAAGTAGGAGATGAAACCAGTTGTCCTTTCTACCATAGGGGTCTTCTTAATTTCCAAGTTATATTCCACACATATTTTTCAGTTCATCATTTTTCCTCATCAATCTTCTGAAGATCAAATAGCAGCAAGAATTATTATCCCTATTTATTATAAAACTAAGGCTCAAATAGTATTAGTGATTGGCCAAAAGTATCCCATTTAACTTAAAATGGAACTAACACTTGCACCCATATGTCCCACTGCTAATAGCATATGCCTGTAAGATACTGCCCAGGTCCAGCTCTGTATAACAGATTTTCCCTTCAGAGAACAAAACCACAGAGCTAATGCCCAAGACAGATCTTCAGAATTATCCGTGGCAAAGTTAGTGTGTGTGTTTTGATATTCTTTGTTGTTGTTTTCAGATAGGGTCTTGCTCTGTCATCCAGGCTGGAGTTCAGTGGCGCAATCACAGCTCACTGCAGCCTTGAACTCTTGGGCTCCAGTGATCCCCTCAACTCAGCCTCCAAAGTCACTGGGACTACAGGTTCATGTGCCACCATGCCTGGCTAATATTTTTTTTTTTTTTTACAGACGGAGTCTTGCTTTGTTGCCTAGGCTGGTCTCAAACTCCTCGCCTCAAGCGATCCTCCTGCCTTGGTCTCCCAAAGTGCTAGGATTACAGGTGTCGGCCGCCATGCCTGGCCTGTTTCCATATTCCTGATCATAGCCAGAGTCTTAATCAAAATTAAGCCCTTAATCCATCCAGGTATTAATTAGGAACATTTCCTTGTGTTTTCTGATATTTTTGATTTTCAAGTGTTTCTTTTCTTGCATACTAGGGGTCGTGTGGGAGCTGTGTCAATACTCCCAGCTGCCCAAGGTGGAGTAAACCAAAGGTAATTAAGAATGCAGTGATAATGTTTGGAGAGCCATAAGTCTGTTTCATTGTGTGTGTGTGTATGCGCGCGTACACGCATGCACTTATGTTGCATAAATGTAATTTATGTCATTCTTTCAACAACAAAACCAGTGGAGTAAGATAGATATTCTCAGCCCAGGCCACCTGTCAACCCACGTTCTAGGAACTGTCTAGAAAAGTCATCGGATGGTAGACCTAGACGGACTTAGAAGATAATTATGATTATAAAAATAGCTGCATTTTGTTGGCTGCTGTCTATGTCCCAGGCTGTGTACTGGGCCTTTATATACTCATTACTCTGTCCCTCTTTATAATACTCAAAGGAAGCTATTGTTATCTACACTTTACTTATGAGAAAAATGGGTCTCAGAGAGGGTAAGCAATCAGTCCAAGGCCACAGAGCTAGTAAGGAGCAAAGATAGGATGAAAGTCCAGAGAGCAATGGAGAGTAATGGTTAAGTCAATGAAATTTAGAGTCCACAGGTATGGGGTCAAATTCCATAATCTTTGCCAAATCCTATGACCTGTCAGGTTTGCCTCTGTAAAATGGAGCTAATAATGGACTCTGTGCAGCTATTAGGAAAAGTAAATTTTAAAAATGTGGGTATACTTAAGTGCCTGGCACATAGTAAGTGCTCATTAAGTGCTGTTTTGTATTACTTATTCCAAAGTCAAGCTCTTCCTAGTCTACTAGTAAAACCTATAACAAAAATATCTCTACAAAACAAAATCTAACTCATACCCTCCCTGCCTACAATTTGGGAGCCTTGCCCCACACCCCTTCCATGACAGGAAGCTACCTCCTTCCCACTCCCTCCCCAGGCAACCATGCCACTTGCAGAGCACTCTACGGGTCTGAAAGTTCTTCCCCTTGAGACTGGGGAGAAATCTTCCCACGGACCCTAGATCTACTTCCTCCCCCATCCGCATGTTTCTGCCGTTGGCCGGTTGACTCCCGTAGGAAAAACACTGCCTTCGAAAAAAGTTGGCTCACATTGGAAGTCCCATTTTTTATTTGGGCAGTACCTAGGATCCTCCACGAGGGCACAGACTAGAGCCCCAGTCCCTGCAGTGGTAAGTGAAGGGATGGTCCACTCTCTTCCCTTAGGGTGAGAAGCAGAAGTGTCTCTACAACCTGCCCTTCAAGAGGAACCTGGAAGGCTGCCGGGAGTGGTGCAGCCTGGTGATACAGATCCCCAGGTGCTGCAAGGGCTACTTCGGGCGAGACTGTCAGGGTGAGGGTGCCTCTTCCCGCCTCGCGACTCTAAAAGTGGTAATAGACTGCCCATTGTCCAGTCTTTGAACGTACCAAAATTATAGGGAGATGGGGGAAACACTGCCAATGATGATTCCCAGGCCCCAAAACTCTGAAGAGTTGTGTATCATTCCTTCTACTTTGGCATATTTTTTTATCAAGTTGAGATCCTACTGTGCATATATTGTAATTGTGTGTCTGCTTTTTTCTTTGATATTAGAGCGTAGACATTTCTGATGGTGCTAAAGACACTATATCTCATTTTTGATGCTGTACAACATGATATCCATGATATTGATAAGCATGTTTAAATGCATTTGATATGATTCTCCCTTGGCAGGTGATGTACTGAGACAGTACGTATGGGCCATAATTTCCTGAAACCACCCCTGTCCCTTGTAGAGGATGTATAGCGTTGGCTCCCTCTGTTACCTCATCAGGAAAGGGCTCCTTGCCAAAGCGTATTTGGGCCCATCCTGGAACCCCTGTGTTAACTTCTAGCCAACAATACATCAACAGTTGCAGCATCACAAATGCCTCAAAAGCACTTGTCTGCCACATGTTGTTCTAAGTAGGCACATTTATTGAGTTTTATTGAATGTTTTTTCCCCATACATATCAAAACATCTAATCTGGGCAACAACCCCTAGGGAGTAGGTTCTGTTGTTGTCTTCCCCTCCCCGCTGACTTTTTTTGAGAAAGGGTCTCACTCTGTTACCGAAGCTGGAGTATAGTGGCAGGACCATAGCTCACTACAGTCTCAACCTTCTGGGCTCAAGTGATCCTCCCACCTCAGCCTCTCAAGTAGCTGGGACTACAGGCACATGCCACCAGACTCAGCTAATTTTTTTGTATTTTTTGCAGAGCTGAGGTTTCACCATGTTGCCCAGGCTGCTCTCGAACTCCTGAGCTCCAGCAATCCATCCACCTCGGCCTCCCAAAGTGCTGGGATTACAGGCGTGAGCCGCCGTGCCTGGCCTGTTGTCCCCATTTTGTAAATGAGAAAACAGAGGCAGAGAGAGGATAAGAAGTAAACCCAAGGTCCCGCTGGTCTGTCTCTGGCAGCCATGATTTTTACTAGCATGCATACTCCATTCATCATAATCTCATTAAGAATACTCTGGGTTGAAAGCCCCCGTGACCACCCAGCTCCACCCTCCATCACTAAAGTGTGGACCATTCATGAAAATCAGTATCATTCTAATATTCGTTCAGGGCTTTATCCTTTCAAACTGTTCTCAGTTATAATGCCTCATTTGATCTTCACAATAACAATGTGGTATAGGTCAAGCAGACACTATATCATTATTATCATCATCATTTAGAGCTAAGAAAACAAAAGCTCAGAGCAAGTTCATTACTCAGCATGGATATCCTCAAATCCAATGCACAAACCCCCAAATACAGTGCACGGTTCAGTGTATCACCCTGTCAAGACAGAATCATATCAGATACCATGAAGTTCATGTCCCATAGGCCAGTGACTTGCCCTAAATATCCACTGACACTGAGGGCCACGTTCCCTCCGGGCTAACAGAGGTCAGATGCCGCAGCACATTTACAAAGGCGCTGAGCTGCTCTGGCTTTGGGAGACTGTTGAGTCACCGCTGTTTCATCTCTTCCAGCCTGCCCTGGAGGACCAGATGCCCCGTGTAATAACCGGGGTGTCTGCCTTGATCAGTACACCGGCACCGGAATGTGTAAATGCAACACCGGCTTCAACGGGACGGCGTGTGAGATGTGCTGGCCAGGGAGATTCGGGCCTAATTGTCTGCGTATGTGGCGCCGCTTCCCTGTGCTAGAGCTTGTTTTTTAACTGTGTTCCCTGTCCTTGTCCATGCCATCTGCCTGACCTGGAGGCATCCTTCTTGTCCTTTCTCCCAGCCACACCCCTCCCATCTGCCTGCCTTATGTGCTTATTTCCTCCTTGGATGTATTCCCAGTTTCCACTGAAAAAGCTTCACCTCTAGAAGTGAAACTTGTCCCCAGCAGCCACCAAGGCACGATGTGGCTGAATAATGTTCATTCAATCATTCAACCAATGTGGATTTACTGAGTCCTTACTAATATTGAATGCTGACATTGATTAAGTGCCTACTATGTGCCAGCCACATATGTTTTACAATTCAATCCACTTAACCACTCTTTGAGATAGTTACTGTTATTATCTGCAATTAGCAGATGAAGAAACCAAGGTACAAAGAGCTTAAGTGATTTACTCAAGAGCCAGCAATTTTTTTCTTTTTTTTTTTTTGGAGACAGTTTCGCTCTTGTTGCCCAGGCTGGAGTGCAATGGCACAATCTCGGCTCATCACAACCTCTGCCTCCCGGATTCAAGTGATTCTCCTGCCTCAGCTTCCTGAGTAGCTGGGATTACAGGCATGTGCCACCACTCCTGGCTAATTTTGTATTTTTAGTAGAGATGGGTTTCTCCATGTTGGTCAGGCTGGTCTCAAACTCCCGACCTCAGGTGATCCACCTGCCTCAGCCTCCCAGCAGTGCTGGGACTACAGGTATGAGCCACCTCACCCGGCCGAATATTTCTAATGTCTAGGGATTTGTGGTTTAGGGACTGACAGGGACAAAATTCCAGCTCTCCAAAGGCTTACAGAAACAAATTCTTCTAAAAAATCATTATAAAGGATATAAAAGCAAAGAAGCAGGTAGAAAGGTGAAGGATGAAAGGAGATGTTGTTTTAGAAGACACCTCACGTAGGGAATATTTGAGTAGAGACCTAACAGACACAAGGGGGCCAGGCATGAGGTATGAAGAGCAGGCCACTCAAACTTTCAGCAGTGCGGGAAAGACTCCATGACTCCACTGGCCGGTATGTTAGCCACTAGCTACATGTAGCTATCAAGCACGCAAAACGTGTGGCTGAGGAACCAAATGTTTAATTAAATTTAAATGGCTACGTGTAGCTAGTAGACAGTGCAGACCAGAGGAACAGCTTTCCTCAAGGTGAGATGAGCAAGTGCAAAGGCCCTGGGGCAGGAGCCAGCTTGGTGTGCACGGAACAGCGGGAAGACCAGGATGGCTGAGTGGAGCGGGCACAGAGGAGGAAGAGAGGAAGAGAATGCAATCTGAAGGTCACCAGAGACCAGCTCTTCTTGGCCAATGAAAGGTCTTTAGCTCTGTGTGTGACAGGAGGCCAGCGAAATGTTGGGAACAGAGGGGTGTTGTGAAGAGATTAGAAAGGATGGCTCTGGGCAGGGTATCTGTAGGAGAACAGGCACAGAAGCAGGACCCCTTGGGGAAAATGATGCAACAATCTAGGCCAGCGCTAATGGTGACTTGTGCTAGCTTGGTAGTGCTGGGGTTAGTGAGAAATGGTGAATCAGTATATATGTTTTAATGTTACTTTTCTTTTTGAGATAAAATCTCACTCTATCACCCAGACTGAAATACAGTGGTGGGATTATGGCTCACTGCAGCTTCAATCTCCCGGGCTTAAGCAGTCCTCCCACCTCAGCCTTCTGAGTAGTTAGGCCTACATGCACGTGCCACCATACCCAACTAATTTTTTATTTTTTTAATTTTTTGTAGAGATTGGGTCTCCCTATATTCTCCAGGCTGGTCTCAAACTTCTGGCCTCAATCAATCCTCCTGCTTCAGCCTCCCAAAGCTGGAATCACAAGCATGATCCACTGCACCTGGCCACAATTTTATTTTATTTTTTTTAAGACAGAGTCTCACTCTGTTACCCAGGCTGGTTTACAGTGGTGTGATCACAGCTTACTGTAGCCTCAACATCTTGGGCTCAAGCAGTCCTCCCATCTCAGTCTCCCGAGTAGCTGGGACTAAAAGCATGTACCACGACACCCGGCTAATTTGTGATTGTTTTTTTGTAGTTACAGGGTTGCGCCACGTTGCCCAGGCTGGTCTTGAACTTCTGGCCTGAAGCAATCCTCCCACCTCAGTCTCCCAAAGTGCTGGGATTACAGGCATCAGTCACCACACCCAGCCAGAATTTTACTTTTAAATAGATTTCTCCATCAGGAAGCCCCAGATGAGATGATCTCCCTAAATGTTCATTGCATATCCCATGACACACTACTGTAATTATAACATTCATCTCATTTATAATTCCATGTTCAAGAGCTGGGTACTCTAAGACTGTAAGCCCCATGAGAACAGGGACCTTCTCTATTATGTTTTTCCCTGTAATCTTATGGCTTAGCAGTGCCTGGCCTGTGATAGTCCCTGAATAAGTTATTTTTTAGATGTTTCAATGAATGAATGAATGGCTATGACACAAGCATGGTTCCTCCCACAACTGAAAATGCACAGCCAACAAGGGGTCATGGAGCTGGTGGACTGGGTCTCAACCCCTGATGACTGATCATATCCTAATTTGTTTACAGCCTGTGGCTGCTCGGACCATGGACAGTGCGATGATGGCATCACGGGCTCCGGACAGTGCCTCTGTGAAACGGGGTGGACAGGCCCCTCGTGTGACACTCAGGCAGGTCTGTCATGGGAGTGGTCAGCTGCTGGCAGCCCAGGGCTGCAGTGGACACTGCCAAGAGCATACAAGTGAGGTTGGGAGTCTGAGTGACATCTGAAAAAAGTGACAAAGCAGGTCCACGTGGTAAAAGATGATTCACATCTGTAGCCCTGGGCCTCAGGAGGATGGAGACTTGCCGTAAAACTAGATGAAAAGATTGAACTCAAACCTATGAAACTAGCACGTCATCCTGTATGATTATAGGACTCACCTCAAGCACAGAATCCCAGGTTCAGGCAAGGACTGTGCCTCGTCCTGGTGGTTTGGGGGCCCAGATGGGTACAGACACAGAGGCGCAGTGGTTTCATGGAAATCACTTTGAAGGCCCAAGACCAGGGTCTGACCCCTGGTTCTGCTACTTACTAGATGAATGGCCTTAGATAACCGCACTCTCTGAGCCTTGACTTGCTTGTCCTTAAAAAGAACTACGTGGTACACATTCTGCAGGGAAAGGATTGCTGGGAGGGTCAGCGAGCGTGGTTTTGAAGTTCCCAGTGTATGCAGATGCTCAAAACAAGCAGCTGCCATTATCACGCTCACCATCATAATCATTGTCATAACTTGATCCTTACTAAGTGGTCAGTTTTCTGAAGTCTCCTTTATACCCGAAGCCCTGTGTTCTGGTAGATCTGAAATGTGCTGGTTGAGTTATCCATGTGAATGACTGTCATTTCATCCTCCCTGGGGTCAGAGGGCATGGTGAGGCCCTTCCTGTGGGCTTTAGCAACCTGAAGTTTCATGGGTTGCAGCAGTATGGCTAACTTGAGTTCCTCCTGCTCCCTGTTCTTCCTGCCTCCTCCCCTAAGCACCACATGGCCTCCTGCTGCCTACCTGCACTGCAGCCCTAGCCAATCCCAAAGCTCCAGACTTCTCCCTAGCTCAGTGGTGCCCTCAGAAGGCCGTGGAATTTCTCCTCCAATTTAACCATCTCCATCTGGAACCCTCTAATCTTAGGGCCAGAGCACTAATCTGCCAAGTTCATTCCTTGGCAGATACGTTTTGTGGTATAAAGTTTTAGTCGATAGCTCCTAAAGAACATTTTTTCTCATATAAATCTCAATGACATTGCAGAGATCATGTCTTACTATAGAAGAGTAATTCTAAAATCCCAGAATCTCCAAGGCTAGAAAAGACCGTAGCAAATCACCGCATCTTCCTGCTGTACAGGGGCACTTACAAACACAGTGGTCGTCCAGACAGAGTCTTGGGAAGTCTCCTTAGGTGGGTTTTAACTCTTCACACCATGGGTGCAGAATGAAAGTGGCCCCTTTCTTTGCAGTTTTGCCTGCAGTGTGTACGCCTCCTTGTTCTCCTCATGCCACCTGTAAAGAGAACAACACGTGTGAGTGTAACCTGGATTATGAAGGTGACGGAATCACATGCACAGGTAAGCCACCTTTGTGCACAGGTGAAATAGCAGCGTGGTGTGGGAGAGGAGCAGGACTGGCTCACAGTGCCTGGGCTTCATCCTAGCCCTCCTTCCTGTCTGGGCCACTTCAGCAGCACTTACCCTCTCCATAACTCAGTTTCTTTAATGGATGTGCTCATGCTTGATCTGCTCACCCTCTAGGTCAGGGTTTCAAAATTGTTTTGCAAACTGGAATGCACTTTACTTCAGAATTTTTTTTTTTTTTTTTTTTTTTTTGAGATGGACTTTCACTCCTGTCACCCAGGCTGGAGTGCAATAGTGCAATCTTGGCTCACTGCAACCTCTGCCTCCCAGGTTCAAGTGATTCTCCTGCCTCAGCCTCCCGAGTAGCTGAGATTACAGGCATGCGCCACCATGCCCGGCTAACTTTAGAATGTTTTTCTAACTCTACAAGTAATCCAGCCTTCAAAAAAAATCAGAAAATACACAACACTATTTTTTTAAGTTAAACCTAAACATACTCTCACCACTAGGTGAGAATCACTGTCAACATTGCAATATCCATCTGTAGTAGTTAGGATATAGGTTCAGCCATACAGAGACCTAAACGAATGGTGGCATAAATAAGGTAGATGTTTCCTATTGTCTCATATAACAGGTTGGAGGTATCCAGGGCTAACACAGTTTCACTCTGAAAGGTCATTTGGGGGCCTGAACTCATTTTATCTTGTGGCTCTGCCATCATTCACTCACCTCATCTGAGGTGGCCAATATCATAAGCCCAGCCTGGACAGCAAGATGGAAGGAGAGGAAGGAGGCAAACCTCCTTCCCTTTATGCAAACTAGGAATTGTTAAAATCACATCTGCTCCCATCCCATTGGCTGGAATCTCATCATTGGTCATGCCTAGCTACAAGGGAACCTGGGAAATGTAGTCTTTTATTGGGCAACCATGAGCCCACCTGAGAATCTATTATTATAGAAAAAAAGAGACTACGCCGGGCTCAGTGGCTCACGCCTATAATCCTAGCACTTTGGGAGGCCAAGAAGGGCAGATCACTTGAGGTCAGGAGTTTGAAACCAGCCTGGCCAACATGGTGAAACCCCGTCTCTACTAAAACTACAAAAATTAGCTGGGTGTGGGGGCAGGTGCCTGTAATCCCTGCTACTTGGGAGGCTGAGGCAGGAGAATCACTTGAACCCAGGAGGCAGAGGTTGCAGTGAGCTGAGATCAGGCCACTCTACTATAGCCTGGGCAACAGAACAAGACTGTCTCAAAAAAAGAAGCAGCAGCAGAAGAAAACAGAGACTAAGTACTGAGGGGAAATTAGCAGTCTCAGTCACATGTACTTTCTAATATTTTTCTAAGGATAAATAGTCACATAGAGATATATACTTTCTTTACAAAAATTAGATCTTGCTATACCTGTTCTTTATTCAGCTACAAGGCATTCCAAAGTGAGTCAGCGTTCAACAATGGCAACAAAGACCTAGATTCTCTTTTCCCACCCTCCCATCCTTAGAATGAGCCTTCTTGTCCTTGTCTTTATTCTTCCAGGGTCTCAAGTGGCTGCATAAGTACAGATGGCTTTTCAGCTGCTCCTGAGGCTGGAGCTAATCTATTGTTAGGTCGATATTTGGGGGATCATGAAAACAAAAGTTCTAAGAGGTAGCACGATGAGGAAAGCATGGACTTTGGAGCCAAACCAACTTGGGTTTAAATCTTCAGCCAGGCCACATTCTAGCTGTTTTACCTTTGTCAGATCAGTTAAACTGAGTCTCAGTTTGTTCACCTATAGAATGGGGATAACAATGTCTAACTCACAGGCTGCTCAATATTGCACTAACTCTAACACACACACACACACACACACACACACACACACACACACACACACACACACACACACACACACACACACACACACACACACACTGCCCTAACATGAAAAATCCAAATTCTGAAAACTAATACCAAAGTCAAGCCTGGAGGTATATGACAAAGGGGGCAGAAGTGGACAGATGTCCTCAGGCTTCATCTACGAGGTTGTCACAAAAATATTCATGTTGCAAAGGCCAGCATAGAGGCCACAGAGCATGGGGAGAGAAGGCACGAACACGTAGGGGCCCATTTACCCACCCAGCACCACTAGTGCTGCAGTGACCCATACCCTGACCTGAAGCCCTGGTTCCACAGAAGGTGGTAAGTTGAGCCCTCTCTCCTCTGCTCTTGCAGTCGTGGATTTCTGCAAACAGGACAACGGGGGCTGTGCAAAGGTGGCCAGATGCTCCCAGAAGGGCACGAAGGTCTCCTGCAGCTGCCAGAAGGGATACAAAGGGGACGGGCTCAGCTGCACAGAGATAGACCCCTGTGCGGACGGCCTTAATGGAGGGTGTCACGAGCACGCCACCTGTAAGATGACAGGCCCGGTGAGTCGCTCTTTCCCAGGGAAATTTGGGAGCAGCCCCTTGGGCTTCGCTCCTCCTTGCCTTTCCACCTCCTGCACTCTGCTTATCTCCTGGACTCTTCCTAAACATTTTTTCTAGCACAGTCTGTTTCTTGTTAAAAGTCACTGGGCTAAATGCAAGGTGGTCCCCTAGGTAGAAAAAGGGCGTCCGTGGAAAAGTTGGTGAAATTCTTAAGTGTATTGCTCAGTTAACAGCAATGTATCAACATTAATTTCTTAGCTCTGATGAGTGTGCTATAGCTATGTTGGACGTCAGGGGAAAGCGGGTGGAGAGTTCTCTCTTTGCCACCCTTCTATCCATCTAAAACTATCCTAAATAAAAGGCTTATTAAAAACAAACAGCTGGTAAGATGTGGCAGGAAAAGTGCAGAAAAGATGATGCAAGATGATGTCTGTTGCTGGTTACAAATGTGGTTCTAGAGTCAGACTGCCTTTGCGTCTTACCTCCTGGACTGACAAGCTGTGTAACCTGGAGGTGGCTAATTACTCTCTGAGCCCCAGTTTTCTCATTTGTAAAGTGGGCCTCATAATAATGCAGACATCATAGAGCTGTTGTGGGGATTAAAGGAGATCATTCGTTGATTCAACCAGTGGTCATTGTGCATCTGCTCTATGCTCTTACAGGTCCCAGGGTTATAACAAAAAGACAGAGTCCCTGCTTTCCCGGAGCTCGTGCACAAGTAGAGAGTGGGGGCAATGCATGGTACAGAAACAAATGCACGGAATTTTTTCAGAGAGCACGAGGAGCCCTGTGAAGAACATAAATCAGGCCAATGTGATAGAAGGGAATGGAAAAGCTACTTATGTAGGGTGGTCAGGGAGGCTGTCTCTGAGGAAACCACATTTGAACTGAGATGTAAAAGATGAGGTTTCATCATAAGCCTGGATAAAAGCGGGATGTAGCAGTTATTCCCACTGGACAGGACAGGCATGTTCTCTTGGTCCATCTGAACACCTCCTAGGCTGGACATTGGTCCCATGGGCACTTGGGCATCCTGGAGTCTTAAAGAAGGAACTTTTTCATCTCTTCCCACTCTCCCTCCACAGGGCAAGCACAAGTGTGAGTGTAAAAGTCACTATGTGGGAGATGGGCTGAACTGTGAGCCGGAGCAGCTGCCCATCGACCGCTGCTTACAGGACAACGGGCAGTGCCACGCGGATGCCAAATGTGTCGACCTCCATTTCCAGGGTCAGTGTGACCAAACCACCCTTCTCTTCAGACGTGGGGAAGGGACCCTCAAGGGAAAGAAGAAAAACAAAACAGGCCAAGCATGGTGGCTCAAGCCTGTAATCCCAACACTTTGGGAGGCCGAGGCAGATGGATCACTTGAGGTCAGGAGTTCGAGACCAGCCTGGCCAACATGATGAAACCCCATCTCTACTAAAAATACAAAAAATTAGCTGGGTGTGGTGGCGTACACCTGTAATCCCAGGTACTTGGGAGACTGAGGGAAGTGAAAAGCCACACAGAAGTGTAGAGGCATGGGCAATAGGACATCTTGAAAGCCAGTGGAGGAGGCCAGAAAGGACCCACAAATGTAGTCCCTAGCCAAGGCAGAGGGACTTCAGTGGTTCAGAAAGTGACTCAGGGCACTGTGCTTTACAGCTGATCAGTATGTACTGGATCACTCCAGGGCTGGGTTTGTTTGACAGATGTGGACTCTGGTGGAGACTTCCTGGAGGTTTGAATTGGGCTAAACATAGAGGAGCTGGTAAGGCATTTCTGCTGGCAGGGACAGCATGGCCAGGAGAGAATGACCAAGGTGGTGCTGGGTGAAAGCACCTGGGGAGGGAAGGTGATGAGAGGTTTGAAAGCTTGGTTGGGGATATTCTATGGTCTAGGTACAGGGGCCCTTCCAAGCAGAAAGATTTTATGGGCACTTGCTACTTAGGATGGGGACAAAAATTCAGTTGGGACCAGCTGATTTGGAATTTATTTGCCTCTGGGACTGTGAAGTCAAGAAGAGCTTGGTTTTTTCTTTAGGACACAATTCATTCAGCCAGTCCCGCCTGTTCCCAAAGCCCACTTCCAGGTGGAAATCTACCCAGCTCATAGAGTGTGGTCCAGCTTCTCCCACGGGCTTTTTCCTTCTGTTATGAATGCCAAGAAAATATTGGCAGTGATACTAAGTGACTGTGCATCGCGTTGGACCTCCCTTCTGTTGGAGCTGTGTGGTTACTGTTAGCTTGGGAAAATGCCTCAGCTTTCCCTGTAGGCACAGTTACAGAACCATCCCACGTTCAGGAGGAAGCGCTGCCCTCACACGGTTCACAGGAGGGCAACCTGCCCTCACGATTGGCAACCGATTTGGTAATGCGTGCAGCAGACAACCTTAAAGTAACTCATACTGAGACCTGTTGGTTCTGTTTCCAGGACCCCATCCTATAGAAATAATCTGAGAATTGAATAAAGATAAGCATACCCATCCCAACATTATTTAACATCACAGACAATTAGAAATAACATATATATCTAATAGTAAATGATGATAAAATATATTGATATACATCTACTCAAATTCATTGTATTTTGTTGTCTCAATAAAGAGACAAGGAACACTTTTCCATACTTCTCCAAGCTGTTAAATTGGTGTTTGCATTTCAGATATGGCCAAGATCATTTGACTACGCATTGTGCTGTTGAAATATGTTAAAACAAGAAAAACTTAGTCTTCTTTGGTGAAGAAAGTATCCTTTTGTGGCATTATACAATGAACTTGACAATATAAAAATGTGACTTGCTCCTTGAACTATTGCTGGTCTCTGCACTGAATTTTTTGGTTAGGAAAGATATCAGCTATGAACCAATGATAAAAATCTTCCAGTATCTTAGGAGGAAATGAGTTTTTAAAACTTTTTTAAAAGGCACAGCAGGCGTCAGAAAACACACAGAGCCCTGGGCAGAAACTCACTTTAATGTGTTTTTTATAGCTGTAAAGGTCACAAAAAAATTTTCAATTATAAGTATGGGGAGGAGGAGAAAATCATGTTACCAGAGAAATTTTATAATATTAGGATATAATTATGATTTAATGTTAGGTTTTAAAAAGATTTATGAAAACTACGTCGGCAATATGCTACCACATTTATAGTATATATAACATGAATAAATAGGAAAGAAGATTGAAAGAATGTCAAATTATATCAAATTAAAAATTTACCAAAAAATAAAGTAAAATTCTAGAAGGAAATACACTAAAATTTTAGCCAGGGAGTAGTGATTATTTCTGGAGAATAGAATTGTAGGTGGTTTTTGATTATGTTTTTACTTTTCTGTATTGCCCTAATTTCTACAATGAACATATGCTAGTTTTATAGTTAGAAAAGAAAGAAATATTTTAAATGATGTACTTCAACATAACTTGAAGGGGAAATGGCTTCTGGAGACACCTGGGGTATAGCTGGCCTTCGTTTTGAAAGTCCTTCAGAGTCCATTGTTGGAAACACTGCCAACCTGGTGGGTTGACCTGGGCAATTCCTCTTCTTCCTCATCCAGATACCACTGTTGGGGTGTTCCATCTACGCTCCCCGCTGGGCCAGTATAAGCTGACCTTTGACAAAGCCAAAGAGGCCTGTGCCAACGAAACTGCGACCATGGCAACCTACAGCCAGCTCTCCTATGCCCAGAAGGTGGGTCGTCAGTTGGCAGATTCTGTGCAGACAGAGTCTGCAGGGGTGGAAGTGCAGCCCCTTCTTAACATGGGGGAGACTTGAGCTGTTGCCTTCAAGCAGGGGAGTGCAGGTAGCTCCTGGAACAATGCTAACAGTCACTGTGTCCATTTGTTGGGCATCTATTGCATCTATTATGTGTCAGGGACTGTGTGTGGTGCTTTGTTGATATTATTGTCCATCCTTACAACATCTCTGGAGGCAGGGCAGGTGTTACTATTCCCATTTTACAGATAGGGAAACTGAGGCTTAGTTTAAGTACAGTGCCTGATGTCACCCAGCCAAGAGGTGGCAGATCCAATATCCAAGTGTAGACCTGACTCTTAAAAGTCTATTTCAACTATGACATTCAACTGCCAAGGCAGAGGCAGAGACTGGAAGTGCATACCTCACAGCCGGAAACCAGAAAGACAGCAATACCCAGAAGCCTAGGGTAGATCACCCCGAACCCACAAAACAGTGGAGTTTCTGTGGAATAGCTGGAGCTCTCTGTGGCTGGAGGGACTGTGAAAAGAATAAATAGAGACTGCACAAGCTTTCAGACACAGCAGGAAGGAAACGGAACTCTTTGATCAGGTGCTGCTCTCTTAACCTCTGAAACTAGAAGTCCTACCCATTTGGAAAAGCTAGCAGGTTGGAGTTCCAGGCTGGTGGTTTATCACTGGGAGCAGAGGTGATGAATGCCTAGTAGGTATGCTTTTAAAGCCCCTTCTCCAACCTCCATCACTAACAAATCTCTACTTTTTCAGACCTGGTATTTCTTTACCAAGGAATAAAACCTCTGATGCCAGGACCCAGACTCATGGAGAGTCTGAATCTCTGCTCTCCTGCTTGCTGGTCACATGACCTTGATCAAGCCACTAAAATCTCTGACTTACCTGGCATGTTTGTGGAAGGACTAAATGTAATATGGCACACAGTAGGAACTCAATTTTTAAGATTATTAAGAGATCTGGAATAGTGGACCACCTGGGTTTGAATGCCAGTTCTGCCATTTGCCAGTTGTGTGACTTTGAGCAAGTTACTTCTCTTTTTTTGGCGGGGGGGGGGAAGGGGGGATGGAGTCTTGCTCTGTCGCCCAGGCTGGAGTGCAGTGGCACGATCTCAGCTCACTGCAACCTCCTCCTCCTGGGTTCACGCCATTCTCCTGCCTCAGCCTCCCTAGTAGCTGGGACTACAGGCGCCCGCTACCACGCCCGGCTAATTTTTTGTATTTTTAGTAGAGACGGGGTTTCACCATGTTAGCCAGGATAGTCTCGATCTCCTCGTGATCCGCCCTCCTTGGCCTCCCAAAGTGCTGGGATTACAGGCATGAGCCACCATGCCCGGCCTGTTACTTCTCTTTACCTCAATTTTCCCAGTTGTATGAGGATTTAAAAAGTTCCCACCTCATAGGGTTGATTGAGAGTTCAAGGTGTTGACACATGAAAAGCTCTTGCGAGAGAACCTGATCCCAGATAAACTCTCAATAAGTCTTATGATGGTGGTGATGATGATGATAATGGTGGTGGTAATGGGGAGGGTGACAATAATTATAATAATGATGATGAGAGTGATGATGATATTATGATGAAGAATTAGAGTTCTAGGCCAAGCATGGTGACTCACGCCTGTAATTCCAGGACTTTGGGAGCCAGAGGCGGGTGGATCACTTGAGGTCAGGAGTTTGAGACCAGCCTGATCAAGATGGAGAAACCCCATCTCTACAAAAATTAGCTGTACATGGTGGTGCACACCTGTAATCCCAGCTACCCAGGAGGTTGAGACAGGAGAATTGCTTAAACCTGGGAAGTGGAGGTTGCAATGAGCCAAGATCATGCCACTGTCCTCTAACCTGGGTGACAGAGCGAGACTCCGCCTCAAAAAAACAAAAAAAAAAAAGAGTTCTACCAGTCAGAGTTCTATCAACCCATTAGCAGAAAAATTTGCGCCTAGTATAAATGGATGACAGCAAATTCTTTCTCAAGAGCAGAAAGAAGAGAAATGAGTATGAAAGACCTGGGCACCTACAAGAGAGGACACTTTTGTTCACCCAGGGGCTCAATCAATCAATCAACATCTAATGACCACCTACTGTGTGCCAGGCACAGAGGTGCAATAGGCAAAATGAGACTTTATGGGTTTTACGGTCTAATAGGGGAATCAGACATTAACCAAATGATGCCACAACACATGGAATTGCAGCTGACCCATGGCCATGTCTGTATCCCTGCAGGCCAAGTACCACCTGTGCTCAGCAGGCTGGCTGGAGAGTGGGCGGGTTGCCTACCCCACAGCCTTCGCCTCCCAGAACTGTGGCTCTGGTGTGGTTGGGATAGTGGACTATGGACCTAGACCCAACAAGAGTGAAATGTGGGATGTCTTCTGCTATCGGATGAAAGGTAACTGCCCCAACTACACTTCAGGTTCCAGGCCATGCAGCTGCTGAGCAATCCTCAGCCTGGCCAGTCACTCCCCAAATGGGAGCAGTGCAGGCCTGGCCCCTGCCTTACTTGTGTGGGACCCTGTGTGCCTCTGCTCTCCAGATGTGAATTGCTCCTGCAAGGTGGGCTATGTGGGAGATGGCTTCTCGTGCAGCGGGAACCTGCTGCAGGTCCTGATGTCCTTCCCCTCACTCACAAACTTCCTGACGGTATGTACCACGTCTGCTTGGTTTGCCTCAGGCAGGGAGGGGTTCCCTCAAAGCAGCTATTAGAGGGGTGAGGCCTTAAGAAGCTGAAGGCCACAGTCATGGTTAAGAAATGGGTGCTGGACCACCTTGTCTGAATCTAAAGCCTAGTTTTGCCACTCACTTGTAAAACCTTAAAGAAGTTACTTTCCTCTCTGGGACTCAGTTTCCTCATCTATAAAACGGAGATGGTAGTAGCATTAACTGTGTAGGGTCATTGTGATCATTAAATGAGTTAATAGTTGTGAAGCATTTAGATCTGTGGTCTGTACATGGAAAATTCTATGTTCATGTGAGCTGGTATTATTATCTCTGTTTGTATCTGGAATAGTTTAAGAGCATGATCTATACAAATGAGACCCTCTTAATCTTCTTCATGAATGTAGTTAGCTAAGCCTGCCTGGTGATCACCCAATGAGCCAAATTAACATAGAGTCAATTTGCATCTTGCACTGCACTTAAAGTCACATTAATATTCTACAAGTCATATCCAGCGAAGAGAAAGCCCCATCTGGAGAAAGGTTTGGTGCTGACTGATCAAAGAACTGACCTAACAGTAATAATGACAACAACAATAACAACAGTTAACATTTCTTGAGCATTTATTTTGTATGGGGCACTGTACTGAGCCCTTTACGAGGACATTTCATTCAAGCCATAGAATGTAAGTTCCATAAGGGAAAGGATTTTCTTTGCCTTGACCACCATTGTCTCCCCAACCCCTCAGATAGTAGCTGGCACATGACAGGTGCTCCATAAATACTTGTTAGAAGGACTGAACCCTCATGCAACTGTACAAGCCACTTCTATATCCACATTTTAGATGAAGAAACTGAGGCTTAGTAAGGCCAAGGACACAGCCTAACTCATCAGAGCTGGGCTGAATCTCAGACTGCCTGGTTCCAACCTCTCCCCCTCATGCTTTAGAGTGTGGAACAAGGACAGCCTGGGCTACTGTTCCCAGTAGAATCTACAGTCAGTGACCGCAGGAGGAAAGGGCACCGAGCATGAGTATAGGACTTGTAGGATCCATGGGGAAGTTAGACCAAGGACCCCAAAATGGAGTCTTTGTCCACAGACCAAAGATACCCATCTCACTGGTCTAAAAATCAGGACCACCATTAAATACACTAGAGATGAACACCCAAACTAACCTTTCTGCTGTGTGGGAGCCTGGCTTGCAACAGCCTTTCAAAGAAAAGACGGTGTCAGAACAAAACATTTTCAGCAAATTACCTACTTTCTCTGGGCCTCAGTAGCCCAGAAGGAGGAATAAATAAATAAATATTTTAAAAATATATATTAAATGTGTGTGTGTGTGTGTGTGTGTGTGTGTGTGTGTGTGTGTGTGTGTGTGTGTGTATATATATATATATATATTTTTTTTTTTTACTCTTAAGAGACAGAGTCTTGTTGTATTGTCCAGCCTGGAGTACAGTGGCACGGTCTTGGCTCACAGCAGCCTCAACCTCCTAGGCTCAAGGGTTCCTCCCACCCCAGCCTCCCGAGCAGCTGGGACTATAGGCACACACCACCATATCGGCTAAATTTTTTTAACTTTTTGTAGAGATGGAGTCTCACTTTGTTGCCCAGGCTGGTCTCAAAATCCTGTGCTCAAGCTGTTCTCTCACCTCAGCCTCCCAAAGTGCTGGGATTATAGGTGTAAGCCACGACACCCAGCCTGCTCAGTGAATATTTAGCACTTACCGTGTGCTTGAGATAGATCAGTGAACAAGCAAACAAACAACAAATGGAACAAACAAGTCAATAGTATTGAGTGCTAGAAGGTGATAGATCCAGATCCTATGGAAAAAGTGGAACAGGGCTGGGGGGCACCCCAGGGTCCCCCTTCTGTCGGAAGTGATGAGGGAAGGCTTTGGGGAGAAAGTGGCATGTGAGCAAAGTGTAAATGGAGGAGAGGGGGTGAGCCACGCAGACTTGGGGGAAGAACATGCCAGGCAGAAGGAACGGTTGAGCAAAGGATGAGCGGCAGGAGCGTGCCAGGCCAGTCTGAGGAAGAGCAGGGAGGCCCCATATGGCTGGAACAGAGTGAGCGAGAGAGGACAGCTAGGCCCAGTGTCAGAGAAGCAACAGCAGCCTCATGCTTTGGGCCTCATGAGCCCTTATGAAGACTTGGACTGTTCCTCTGAGTGAAGTGGGGGCCACTACAGGATTTTGAGGAGACTCGAGATTTGATGCACCTTTCAAAGGGCTGCTCAGGCAGCCACATGGAGGATCGGCTGTGACGTGGCTGCATCTTAAACCATAGGATTCACTGAGGAAAGGAAAAGTCCTCAAACTCTCACGATGCAGGCAGAAGACACAGCAAAGGAGCAGCAGGCTGAGTTTGCTGACACATGAATATTCCCAGATGGGTGATGCCCTGGGACCTTCTCCAGCCACCCTGGTCGCTGCACACCAGGGCTGGCCCCTCTGATGACTTCCTTCTTCTCCCCAGGAAGTGCTGGCCTATTCTAACAGCTCAGCTCGAGGCCGTGCATTTCTAGAACACCTGACTGACCTGTCCATCCGTGGCACCCTCTTTGTGCCGCAGAACAGCGGGCTGGGGGAGAACGAGGTGAGTTGCGTCCCTGGTGCCTTCGCTTTAGACTAGCATGTTATCTATCACTACAACAATGCTGGGTCACAAATTACCTGAAAACTCAGTGGCTACACATTTATTTAGCTCACACATCTGCAGATCAGTGGCCACTCCCTTGGACTTGGCACACTCGGGTCTGAGACCCGCCGTCAGCTACTCTAGCTGGGCCGTCAATCACTCTGCTCCATGGGACTCTCATCGTCCAGCAGGCTAGCCCAGGCGAGTTCTCAGGGCAGTGGCAAGGAGTGAGAGAGGCGAGAGTAGGCCCTGTCCCGACAGTGCTTCTCAAGCCTCTGTTTGATCATGTTTGCTAATGTGCCCCTGGCCTGATAGGTCACATGACAGAGGCCAAAGTCAGCATGGGGGGCAAAGGGCCAGGGGTGCAGGGAGTGGGGAAGAACCAGGGCCACTGATGCAATCTGTGTTCCACGCCAACCTTCTTCACGTCACGGCACACAGGATTGGCAGTATTTATTCAGTTCATGCACAGGTGGCTCACCCAAGGCTCCAACAGTCCCACCAGCCAACTGAGGGCTGAGAAGAGTAATGCCTCTGCCTACCTCAAGACCCTTTCTTCCTAGAACGCTGCTGGAAAGCTCTGCTCTAGACAATACAAATGACATTCAATCCCACATCCTAGCTATAGGTGGCCTCTGGCAGAGCCCAAACAACCAGAAGTCTGAGATCTCCACATGGAGGCAGGAAAGCTTAGGCCATGAGAAGCGATTTTCTTCATCATCCCCATCATTAAAAAGACAAAACATTGACCTTTGAAGAGCATTCTGTGTTTCTCCTTTTTTCTCAGACCCTGTCTGGGCGGGACATCGAGCACCACCTCGCCAATGTCAGCATGTTTTTCTACAATGACCTTGTCAATGGCACCACCCTGCAAACAAGGCTGGGGAGCAAGCTGCTCATCACCGCCAGCCACGACCCACTCCAACCGGTACGGAGTCTTCTGGGCTTCTTGGGAGAACTGGAGATAATGCATGCAAAGTTCCTGGCATATAGTAGGTGCTTAATAGGTGGCAACTATTATGTGAACATAAACTCTAAACCTGCAGATAGGGGATGGTGTTAACTGCCTACCACAGCGTACCACACTGACAACTGGGCAGCCCCTACCCCTTGGGAAATAGGCCAGCCTCAGAAGCTGGTAATGGGGAAGGATAATGAACCCATTTTAAAGCTGTCTGATTCTCCACCTTCGTTTCGGTCAGCTTGTCAGCCTATTCCAGGCATTAACATGAGCTCCGAAGTCAAATGACCCCAATTCTGCCACTTGCTAACTATAAGGACTTAAACAAGTTATCCAGCTTCTCTGTGTCTCAATTTCCTCATCTGAAAAATGAGGATGATGGTGATGGCACAGGTCATTATTTTCATGATTGTGACACAAGGGAGGAAAAACTTATTCTACCCTCTTAGGGTCTGTGGCTGGGCCTGAGAATTAAATTAGACATACAATAAGCAGGAGAGAAGCATATGCATTTTATTTATCTTTTATGTGCATCAAGGGAATCCTCATATGGAAAATAAAGACTCAAAGAACTGTTGGGATCAAGAGCTTATATACTTTTTAAAGAAATGATGCATTTGTGGAAAAGTGATCAAATAAAGGGGTTTAGGCTAAGGGCAGTAAATTGTGGCATGACTAACAAATAGATGGTGGAAACGAGTGGAAGATTAGGAGTATTTCAGTAGATTTGTTTGTACAGATCCATTTCGTCATCTACTCCCAGTTGTTCCTGCAACTGCTGTTTCTCAAGTGCCTTCTGCTCAAAATAACTAATATGCCAAAATGGTTGGGGGGGGTGGTTTTTTGTTGTTTTTTAGACAGTTTCTCACTCTGTCACCCAGGCTGCAGCGCAGTGGCACAATCTCAGTTCACTGCAACCTCCCCCTCCCAGATTGAAGCAATCCTCCTGCCTCAGCCTCCCATGTAGCTGGGACTACAGGTTCCCGCCACCATGCTCAGCTAATTTTTGTATTTTTAGTAGAGATGGGGTTTTGCCATGTTGGCCAGGCTGCTCTTGAACTCCTGGCCTCAAGTGATACGCTTGCCTCAGTCTTCCAAAGTGCTGGGATTACAGGCGTGAGCCACCGTGCCTGGCCCAAAATGGCATTATTTTGGGGTGACATCCATCCTTCAGTGTGGATGATGGTGATGATACTGATGGAGGAAACCGTGGTGGTAGTGGTGGAGGTGGTGAGAACCATGATGTCAGATTCAAGTTCTGAGACATGCAGAGAATAGTGCCTGACAGGTAGCAAGTGCTTAACAAATATTGGTTTGAAATGTTTATCTCATTAAATGATTTCTATTTAAGAGCAGTTTAGACTAGTGTCTCTCAAAATTTAATGTGCATTTGAATCTGCTGGAAATTTGTTAAAATGAAGATTGTGATTCAGCAGGGGAGGGGGCACAGGGCCTCAGCTTCTGCCCACACAAGCCAGGAAATCACACTGGGACATCACTTAAAATTTCATCTTTTCTAACAGTGTGGTGTGATGTTCAGTGCATGGACTCAGAGTCCACAGGCGTGGGGTTTGCCACTCACTCCCTGGGTGATCTGGGTCGGGCCATTTTCCTTCTGATCACTCATCTATCAGACAAGTAGGTTGGACAAATGATCCGTAAGGTTCTCTGCAGCCCTCAGATCAGCTTGTCGGCACAGGACAACTAATGTGTTATGGGCTGTCCAGAGGGTGAGGAGAAGTCCTAGGCTGCCTATCAGTGGAGACAAACCTGAAACCTGGGCTCAGGGACCTTGTGATACAAGGGAGGAAAAACTTATTCTACCCTCTTAGGGTCTGTGGCAAGGCCTGAGAATTAAATAGGCATACAATAAGCTGGAGAGAAGCATACACATTTTATTTAAACAACGTCCCTCGATGAGAGTAAAAGCCATCAATGCTCTTCTCATTTCCCTAGACGGAGACCAGGTTTGTTGATGGAAGAGCCATTCTGCAGTGGGACATCTTTGCCTCCAATGGGATCATTCATATCATTTCCAGGCCTTTAAAAGCACCCCCTGCCCCTATGGTGAGTATCTAGGGTCCCTGGTAACGGGCCAGGAGGAGTCCCGGTGCCCACTCACCAACAGGCAAACCATTACCAGAAGCCCTGTCCTCTGCCCTCCTCCTCCAGAGACTGGAGGAGCCTCCAACCTCCAAGGTAGCTGGCTTCGGGACTGCCCAACCCTGCTTCCTGCCATCCCCACTCCCAAGCATTAGCAACACAGCACCAGTCACCATTAATATCTGTTGAATGAAAGGGAGAGGATGGGCCAACAAAGGAAGCGCTGGAAGGGGAGTGAGAAATCCTAAGCTCTGGTTTGGCCCCGTCACTTCGTAGTATCTCTGAGTCCCAATTCTCCCATCTGCAAAATGGGGCTCATAATGGCTCCCTCCTGGGTTTTGGGGAAAACTGAGTTAAAAATAGAAAACACTTAGAACAGCCCCTGACACATAGTACATGCTAAATAAAAGTTGGTGATGGTGGTTGTTAGCATTTTTTTTTCCCAAAAGCATGAGGGGAGGGGTGAGCTGCTGGAGAGTTCCATAGCACAGTGGTTAAACACAGGAGCTGCAAAGCCAGACTGGGTGCAAAGCCCACTTCTACCACTGACTGGCTGTGTGATATTGGGCAAGTGCTTCACCTCTCTGTGCCTCAGTTCTCCCACATAAAACTAAGAACAATAATAACTGTCCCTGTCTCTCTGGGCTATTATCACACTTCAATGGCTTATTTCACGGAAGGGTATTAGACCCTGGCAGTAGTAAGGGCCAGCTACATGTTAACATATCAATATTTTTATCCCCACTGGCTCCAGAATGCCTCGGGCCACCAAGGGTTCCCCTTTGGGGAGTCAGAAGTTTTAAGAATGAGCCCCTTTTCTTTCTGTGTTCAGAGCTTGACCCACACTGGCTTGGGAGCAGGGATCTTCTTTGCCGTCATCTTGGTCATTGGAGCTGTTGCCTTGGCTGCATATTCTTTCTTTCGGCTAAACCGGAGAACAATAGGCTTCCAGCATTTTGAGGTGAGAGAGAAAAATGGGAACATGATGATGGGGTCCTCTCCAAAATCCCAGTCCCTGAACCTGGGCTGCTTCAGCCGAGTAGTCTCGCCAGAGTCCTCACCCAGAAGCAGTGTCACACAGTAGTAGGGGTGGCCACCCACCTCATGCTTACTGCTGCTTGGGTGGGGTCCCTGCCCTTAGGAGGAACAGCAGTGGTGGTTCCCCTCCTTCTGGTTGAGACAGGGCCTGGCAAGGAGAGAACACACCCCGAGCCTCTGTGCCAGGGGTTTGGCCCGGAGGCCCATTCACTAGGACCTAGGAGTCTCGTTCACCTTGGAGGATTCACTGCACAAGCACACCCCATGACCTAGCCTGGGCTTCAAGACTGGCTCTGAGGACTGGGGGACAGGGCCAGGGACCCTACACAGCCAGAGGCTTTATGCTGCAGCCCGTGAAACTCATTTCTGTTTGAACAGTTGAGTCCACATCCCAATCAGCAGCCAGCTCTTAGCTGGTCGTGTAGGAATACAGCCTGGGCAGCAGCACAGCAGTTAAGCATCCTTCCTTATGGACTTTGTCCTCCTCTCTGGCCCACCCTCTCCCGCTGCCACCTCCTCAAAACACTCCTGGTAAAGGCTGTGGTGCAGACCCCCCAGGCAGCAGTTTGCTGCCTTCTGGCAGACAGCTTGCATATTTATAAGCTCCAGGGGCAAATCTCAACCCCATTTTGAGCAAAAGTGTACAGGCTGTATGACTGCATTTATATTAAGTTGAAGGACAGACACCACCACTCCAGGTTGATGGGAGTCAGAACAGCGGTTACCCTGGGTGGCAGTACCGGCAGGCTATGAGCATGTGAACACATCCTGGGGTATGGAAGTGCCCTATGTGCTGATTTGGTGGTGATCACCACTGGGTAGACATCGGTAAGATGTCACCGAGCTGAACCTAAAGGTTGGTGCATTTTATTATATGTGAATCATCTCTCAACAAAGGACTGTTAAGGAAAAGCTCCCAGAGGCAAAGGGTGGCTTGCTTTACCTGCCAACTTGGATGAGACGCTCCTGGCTTTCATGCTTGTCTTTCCAAACAGTCGGAAGAGGACATTAATGTTGCAGCTGTTGGCAAGCAGCAGCCTGAGAATATCTCGAACCCCTTGTATGAGAGCGCCACCTCAGCTCCCCCAGAACCTTCCTACGACCCCTTCACGGTGAGTTTGCATTCTTATCTAGGAATAGGTTCCCTTGGGGTACAGGGGAATGACGTCTTTTAGGAAATTGTAGTGGAGAGTTTGTACCAAAGAAGGTTCATTTCTAGAATGTATATCAGGTAACAATCCTAAAAGCCAGTTTTGCAAGCTGACTGAAGCCAGTGTGGTTGTTCAGAGTTCCTGGGTTCTCTTGGGTAGACAGCAGAATCCTTGAACAAATAGAGACAGGGGAGAACAAGAGGTTGTTATCCAAGCCCAATCTCATGACCAGGTGAGATGTCACAGTGGAAAAAAGTCTTGGGCTGAATTCTGCTGCAACCATTTATGAAGTAGCAGGTGTAAAACATGATATATAAGGAAAAAGGATTTTTCCTTTAGATGTCGTCTCACTCTATCACCAGGCTGGAGTGCAGTGGCGTGATCTTGGCTCACCACAACCTCCGCCTCCCAGGTTCAAGTGATTGTTGCCTCAGCCTCCGAGTAGCTGGGATTACAGGTGCCCACCACCACGCCTGGCTAATTTTGTATTTTTTTTCTTTTTTTTGAGATGGAGTCCTGCTCTGTCGCCCAGGCTGGAGTGCAGTGGCCAGATCTCAGCTCACTGCAAGCTCCGCCTCCCGGGTTTACGCCATTCTCCTGCCTCAGCCTCCCGAGTAGCTGGGACTACAGGCGCCCGCTACCACGCTCGGCTAGTTTTTTGTATTTTTTAGTAGAGACAGGGTTTCTCCACGTCAGTCAGGCTGGTCTCAAACTCCCAACCTCAGGTGATCCACCCGCCTTGGCCTCCCATAAGCACTGGGATTATAGGCATGAGCCACTACACCCAGCCTAGAAGTCCTTTAACCTTACACTGACATTGTTGTCCAAGATTTTACTGCTTGTCAGAGCTACTTTTCTTTGATGAGGCCTTATAATGTACATGCGTGGGTGTTCTGCTCTGGTCTTCCAGAAAGGGACCATTTATCTCTAGAGTCAGTGATGCTGGAGCTTAGCTGGGGCCTCCACGGACATCAATCCAGGGGGACCCCTTGGCAGGGTACCGCATTCATAACACATGTGGAAGTACATCCTGCCTGTAGTTTACCAGCAGTTCTGGACTAAAAAAAGGAATAGAACTTAATTTTTCTTTTTATAGAAGGAGAGAAATGTTTTCTTCTACCATGTTGAAGTTTGTATAGTGCAACACATATTTTTCCAAAGCAAACCAAAGGTAAATATCTTGTGGTTCTTCATGCCTGCGGTAACAGATGTAATATATATGCCATAGAATAAGAAAATATGATTTGCAATCTGGTTATTTTTCAATCGAAGCCATGTAAAGGCTTCTGGTTCACATTTCAAGGGTAAGTTCACGCCAGGTGCAGTGGCTCATGCGTGTAATCCCGCACTTTCAGAGGCCGAGGCAGGTGAATCACCTGAGGGTCAGGAGTTTAAGACCAGCCTGGCCAACATGGTGAAATCCCATATTTATTAAAAATACAAAAATTAACCAGGAGTGGTGGCGGCGCCTGTAATCCCAGCTACTCAGGAGGCTGAGGCAGCAGAATCGCTTGAACCAGGGAGGCGGAGATTGCAGTGAGCTGAGATCACACCACTGCACTCCAGCCTGGGGGACAGAGCAAGACTCTGTCTCCAAAAAAAAAAAAAAAAAGGTGGTGGTGGGGGGGTGGTAAGTTCAGCTAAATTACATTTGTTAACTAAGTATTGTGATGCCAAAATCACCTTCATTTAAAAAGCAGAGAGAAACAAATGCATACATTCTCTCCAATGTACCCCATGCCTTCCCCATTGTCTGTCCTCTTCTGAGGGCTCTATCAGCACCATGCATGAAAGATTCCCCTGAGGCAGGTGAGAAAGTAGCCTAAATGCAGGTTGCAGCTAAAACCTGCTATTCGGACTACATGGTAAAAACATTCTGGAATCCTAAGCATGAGGTACCAGCTTGCAAAGTGGCGTGCTACATTCTCATGCCTTTTACACTATTTTTAGTGACTCCAGACACATTTACCACCACTAGTTTCACCCATGAAAAGCCATTTCTAGCATCTAGTATGCTAATTAACAAAGCCTGGGTGCCAGTCAGAGCTAAAGTCAGCAGAAGGCTTGGCGTGGCCACCTCTAGAGTGTGGCCATTTTTAGACAGGGTCCTGGTGTGTCATGCAGGCTGGAGTGCAGTGGCACCATCAGGGCTCACTGCAAGCCTCAGGTGATCCTCCCACCTCAGCCTCCCGAAGTGCTGGGATTACAGGCGCAAGCCACCGTGCCCGGCCGAGCGGGGTTCCTATTACACTCTCTCAGGCACTCAAGAGCCACCACTGGTTCAAGATGAATTTTCAAACTGAAAGGAGTTTTTATAATATTAGCTACCTTTTGTGAGGTGCTTATAACTTGTTAGATGTAGGCTCTAATTTAATCCTCCTACCTCCCTGTGAGGTATCTTATGACCCTTTGTAGATGAAGAAACCACAGCCAAGTTGGAATGATTTGTTCTGGGCCACCCAGCTTCAAGCAGGAGAGACTAAATGGGTTCCCAGAACAGGTGGCCCTACCCCCAGCCCATCCCGCCTCCCAACACAAGGCAGCAGCATGAACGAACAGGCCCAGCACACAGCGCTCAGGGAGAGTCAGGCCTCAGGCCAGGGGCCGCCAGAGAGGTTCAACCTAGAACTCCACACGCAGAATGCCCTGCCCCCTTACAACCCTCTCTTTTCCAGGACTCTGACGAACGGCAGCTTGAGGGCAACGACCCCTTGGGGACACTATGAGGGCCTGGACAGGAGACGCCAGCCATCACCCACTGCCATCTGGGCCATCAACTGAATTCTCTGCACCAGTTGCCTTTTGGGAACATAAAGTCCTTTAAGCACTCAGAAGCCATACCTCATCTCTCTGGCTGATCTGGGGGTTGTTTCTGTGGGCGAGGGATATGTTACTGTGCCCACCCAGTGCAGCTTCCTGCTCTGACCCTTTGGCTCTTCTTCCTTTGTACGCTTCAGCTGGCACCCGCTCCATTCTGCCCCACACGATGGGTAACTGATCTTTCTTCCCTGTTAGACTGTAAGCCTCCATCTTTGTATCCCAGCCCCTAGCCTAGTGCCTGACACAGGAACTGTGCACAATAAAGTTTTGTGGAACAGAAACAAAGTCAACACAACAAATCTAGTGTTTTGGGACTGTGTCACGGGAGGATTTGAACTCTGAAGGCAAAATCCACTTCCTGTGGGCCTTTTCAATCAGACGTCATCAGTCTTATAAATTCTTTAAGAAGACATGATAATCACAGTGAGATGCCACTTCACACCCACGAGGATGGCTAGAATCGAAAAAACAGTAACACGTATTGGAAAGGATGTGGAGAAAATGGAACCCTCATACATTGCTGGTGGGAATCCAAAATGGTACAGCCACTGTAGAAAACAGTTTGGAAAAAAAATAAACAGTTACCACATGACCTAAAAATTCAACAGAAATGAAAATATGTCCACACAAAAACTTGTATATGCATCTTCATAGTAGCATTATTCATAAAAGCCAGAAAAATGGAAACAACTCAAATTCCATCAGCTGATAAATGAACAAACTGTGGTGGTCCGTACAATAAAATATTCAGCCCTAAAAAATGAAGTACTGGTACATGTGATAGTTCAGATGAACCTTGAAAACATTAAGAAGCCAGTCACAAAGGACCAAGTATTATATGATTCCATTTATATGAAATGTCTAAAATAGGCAAATTGATCGAGACAAAGTAGGCTGATTGCCAGGGGGAATGAGGACTGACTGCTAATGGGTATGGGACTTCTTTTTTGGGTGATGAGGAATTTGATAGTAGTGATGGTCGTACCACCTTATGACTATACGAAGAAACATAAAACTGTACACTTTAAAACAGTGAATTTTATGGCGTGGTGTGTGTTATATCTCAAATTTAAAGAAGCCATAATTACTAAATAATACATCATTTTTCCAAATATTATATATAGGTGGGCTGGCTTTGGGGTCTGTTAAATATAATTAACCTGCCAAAGAAGGTTGAAGATGGCCCTCCCATCTAGACACACTGCAAGAGTGATCTGCACCGAGACCCCTTCCTTCAGAAGGCAAAGGGAGACCTTGGCCTGGGTATTAGCCAGGTGTTAGGCACAGTTAAAATTAACACTTGAGGCTGGGCACAGTGGCTCACGCCTGTAATCCCAGCACTTTGGGAGGCTGAGGTGGGCGGATCACGAGGTCAGGAGTTCAAGACCAGCCTGACCAACATGGTGAAACCCCATCTCTACTAAAAATACAAAAAAAAATAGCTGGGTGTGGTAGCACGCGCCTATAATTCCAGCTACTCAGGAGGCTGAGGCAAGAGAATAGCTTGAACCCGGGAGGCGGAGGTTGCAGTGAGCTGAGATTGTGCCACTGCACTCCAGCCTGGGCGACAGAGTAAGACTCCGTCTCAAAAAAAAAAAAAAAAAAAAAATACAAAATTAACTCTTGGGACGCTACAGCCCATTAAAAAGTTTGAAAATGAGGCCGGGCGCGGTGGCTCAAGCCTGTAATCCCAGCACTTTGGGAGGCCGAGGCGGGCGGATCACAAGGTCAGGAGATCGAGACCACAGTGAAACCCCGTCTCTACTAAAAATACAAAAATTAGCCGGGCGCGGTGGCAGGCGCCTGTAGTCCCAGCTACTCAGGAGGCTGAGGCAGGAGAATGGCGGGAACCCGGGAGGCGGAGCTTGCAGTGAGCCGAGATCGCGCCACTGCACTCCAGCCTGGGCAACAGCGTGAGACTCCGTCTCAAAAAAAAAAAAAAGTTTGAAAATGGCCAGGCACAGTGGCTCACACCTATAATCCCAGCACTTTGGGAGGTCCAGGCAGGTGAATCACCTGAGGTAAGGAGTTCAAGACCAGCCTGGCCAACATGGTGAAACCCTGTCTCTACTAAAAATACAAAAATTAGCCAGGCGTGGTGGTGCACACCTGTAGTTCTAGCTACTCAGGAGGCCGAGGCAGGAGAATCACTTGAACCTGAGAGGCGGAGGTTGCAGTGAGCCGAGATCCTGCCACTGCACTCCAGCCAGGGTGACAGAGTAAGACTCCAACTCAAAAAAAGAAAGTTTGAAAAAACTGTGTTATCACAAGCAGAGTTTCATACAAACTAGGCCAGGGGGAGAGGGGGAGAGGGGGAGGGGAGAGGGGGAGGGGAGAGGGGGAGGGGGGGGAGAGGGGGAGAGGGGGAGAGGGGAGGGGAGAGGGGGAGAGGGGAGAGGGGGAGAGGGGGAGGGGAGGGGGAGAGGGGGAGGGGAGAGGGGGAGAGGGGGAGGGGAGAGGGGGAGAGGGGGAGGGGAGAGGGGGAGGGGAGAGGGGGAGAGGGGGAGGGGAGAGGGGGAGGGGAGGGGAGAGGGGGAGGGGAGGGGGAGAGGGGGAGGGGAGAGGGGGGAGGGGAGAGAGAGGGAAGGAAGAAGTGGGGGCGGGGAGAGAGAGAGAGTGTGTGTATGTGTACCTTCTGTAGAGACACCTCAGATTTATAACCAGAAGAAATAGGTTCAACTGTAGACTCCCTTACTTAATAGTTAAGGGAAAAACTTCAACCGACATCGCAAGTTTGTTGAGGATGAAGTATGAACTGTATGCAGGCCTTAGCATAGCCGATGGAGGACCCGAAAACCCAACTCCACATTAGCTAAGACAGCACGGGGATGTACTGTTAGCTGTTACTGGAAGACCTAGAGGAGGGCAGCCTCAGGGTTGATTCCACTCAGAACCTCAAAGACATCATCAAAGACCCAGTGTCTTCCCACTCTGCCCTCTGAGCACACCTACAGCAGACTTCCTCCAGGGGATAAAGTGGCCTCGTCAGTTACACAGAGTGTTACCATTCAGGAGAGAGCCTCTCATAGGAGCTGGCTCAGAACAGTGAGGAACTTTTCCTAGAATGCCCTCCCCCCAACACACACACAAACTTGCCCTAGAGTCTGAAAATGCCACGTTCCACTGGCACAGGCAAAGGGGATGGGGTCATGCCCAGATGGGCTTAGATGGGCTTAACCTACTCAGGCCCACCCAACCAACTTCTCTCCATAACTGTGTGGCCTTGTTAGTTTCCTGAAGCTCCTGGGGCACAAATTATCCTTTTGCACTGTGGCCTGTCATATGAGGCAATATGAGGCGATCCCCAGCAGGCCCTCAGCATGGGGTGCGGTGCACTAGTGTTGAATTATTTCCCCTTCCCACCTCTTGACAACTCGGTTCCCCACTCCTGAGCCCTAAGGCAAACATCAGCAGAAAACTCTGTCCCCAACACATGTGCCCTCCATGGAGCACGGTCTTTGTCTGCTATATCCAGTTTCAGAACTGCGTGAGGCACACAGCAGGCCCTCGGCAAATGGAGGTTGGTGGAGTGCTGGGTCAGTGGGACCCGTGCAGACAAGTACTGCTCTCACGGTCCAGGCTCCTTGTTACTGCCCAGCTGGTGGACCCAGGATGCAGAGTGGGAGGCTACAGCTGTCGGCCACCCCAGCTGACTGCCACTAATGCCAGAGGAAGGGATATTCAGGAAGGGATATGGACTGAGCCTCTACCCAGCATCTCTTCTTGTTTTACGAGCAGGGAGGAAAAGATCACCTCACCCAACCACTTACAAAGAAATTCTGAAACATTTTTAACAACAAATGTGTTAGCTTATTAACTGCTAGAATTACCTTAGAAGAAAAGGCATGTGAGAGGAGTGACCAGGGATGACAATTTGCCTCAACTTCCCATACCTGATATTTTTGCTGTGGAGGAAAGTAACGCAAAGGATTAGGTGCAGGCAGGCTCAGCCTCTCGGCAGGACTTCCTGGAGGAGACTGCACGGATGTGCAGCCACGAGGCAATTTCTCTCCATCTGCAGTTCTTGACCCAGAGCACCTGCTCCTTGGCGACGTGAAAAGTAATTCATAGAAAACATGACCTATCCTCACACATGATTTTTTTTTTTAAATCAATGTAACCCTCTACACTTACATTCACTGAAAGAAAACAGTTTATAATGCATGTTTAAGGAAGTATGCTAGATTTGCCTTTTAAAGCTATATATGTAAACCTGTCATTAAAAAGTGAATGAGTGAAGAATTAGAAATGTATATATAAGGTTCTATAACAGAAACATAAAGTAACTTACAATAAAATACATACTTACTTGGTAAAATCTCAGCTACAATTTCAATAGAAGACACAATGAAGACAATTATAATTGCTTAAAACAAATTTGGATTTTAGAAAAGATAATATTTGATTATTTTTTAAATAATTGACTTTTTTTTTTTTTTCAGACAAGGTCTCACTCTGTCACCCAGACTGGACTGCAGTAGCTCAATCATGGCTCACTGAAGCCTCAACCTTCTGGGCTCAAGTGATCCTCCAGACTCAGCCTCCCAAGTAGCTGCAACTACAGGCGCCCATCACCAAGCCCAACTAATGTGGTTTATTTTTTGTAGAGATGGAGTTTCACTATATTACCCAGGCTGGTCTCAAATTCTTGAGCTCAAGCAATCCTCCCACCTTGGCCTCCCTAAGTGCTAGGATTACAGGCATGAGCCACCACACCTGGCTGACATTTTAAAATAAAGGTTAAGTGCTAGGGTCTAAATGTTTGTGACCCCCAAAATTCCTGTGTTGAAATCTTTACCCCCAAGGTGGTAACACTAGGAGGGTGGTAAGTGAGCCTGTAAGCCTTTGGGAGGTGATTAAGGAGGAGGGGCATCCTTAAGGGGATTAGTGCCCTTATAATAGAGGCCTCAGAGAGCTCCCTTGATCTATCCACCATGCAGAAGTCACCACCTGTGAACCAGGAAACAGGCCTCACCAGACACCAAACCTGCCGGCACCTTGATCTTGGACTTGCCAGCCTCCTGGGCAGTGAAAAATAAATTTCTGTTGTTTATAAGCTAAATCAGCATATGGTCTTTTGTTATAGCAGCATGAATGGACTGAAACAGTAAGTACAGTCTTACATATATGTGTCTGTACAATTTATGGAAATGACCAGTACAAATGCAGACTGACACAGGTGTAATTTATGACTCAAATACCAGGAGTGGCCTCCTGTGGAGGATGTGCTCTTCTGACGTGATGAATAATTCCTTATAAAGCTCTGAATAAAACGAAGTCAAAATCTTCC